TTATGCGAGAACAGAAAAACAAAAGATGTACTATACCAAATATCGACGAAGGAAACATTGCAGACCAAACCCATGCAGATGCATACTGATTATCCCATTTACATACCATGTAGTATATGACATTGAAGACAGGAGGGTTGACTTTATCCAGCGGAACTCGCTCGCTGATGCTCGAGAATGCGACCTGAATGGATCAGCACCACACAACAAAAGGGTGCAAGGAAGTTGATAAGCATCATAACAACAAAGCACACAAGAATGGAGGAAACACTCAGAGCAAGATGTGTCAAGTAGGAGGTGTAACTGACCAGTCCCAAGGCTCACAACGCAGGAGCACCAAAAGGAACCCTAAGGGTCAACAAGAGCATCGAAGGGCTGTGGAGATTTCGTTGATTATCTACATCTCCCCCCCTCTCACCCCCCTAGAATTTGCATAGTGCAACGAAGGTGCTTTTGCAACAGCTGCACAACCCTCTGCCAACCCAACTCTCCACAAAACCACGTAATGAAACCCCAACTCGCCATAATCCCTCCCAGAAAGTCATAAAACCAAGCTCACAATGAATGCTCGAATCGTGAAGCTCGTGAAACCAATGGCCGTGACAAGGCCCACCTGGGAAGGGACAAGGGGCGGAGCACAGGAGCATTCATCCCGCCCATCATCTTGTGACTGACTGTTATGTCAACTCATATCCAACTTGGAGCACAGGAGCATTCATCTCACCCATCACTACATCATCCACAACCCACTTCATCCTGAGGCACCCAAAGAATCGGCTCGGAAGGCGACTAATATATATATATATATATATATATATATATATATATATATATATTTTTTTTTTTTTTTTTTTTTTTTTTCAGGCGTGTGAAAGATGGAGCACAGGAGCATTCATCCCGCCAACCATTGCATCCACAACCCACCTCCATCATCTTGTGATTGAATGTTATGTCAACACAAATTCACATCATCTTGTGACTGACTGTTATGTCAACTCATATCCAACTTGGAGCACAGGAGCATTCATCCCACCCATCACTACATCCACAACCCACCTCCATCATCTTGTTTCTTCTCCCTCTCGACTCCACCGGGAACGTGTTGAGCATCACAAGCAGCCTGCAACCACCAAAATGAAATCATAACCATGAAGTTGATCCTGCAGATGAAATGGGCTTCTTTGAAATGCGGCAAGGCAATACATATTTACTAAGCCTCTGACAATTCTAGTGCGAATTGGCTCACCGTCCACCATAGAGCATGAAGCCAAATGCTGCAGTGAATGCCACGCCTGGAGGGAGACGGAGAGATAAAAGGCAATGAATGACAGGGTTGGAGGAAACGCGGGGAAGAATGGGAGGTAATACTGAAGTTTCAGCCATCAAGGTCTCCAATATGGAGAGAATGCGGAAACAGGACAGAAGTTCATAACATATGAATTGACTAAAATGTCTTATCTCCCACAGAAATCATGCTCGCTACCTGCTCTTCATGCTACCTGCTCTTCCTCCTACCTGCTCTGGCTGCTACCTGCTCTGGCTGCTACCTGCTCTGGCTGCTACCTGCTCTGGCTGCTACCTGCTCGAAAGAGCTTGGTGAGGAGAACGAGTGGGTCTGCATGCTGTGGCACAAATTCCATGTAGATCCATGCACCACCCTGGCATGTGGGACAATGGGAACGCACAAAATCACGAACGCATCAATATTGAGACGTCCACACAGCTTGGTGAGGAAAATGAGCGTGAAGCACTAGTAAACCCAATGGCATGCATGAACACAACGATCCCTGTACTGGTACTGTCCACACCTGTAGGATGTAGATTGCAGCGTTCAAAATGCCAAACGTTCGGCGGAGATCTTCAGATTGTATGCCCCGGGCCTTACGGGAGCAAGGGGAAACCAGCGGCAGGGGAAAGAAAAGAAAAACGAAAACAAAAGAAAACAAACAAACAAACTAAGGCAAAAAACGTCGCGTGGAAGGTCAAACACGCCTTTTCAAAAGGCTTCAAAAGAGGCCCTCATTGAGGATGGTAGCATTCTATCTAAGGTATGTGCGTTACCATTCTAAGGTACCTGGTGGTAAATCTCCGCCCGGAAGTTGATTCGTGGTGCATACGTGGTGAAGAAAAGACTCTGTAAATCCAGGTTTGCTGCTCTTCGCAACCGAGGCGACTTATGAGTCAGTCCAAAGCAGACTTACACACCTGGAGGTAAATCTCCGCCCAGAAGAGGATGAGCAGTGCGTACGTGGTGAAGAAGAATAGACTTGGCACGTCCAAGATAGCCACTTTTAACACCTGAAACAGACAAATTAGGCGAAATGGTTAAGGAAAACCTGCTAAATGGCATGAAAGGACATGAAAGTCGCTAGAGGCAGCAGAAAAGTGAGGTCCCATGATCAAATTATAACAATCAAGTTTTCAGATGCCCTGAAGCAGAAGCTGAAGGCGGGATAGCGGCAGATGTTTTTAGTTTTTCAATGGAGCTCACATAGTCATCGATGCCCTGCACTTGCTCCCAGAAAAGGAAAACCGCACACCTGGCTGCAGACACATGCAAGGTAGAAGTGCAAGCATTCACGAACGGCGGAAGGGCAGAGGAACGGGAGGGGAAGGGGGGGTGTTTTTACGAAATACTTGCTTTTGCATGTCTCATTAGACTCGCTTTAGCATGTCTCATGAATCGCAAATTAATCGTTACATGCAGCAGTGTGCCGAGATAACTAGGTACCGAACCGACCTGCACAGAGAACGAAGTTGAGGAGATGAAACACCTTCTGTGTCGTCCAGCCGTACTCTGGCACCCTCAATTGAATCCGTGCCAGTTGAACCTGCAGCGTTGACACAAATGAACAATTGCAATGGAGGAGTTTTCAAGGAGTAAAAACACAACAGCCATACACGAGCACTCTCAGTTGAATCCGCGCCAGTTGAACCTGCAGCGTTGACACAAATGAACCATTGCAATGGAGGAGTTTTAATAGAGTAAAAAAAACAACAGCCATACACGGGCACTCTCAGTTGAATCCGCGCCAGTTGCACCTGCAGCGTTGACACAAAAACAGCCGTACACATGCATTCTCAGATACTTCCGCATCAGCTACGCCAGTTGCACCTGGGTCAAGCGATAAAAACACCAGCATCGTTGCGTGAATGTATCATTCGAATAAAAACTATCACGCGCATGCATTACAACAAAGAAAACAAAGTCAGCACGCAGCAAGGCAACGATTCCCACAAACGCGTACGATGCTGCCAGGCCTTCATATGCGTCCTTCTCAAAGTCCCCGACACCCCCAAGGCCAATAGCGCTGACAGCGCCGTCTGTTTCATTTCTGGCGAACATAAAAGGGGTAATCCCTTGCCTGCTCCAAGCATCCACCAGCCATGCCCTATCCATCCAACTGCTCATCATGGACTCGTCCGTCTCTAAGGTACCAAAGGAATGTTGTCTAGTGAACCGGGACAAAACGCGATGCAAATATGATGAGGAGGTGGAGGCGACGTGTCTCAGCAAACAACGTAGCTATGTTCTTAAAATCTATTGAAGCATGTCTAAGAGTTTGTTCAAAGAGAGCAGCTACACCAAGGCGGACAGAAAACACTTGCGGCTAATCCGCTAAACGGAATTCATGACGATACGACGATCAGCTTATCCAGCTGCAGAAGTGAAACGGCGTCCTAAAAGAAGACTAGGCTGACGATAACTAGGCCGACGAGCTAGGCGTGGCATAACGATTCAAGCCACTTGAAAGCAGTGTAGTGATTCAAACCAAGGTTTCCATGGTTCGTGGAACCACCTAGAAGCGACGGTCAACGCTCAGCACCGTACTAAAACTCAATGCAACCAAATACAACCTCAATTTTGGAGTCCAACTTGGGGCAGATGTTTCAAGCCCTGGTACTTGCGGACTGACGGCGGAGCAGGAGTGTGGTGTGGGGTGGGGTGGGTTCGATTGTAGCCAAGAAGAAGATATCGACCCACGTCGAAGAATCATATACCGAAGCACACCACTTTGTGCCGAAATGAACACAAATGTGCCTTGCCTCCTGAACATGGTCATTCTGCTCCAATAAGTCCGTTGATAACGGCTTGCCTTGATGGAAAGTGACATTCAGGACTTGGTCTGACGGGAAGCGGCGAGGAATCTTGTAGATGGTGGCGATATTCGGAAATTCGTTCGCAGACAGATTCGAGCTGAAAAGGCGAAGCCGATTGGCGTAGCTTTGGCGAAAGTGCGATGACTCATAATGACGATGCATGATGTTCCTCAATTGTCCGCCGTAGGACGCGGATGGTTGGTGTCAGGCTCTGGCCCACTGCCCTGTCAGTGCTGACTCATTCCGCCGCAGGAAATGCCGCAAGAATAAAACCTTGCTAAGAAGCATCTTCGATTCACACATCTAGAATATCACAGTGCATCATACTAGAGTTAGTATCCCACAATTTGTAATAGGCAACTCATGTTAGTAGGCTGCAAGCTTACATCAAATACATACACATGCACAACCGCAAGCAGGCTCGTGCATGCACGATGCACACATGCCTAAGCTATTCCTTGCATGTATTCCACACACTCTACCCAATCCGTAGTTCAGGTTCAAACCCCGATGCCTTTTCCATCCTTGCCCCACTATAGGGGTGGGCTGTTGGATGGTCTCGAAGCATCATACAAGATGCTTTATAGTCAAGCTGAGAGCCGAGCATAGGCTAAGCACGAGAGAGCACCGAGGGGGTGGGGAGTATGAGGGGGTCAAAATGGAATCGTTCAAGGCAAGCTGCCTTCTGCTGATGCTGCTTGCGGTGCTGGTGCTTCCAGGGCTGCCAGGGACTAACACACTGCCGCGCTGATATATTCTGGGCCACCTTAAAAGCCATCAGGGGAGAGGTGGTTACTGATGGTGGCGGTGGCAGTGGCCATAGGGACCTCGACTCTGCACACACTCTCCAGCAAAAGTCCACTTCTGAGCCGCCTCAGAAGTCAGCCTAATCAGTGCCGTCAAAATGCATCCGGGCCGAGCTGGGTGCTGGTGCTGCTGCTGGTGGCGGCAGCGGCAGTGGTCTTTCTCACTCTGCGGCAAAGGTCCCTTACGACCTTGGACATGCATGGGCGGAACTCCGGCTCAGGCTGCACACAGTGACAGGGGCCAGGAGGGAGGAAGCAGCAGGGTCAAGTGGGAAAGGATCAGAGGCATTGATGTAACGATCCATCCATGCACCCTTCAACCCCCGCGTGCTTGCACCCATGTGCACATGCACGCGCCCATGTGCATATGGACGCACCCATGTGCACACTCTCACACCTTTATGCATGCACACACTTTGATTCATATAACGACCACTTCGGCATCGCAGGTGAGAGTGAGGAGATCCGATACCCATGAAGTCACCAATTCATGCAACCTTACACCCACCGATTTGCACACCCATACACACACCCACACACCTGGATGCATCTTGCGATGACTTCAGCATAGCGCGTGAGGGTGAGCGGATCCGGCACAGGCCCAGCCAGGGTCGGGTCCACCATGCGCTCTAGCTCCACCACGTCGTGCAGCAGAGGGGCCGCCCAGCGCACCAGCGATGACTCCCACTTGGGCTTGGCGCTGTGAGTAGTTGGGGGGGAACAGGAGGTGGTAAGAGAAGGTTGAAAAGCTGAGGGTATGCGCCTACCAGCAAGGGTTGGGTCCACCATGCGCTCTAGCTCCACCACGTCATGCAGCAGAGGGGCCGCCCATCACACCAACGAGGACTCCCATTTTGGCTTGGTGCTGAGGCAGGAAGTAAGATGGTGGGAGAGGATGAGGGAAGGGGTGGGGTAGGGTGAGGAGGATCCACCATGCGCTCCAACTCCACCACGTCATGCAGCAGGGGGGCCACCCAGCGGACTAGCGATGACTCCCACTTGGGCTTGGACCTGGGGGAGGGAAGTTTAGGGGAAAAGTGATGATGGTTGGAAATAATGGGGAAGGAGGGGGGAGGGGGAGACGGGGGAGGAGGAGGGGGCACAGGTGGTAGCGTTGGAACAGGATGGGTTGGGATGGATGGCAGCAAGATTGGTGCAACGCAACTCAAAACTCGATGCATTAAACAGAAAGAGGAGAGGCCCTTGCCTCTGAGTAGTTACGGGCATCACGGGCAACTTACGGGTCGACAGGCTTTCTGCCTGTGAGTAGTTACAGCAGCACCACTCCGAAGCCGTACACGTCGCCTTTTGACACTCAACAGTCAATGCATCAGGGGGTGTGCAGCGGTAACAGTGCGTTGGGGGTTGTGCAGAGGTTATACTTACGGGTCGACAGGCTTTCGTCCTGTTAGCAGTTCCAGCAGCACCACTCCAAAGCTGTACACATCGCTCTTGGCTGTGTACACCCCTGACATGGCATACTCGGGTGCGTTGTATGCGTAGCCCCCCACCAGCTGCTCTGATAGCGTCTGCATTCGGAGGGATTGGGAGGGGTTGATATGGGTTGGGGTTGTGAGGGAAGGGGGGAAAGGGAGGGCGATGGATGTAAGCTGTACACTCGCTCTTGGCTGTGTACACTTCAGACATGGCATACTCGGGTGCGTTGTATGCGTACCCACCAACTAGCTGCTCTTGGCTGCAGATGGGTTGAGAGGGGTGAGAGGGGAGGGACAGCAAATGAGGAGCATGATACATTTGCCTAAAATACTTCAGTCTCACAGCACCGAGCAGCACAGAGCAGCACACCTAACTGAGCCTCAGCACCAGAGAGGTTGAGCACAGCCGGCCCGGCATCAGGAATGTGCTACCTCCATCCTGCTGGACGGCCACATGAGCTTGGAGGTAGCGCCCATACCCTTGGCCTCAACGCACTGAGCAGTACACATACGTTGGGCTCAGCGGCCATACCTGAGCCTCGGCGACCATACCTGAGCCTCAGCGTCAGTGGGGTTGAGCACAGCCAGCCCAGCATCGGCAATGCGCGGGCTCATGTGGTCGTCCAGCAGGATGGCTCTTGATGAGATGCCACGATGCACTATGGCTGGTACACTTCCTCATGCAGGTACCTGTGAGGGGGGAGGAGTGGAAGAGGAAAGGGATATGGGGAAGGAAGGGAAAATAGGTGGCTCATAAGGTCGTCCAGCAGGATGGCACAAGATGAGATGCCCCGATGCACAATCGCCGGCTTTGAGACGTCTCAAAACCAGCCCCGATGCACAATCGCCGGCTTTGAGACGTCTCAAAACCAGCCCCGATGCACAATCGCCGGCTTTGAGACGTCTCAAAACCAGCCCCGATGCACAATCGCCGGCACTCACTCCTCATGCAGGTACCTGTTGGTGGGGTTGACGGGGTGGGGGGGGGGGGAGGGAGTAGGTGGGGGAAAGAGAAGCGGGGAGAGGGGTCAGGGGAAGGGGAAAGCGGAAGGGTTGGAAGAGAGAGGTGGCTCATGTGGTCGTCCAGCAGGATGGCTCGCGGTGAGATGCCCCGACGCACAATGGCTGGTACACACTCCTCACCCAGGTACCTGTGAAGAAGGGGAGGGAGAGAGGAACGGGCAAGGGGGGAGCAGGTGGAAGGGGACGGGGAGGTTAACACAACAATCTCTGAGATGCCCCGATGCACAATGGCTGGCACACACTCCTCACGCAGGTACCTGTGAAGAAGGGGAGGGAGAAGTGGGAGGGAGAAGTGGGAGGGGAGAAGGAGCTTAGGGTGATATCCCTGTACACGAGTAGACTTTTGAGTCGACTCAAAAGTCAACTCCTTAAGGTGATATCCCTGTACACGAGTAGACTTTTGAGTCGACTCAAAAGTCAACTCCTTAAGGTGATATCCCTGTACACGAGTGGACTTTTGAGTCGACTCAAAAGTCAACTCCTTAAGGTGATATCCCTACACGAGCATCAGACATCATCAGCATCACCCCCTTTCAAACACTTTACTTGAGACACGGTTTAACTATCCCGAGTTGACTTTTGAGTCGACTCAAAAGTCAACACAGTTTAACTATCCCTTTTCCGCCACACACTACTCACTCTAGAGTTTCAGCAAAGCCCACAGCGATCTGCACATGTGTGTCCCATGTCATGAGCATGCTCCGGCTGCCATCATGCACATGCTCGTACAGACTCCCTCTCTCCCTTCCCCTCTTTTCTACCCCTGACCCCTCTCCCCCCCCCACTTCTCTCCCCGCCCCACTCACTCCAAGGCTTCGGTGCAGCCAACAGCAATCTGCACATGTGTGTCCCACGTCATGAGCATGCTCCGGCTGCCATCATGCACATGCTCGTACAGACTCCCTCTCTCCTTTCCCTTCTATTCTGCCCCTGATTACTCACTCTAAGGTTTGAGCGCAACCAACGGCGATGCCCACACGAGTATCCCACGTCATGAGCATGCTCCGGCTGCCATCATGCAGATGCTCGTACAGACTCCCGAGGTGAAAATGCTCAAACACCAGCATCCTCTCGCCCCCGTCCACGCAGTACCCCTGCAGCGGCACCACGTGGGCGTGCTGCAGCCGCGCCATGTTGGCTGCTACTGCCTCGAAATCCGAATCCGACTGCCCCTCTACTACTGCTGCCTCTATCCGCCTCACTGCTACCTCCTGATTGGGGGAAGGGGAGTGGGGAAAAAGAATTGAAAGAGGAGATCACCGGAGGAGGAAACGTGTTTTGAGTCGACTCAAAACACGACTCATTTCACTGGGGGAAGGGGAGTGGGGAAAAACAATCAAGGAGGAGATCACCGGAGGAAACGTGGGAATGCAAATATTAGAGGTAGAGTACTCTTGAGAATCCTGAAATGAAACGACAGGAAGGTATGTCCGTTCACATGTGCTGCTTGTGTGTGCTGCGTCGTACACCTCACGCACCGCACTCAAATATCTTGACACCCCTAGTCACCCCTCTCACCGTGCCATCAGGCAGGTCGCCACAGTACACGGGTCCCAGGGGGTGGTCCCTCAGCTTGGTATGCGGGGAGAAGTCGTCTGTTGCCATCTGCCGCTCCCAGGCATGTTACCGACCCCACTTAAACATCCCCACACCGCACTGCACCGCGCTCGAATCCCTGCACAACCTTTGTCACCCCTCTCACCGTGCCATCAGGCAGGTCGCCACAGTACACGGGTCCCAGGGGGTGGTCCCTCAGCTTGGTGTGCGGGGAGAAGTCGTCTGTTGCCATCTGCAATTCCGCCAGGAAGAATCTCCGCACCCCTGGCACTGCCACCCCCCGCCTCCCCGCCCCTGGTGACTGCTGCTTCTGTGGCTGGCGCGGCTGTAGCTTGGGCGCTGGGAGGGGAGGATTGAGGGGGAATTGGGCGGAAGGGGGCGGGAAGGGAGTGAGGGGGGTTGAGGAAAAGAGGGCCACGTCAGAGGATGTTGGGGAGTAAGGAGATGAATCCGGAAAATGGGGGGGAAAGAGTCATCCGTTGCCATCTGCAGCTCCGCCAGGGCGAATCTCCGCACCCCTGGCACTGCCACCCCCCGCCTCTCTGCTCCTGGCGACTGCTGCTGCTGTGGTTGCCGGGGTTGCAGCTTGGGCGCTGGAGGGGAGGGGAGGGTTGGGGCAGGAGGAGAGGGACCAGGGAGGGCGAGAGGAGGGATGGGGAAGAAGAATGACAGGTCTGGGGTTGTGAAGTGGGGAGTAAGGAGATGGCATCTAGAAGAAAAGGGGAGGGGGGGGGAGTCTCTGTTGAGGGGAGAGAAGTCGTCTGTAGCCATCTGCAGCTCTGCCAGGGCGAATCTCCGCACCCCTGGCTGGCACCACCACTGCCCGCCTCGCCGCCTCCCCAGCCCTGGGGAATGCTGCTGCTGTGGTTGCCGGGGTTGCAGCTTGGGTGCTGGGAGGGTAGGGTTGAAGCGGGGAGGTTGGGAAACGCGGGAGTGGGGAAAAGGGAACGGGGAGTAGAGGGGGAAATTCAGGTTTTGTGGTAGATGGGAGACGGTTTATGGAGCTGGGAGATGGTGTATTGCGATGGAGGTCTTGTCTCCCCTTGCATAGTCCACTTTCCTTACAGGAAGGCAGAAGAAACGGCTTCTTACAGGAAAATTTCATGCTCAGACGAGGAAGCTTCCATCCACTCTCTCCAGAAGGTTCCTTGTTGCTGCTTGCTCGTTTCTCCGCGCCCCCTCCTCCCCATCCTATCGCCCCTACTCCCCACCCACTCCCACCCTTACCCCCACTCCCACTCCCACCCCTTCCGCCCTCCACTCTCCTCTCCTCCTCCTCCTCCTCCTCCTCCTCCTCCTCCTCCTCCTCCTCCTCCTCCTCCTCCTCCTCCTCCTCCTCCTCCTCCTCCGCCCCTTCCTCATCCTCCTCTTCCCCTTCCTCCTCCTCTTCCTCCCCGTTCCCACTCCCTCTACCCGCTCCTCCCACTCTTCCCTCTCCTGCAGCAGCCGCCGCATAAGAACCGCTACCCGCAGCAGCAGCAGCAGCGGCAGGAGCAGCAGCAGCGTCATCATCCCCTCTCCCCCCTAAGCTAAGAAAAGACATCACAGTCCATTCCCTACTCTTCCTCACACTCTCATCCTCCTCCCCGCCTACCTTCACCCCTCCATCATACCCCTTCACTCCTCCCCCTCTTCCTGCTCCAGCACTCACACGTGTCAATCCCCCAGCTCCCACCACAGCCACCATCGCTCCCTCACGAACAATCAACTCCTCTCCGCCCCTACCTCCCTGAGTCGTCTCCCCATCCCTGCACGACCCAACCACACCGCTCTCCACATCCTCCTCCTCATCCTCAACCGAAGTCACCTCCACCACGCTGATATCCCCAATCTCCATTCCAGACGACAGGAATGACGCCGGTACACCCCACCCACCCTCCCCCTCTCCCCAACCACCCCCAGCAGCCCAGGAACCTCGGTAATCTGGTGCTGCAGCTGCTCTATCAGCGTGAAACGAGGAGACCGAATAGGCAGCAGCCGGGGGAGAGGATCGCCCAAAGTTGAACCAGCCCCGCTTGGGTTTCTTCCTGCTAGCACCAGCAGCAGCATCAGCAGCCGCAGCAGCAGCAGTGGCGGCGGCAGCGGCGGCGGCGGGGGTGACAGCAGCGGTGGTGCTGGTGCCAATGCTGGTGATGCTGGTTCTGGTGGTATTATGGTGTTTAAAGTCGGGATTGTCATCGTCAGTGTTGCTGACGCTCATGTATCGTTTTCGGAAAAAGAAGAGGAGGGTGAGGAGGAGGGCGATCAGGAGGAGGAGAGCAACACCTGCCGCTATGCTCACCACTGTAGTAGTGGACATGCCTAGTACGCTCGTACTCCCACTGCTGCTGCTCCGTTCACTGCCACTGCTGCTACCGCTGCTGCTGCTACCACTGGAGCTCAAATCTGCGTTGTTACTGGTGCTGGTGCCGTTGCTGCTGCTGCTGCTGGTAGGTGGTGGTGACGAGTTAGTGATGTTGCCCGCACTTCCCTGGTTGCTGCTGTTGGTGGTTCCAGGAGCAGGGGGTGCAGTGCCCGTGGTGCTGTTGCCAGTGCTGGTGGTGCTGTTGGTGCTGCCGGTGCTGCTGCCACTGCTGTTGCTGGCTGTGATGGGGACTGTGGGATGGCAGAGGGTGGGGGAGGGAGAAGGAGAGATACGCACAGGGGAGTGCAGGGACAGAGGCGCTATTTGGGGGAGTCGAAGCAAAGATGGATGGAGAAATCAGTGGAGTAGCAAGTGCCCTTAAGATTCACCTATTCACCAGCCACGAGTTTTGAGACGTCTCAAAACGCACAGGGAAGTGCAGAGCCAGAGGCGCTAGTAGGAGGAGTCGAAGCAAAGATGGATGGAGAAATCAGTGGAGTAGCAAGTGCCCTTAGGATTCACCTATTCACCAGCCACGAGTTTTGAGACGTCTCAAAACGCACAGGGAAGTGCAGAGCCAGAGGCGCTAGTAGGAGGAGTCGAAGCAAAGATGGATGGAGAAATCAGTGGAGTAGCAAGTGCCCTTAGGATTCACCTATTCACCAGCCACGAGTTTTAAGACGTCTCAAAACGCACAGGGAAGTGCAGAGCCAGAGGCGCTAGTAGGAGGAGTCGAAGCAAAGATGGATGGAGAAATCAGTGGAGTAGCAAGTGCCCTTAACCTTCACCTTCACAGCGCCCATCCCAAACAGCTCACTATAGAGGCGCTTCAAATCCCAGCTCCATCAGTCATTAGCCACCAGCCATGAAGCGTCCACCATCAATCCCCACCCACCTTGTTTTGAGACGTCTCAAAGCCACCAGCCATGAAGCGTCCACCATCAATCCCCACCCACCTCCGTTCCTATCCAGCACCACCATGGGCAGCAGCACTGCCTTCACAGCACCCATCCATAACAGCTCACTGTTGAGGCCCCTCAAATACCCGCCATTCCAATCCATACGTCAACCATCATCAACATGACCCACCCACCTCCATCCCTATATTAGCATCAACCACTCCCACGCACCTCCGTTCCTATCCAGCACCACCATGGGCAGCCGCACTGCCAGCACCTTCACAGCGCCCATGCCAAACAGCTCCAGGCGCTGTTTCCTCCTCCCCAGCAGCACGTCTAGTGCATGCCCCGCCACTCCCACCGGCATTGCTGCTGTACGGCCGGGCGGCAGCACTGCACATGATGCCACCACACTCCCGGGGCGTGTGGCGTACACTGCTACTTGTGACTGATTCACGTTCAGACTCAGCGCGAGCTGCTCCTCTAGGCTCTGAGTGGGGTGATGGGGAGGGGAAAACGCGGGAATAGGAGCATCAGATTCTGAGAAGCATTACCCAAAACACGTGCCCTCTCCTCCCCAGCAGCACGTCCACTGCATGCCCCGCCACTCCCACCGGCAGCGCTTCTGTGCGGCCGGGCGGCAGCACTGCACAGGAGGCAATCACACTGCTGGGCCGTGTGGCGTACACAGCTACTTGAGTCTGATTCACGTTCAGACTCAGCGCGAGCTGCTCCTCTTGGCTCTGTGGGGGAGTTTGGGGAGGGGAAAACATGGGGATAGGGGTACTGCTTGTAACACGCTCCTCTTCAGCAGTTCTCCTCCTCCCCAGCAGCACGTCCAGTGCATGCCCCGCCACTCCCACCGGCAGCGCTGCTGTGCGGCCGGGCGGCAGCACTGCGCAGGAGGCAATTACCTGCCAGGACGTGTGGCGTATACAGCCACTTGCGTCTGATTCACGTTCAGACTCAGCGCGAGCTGCTCCTCTAGGCTCTGTGGGTTGGGGGAAAGACGAAGGCGGGAATTGGCAGGAAGTTAAGAGAGTGGAAGGGGCAGCACTGCGCAGGAGGCAATGACACTGCCAGGCCGGGTGGCGTATACAGCCACTTGATTCTGGTGACGTCATTGAACCTAAAGAACTCCATGCCCAGATGCAGCTCCAGCAGCAGCGGGTGGTTATGGGAGGAGAGCGAAGAGAGGCGGGTGGGGAGAGGGGAGGGGGAGGTCGTGGGTAGAGGAGGAGGCAAGCAAGCATACCTCCCTAGTGACGCCACGGCGGATACCCTCTTCTCACCTCTCTGGTGACGTCATTGAACCTAAAGAACTCCATGTCCAGATGCAGCTCCAGCAGCAGCGGGTACGAGCACACACACAGCTTCTTGTGCCTCCTCGCCACACTCCCCCCAGCACACGGATTGCACCCCACAGGTACAGGCACCAGCACTGCAAAAATCAAGGCCCCCCTCTGATGACGTCACAGGTACCCTCTTCTCACCTCTCTGGTGACGTCATTGAACCTAGAGAACTCCATTTCCAGATGAACCTCCAGCAGCAGCGGGTACGAGCACACACACAGCTTCTTGTGCCTCCTCGCCACACTCCCCCCAGCACACGGCTTGCACCCCACAGGTACAGGCACCAGCGCTTGCGTCTCATTCTCTGGAACTGACGGATCCAGGTAGAAATACCCATCCCCCTCTCCCCCTGCTCCTCCGCCTTCCCCCCGTTTTCCCCCGTTTCCTCCACTCCCACCCGTCCCGTTCCCAACGTGCGTCCCATTGGGGAAGGTTACAGGGGGGACAGGCGGAAGAGAGGGGGGCGCAGGCGGGGCGAGAGAACCTGGGGCGGTTGGAGGAGGTCTAGGAGAGGGAGAAGTGAGCGGAGGGGCGGGAGGGGAGGGGAGAGAAGCAGGGGCATCCGCCCCTCCATCCTCCCCCCCAGAGAAACCAGGCAGCACAGGGGACGGCGGGGGGACGGACGGGGGAGGCGGGGGCGGGATGGGGGGCGGCGGGGGGGAGGCGAAGGGGCCTGCGGGCGCGGGGGGGAGGGCGCCGTCGTAGAGGAATTGCTCTATGTTGGAGTAGGAGAGGGGGAGGTAGCCTGAGAAGGCGTTGCCTCGGATGTCAAGGAAAGAGAGCGCGGGGAGAGTGCCGAGGGCGGGAGGGAGGTTGCCTGACAGCTGGTTGAATGCCACCGCACTGATTTGCGGGGGAGGCATGGGGAAGATGGGGGAGAACGGGGGGCATGAGAACAGACGGAGGCGAATGGGGGGAGAGAGGGGGGGAGAAGGGGGGGAGGGAATGGGGGGAGATGAGTGGGAATGGGGGAAATGTGAGAGAGTTGGGAAAGATGGGGTCGATGCCGAGAGCTTGGATGCCGAAAGGGCCAGACGGGTAAGAGGAGCACAAGGATGAAGAGGCCAGGGACGGAAGGACGGAAGGGCGGAAGGACGGAAGGACATGACACAAGGAAGGGAGGGGCAAGAGGACAGATTTCAAACAAGGAAGTGAGGCAGTGTGCTTACAGGGAGGCATGGCAGTGTTCTTAAGTGGAGGGAAGGGAGGTGTTCTTACAAGGAGGTGAGGGCGGTGTGCTTACAAGGAGGTGAGGGCGGTGTGCTTACAAGGAGGTGAGGGCGGTGTGCTTACAAGGAGGTGAGGGCGGTGTGCTTACAAGGAGGTGAGGGTGGTGTGCTTACAAGGAGGTGAGGGCGGTGTGCTTAAAAGGAAGTGAGGGCGGTGTGCTTACAAGGAGGTGAGGGCGGTGTGCTTACAAGGAGGTGAGGGCGGTGGCGGAGCCTAGAGCATCTGGAAGCGCTCCTGTGAGGTTGTTGTACGACATGTCCCTGTACACGTGGCGTCCAGGGGTTGGCGCATGGGTGCGGCATGTGGAGAGGAGTGAATGTACTGAGAAAAAACAGCACATGGGGCACAATGGGGCACGTCCACAGCAGTAGCACGATGCGGGAGAGGAGGACGTGGACTGTCACATAGTTTCGTCGATGAGCTCAGTTCGCTTCTGGAATTAGCAGGAACTGGTGAGTGTGTGGATGGTAGCGGTGATAGGGGTGGGTGGGTCGGTGGGTGGGTGGTGCGTGGTGGGGAGGAGGCAGTACTGGTGGTGGGTGGTGCGTGGTGCGGAGGGGTGAGTACAGGTCGGAGAGGTGAGGCAGGTGAGCAATGGCAGGGTCGATGTAGCCCGTGAGGGAGTTGTTGCTCAGGTCCCTGGGTTCACACACACACACACACACACACACACACACACACACACACATGGTGGTGGGGAGGGTGGTGAGGAAGGGTGAGTTTAAGTTGGAAAGGTGGGGCAAGCAGGTGATGGCAGGGTCGATGTAGCCTGTGAGGGAGTTGTTGCTCAGGTCCCTGGGATCACTCATACATGCACAGCATGTGGGGGAACAACTCAGAGGAATGACATGGCATGGCGTGGCATGGTATGGCATGGCATGGCATGGCGCGTGGAAATGCACAGAAGCTCATGGTACCCCGGGTGGCACGGCATGGCACGTTACACTGAGTGCATGGCATCACATCGCACAGCATGCCAGGGCACAGCCCAGCACAACACAGCACAGCACCGCGCCACACCGCACAGCACAGCAGAGCAGAGCAGCTCACAGTGCGACGAGCGAGGAGAGCTTGATCAGGCGTGGCAGATCGCCCTCCAGCTCGCAGCTCGATAGGTCTCTGGCACACGAGAGAAAGGGTAGGGAAGGGGGGAAGGCAAGGGGAGGGCATGGGGGCCGGGGGAGATTGGGGCGGTGTGGTGGTGAAGGGAAGTTCAGCAGGCGCGGCAGGTCGCCCTCCAGCTCGCAGCTCGACAGGTCTCTGGCACGTGAAGCACGGGGATGGGGGAGGCATGGGGAGGGGATGGTGGGCGAGGAAAAAGGGGAGGGTGTGGTGAAGCGCGTTGAACAGGCGCGGCAGGTCGCGCTCCAGCTCGCAGCTCGACAAGACTCTGGCACACGAGAGAAAGGGTAGGGAAGGGGGGGAGGCAAGGGGAGGGCATGGGGGCCGGGGGAGATTGGGGCGGTGTGGTGGTGAAGGGAAGTTCAGCAGGCGCAGCAGATGGCACTCCGACTCGCAGCTCGATAGGTCTCTGTCACGTGGGGGGGGAGGGCATGGGGATGGGCATGGGAAGGGGCAGGGGGAGAGGGAAAGATGGGCAGGGAGTGGTGTGGGACAGTCGTGATCAGGCGCGGCCGGTCGCCCTCCAACTCGCAGCTCGATGGGTCTCTGTCACGTGGGGCAAGCGGAGGGGGAGGGCATGGGGGCGGAGGGGAGAGGCATGGGAAAGGGAGGCATGAAGAAGTGAGGCATGGAGAGGGCGGGCGGGAGGGAGGGAGGGAAGGAGGGAGGGAGGGAAGGAGGGAGGGAGGGAGGGAGGGAGGGAGGGAGGGAGGGAGGGAGGGAGGGAGGGAGGGAGGGAGGGAGGGAGGGAGGGAGTGAGCGAGGGAGGGAGGGAGAGAGGGAGGGAGGGAGGGAGGGAGGGAGGGAGGGAGGGAGTGAAGGAGGGAGGGAGGGAGGGAGGGAGGGAGGGAGGGAGGGAGGGAGGGAGGGAGGGAGGGAGGGAGGGAGGTGGGGAGGTGCATCGCAAAAGAGAACGGGCAAGGGCGGGACCACTGGTGCTAGTGTCTTGCATGAGAAAGGCGACGAAGGCGGGAGAAAGGGGGAGAGAGGGGGGCGGGTGGGCGGAGTGCGCGCATACAGAGAGGAAAGCGCGGGGAGACGCGCAATTTCCGGTGGAATGGTGTTTTCCAGCGGGTTGTTGCTCAGGTCGCTGCGGATCAGGGGAGGGCAAGGGGGGAGGGAAAATGGGGGAGGGGAAATGGGGAGGAGGAACAAGAAAGGGTGATGGAGCGAGCAATGGGGAGCAACGGGGAGCAATGGGTGCAGTGGGGAGGGAGGAATGGGGAGCAGTGGGAGCGATAGGGAGCAACGGGGAGCAATGGGTGCAGTGGGGAGGGAGGAATGGGGAGCAGTGGGAGCGATAGGGAGCAACGGGGGGGTGCATAGCAATGGCTTACAGAGAGCAATGGCTTACAGGGTGCGATGGGGGGGGGGCATAGCAATGGCTTACAGGGTGCGATGGGGGGGGGCATAGCAATGGCTTACAGGGTGCGATGGGGGGGGGACATAGCAATGGCTTACAGGGTGCGATGGGGGGGGGCATAGCAATGGCTTACAGGGTGCGCAGCCCTGTGAGCGCGGAGAGGTCGGCGGGGATGCCGCCCTTGATGGCGTTGTTGCGCACCACGCTGCGCGGGGGGATGCGCGGGAGGGGACACAAGCGGGGCGGGGGAAGGAAGGGACGAAGGGACGGGGGATTGGAGGGGGGCGGGAGAAGGCAAGGAAAGGGAGAGAGGGGGAAGGGAGGGAGGAGAGAGGGCAGGTAGGGGTCAGTGGCAGAGTGGATCGGGGAGGGGGGAGGGGAGGGGGACGAGGGGACTGGAGTCCGGGCTGTAAGGCAATGCACGACATGGTGTGACATGAGGTGGCATAGCATGTCATGGCATGGCGTGGCATGGCGTGGCATGGCATGGCATGGCATGGCATGGCGTGGCACCTCAGGGCATGGAGGGCATCTTACAAGGATCGCAGTTTGCTGAGTGAGCTGACGGACCCCGAGATGTACCCGCTGATGTCCGAGTCATGCGGGCATAGCACCGGATGGCATGGGCATGGCAATGGATGGGATGCAGAGTGACTTACAAGGATCGCAGGTGGCTAAGCGCGCTGACGGACCCGGAGATGTACCCACTGATGTCCGAGTCAGATAGGTTGCTGCGAAGGAGGGACGGGAGGCGAATGGAAGCCAGGGAGCGATGAGAATGGGGGCGGTGAGAAGGTGAGAACGAAGAACCATACGACGGATCTGTCTCTCCGTTCTTGCCCGCTACCCGCCATTCTTGCCCACTACCCGCCACCCGCCATTCTTGCCCGCTACCCGCCACTCGCCATTCTTGCCCGCTACCAGCTCCTGACGGTGTTCACCCAACGGCGGCGGCAGCAGCAGCAGTCGGAGCAACGTACATTTCGATCACTCGTTGCGGGTCGGCCGACACGTCGCACGTGATGCCGTGCCACGGACTGCCCGCGTTCTCGCTGCCGTCGCTGCCGCACGGATCGCCCCACGTCCACGTCTGCAGCGCTGAGGAGCGATTAAAGCCGCTGTACATGTCCCCGAGCGCATCGACTGGCGGGTGGGCACGAGTAGGACAGAGAAGGAGAATTGTGGAGGGTGGGGGGAGAAGCGGAGAAGGAATGAGAGGGAGAGGGAGAGAGGGTGCGAGGAAGGAGAGGGGGAGAGATGGCCATGGGAAAAACATCGGGACGGGACATGCGCGAACGTGAGCTAACTCTAGCAAGTGTAACCACTAGGCCTATTTGGGCGTGCGAACATGAGCATCACGCGCAACCAACAGCAGCCGACTGGGCGAGCGCACTCACCGTCTTTCACGGACGTCAGGCCTGCCGCGAGTCCCATACTCGCGGCGATTGTAAGCGCGGCAAGAAGTACGGCGGTGTGGAGGGGAATACATCGGCGATGAGATACGAAACGAGAGAGAGGGCGAGCTTGGGATGGGGTTCTTAAGGGGCTCGCGCCGCTCGAACGCGGAGTTCTCGAGGCCATTAGAGACAAATCGATGGAGTTATGTGAGGAATTCTCGGTGCTACAGCCAGTGTTGCCAACGCCTTCGAGGCGCACGGCGCTACAGGCGCGCTAAAGTCGTGCTATCAAAGGCGGCGTTGAGAGATACGTGCTGGTTAAAATCCACCACAAGTGCTAGTGTGCGATACTTGCTGAAGACTTGCTAAATCTAAGAATATGCATCGACTGCGTGTACTAGTATCGGACAGCTGCTGAAATTTCCTAGGATCTCAGAATGCGTATTGACCACAAGTAGCGTGCGAGACATTCTAGATCTCGCCGACGTGGCGGTAGCGACGACATGGCCGAGTAGAGAACTGAAGACGAGGTGTCTCCTGCAATTCAAAATTCTCGAAAACTATCTTTCGTAGTCTAGAATCTCTATATCTTTCTCTCACGTGAGAAACGGACGTTGTTTCAAGATCGAGACGCCTCTTCGTGTGAATAGGGTGTGTGCGAACACACCGCAACCGAACTTGGTATGCCAGGTTACCGTCTGCGCCTTCAGTGGTGACTTCAGAAACGGTTTGTTTTCTACTAGGTTACTAGGTGTGTAAGAACATTCGCTTTCACCGACACGTCTCAGAGCAGCTACAGCGCTACCCAGCGGCGCACCTATTCAGAGTACGGGCGATACAGCAATGGAGGGTCAAGCTAAGCGAGCCAACCTGCTGGGGTGGTGAGAAACATAATGCTTTGCTTGCAGTAATGGCGTGTCGGGGTGACCGCTGACGTGTGGACTGACAGAGAAGGGTAGAGCAGAGGAGAGCAACAGTGGCGGCGTGTGTGACGCGCAAGTCCTAGCAGAAGAGTCTAGAGCCCAGCCCAAATGCGGCGCTCAAATAAGTGGAGCCATAAGATTCGGCGAGGTTTCGTTTCGAAGGCCTCTGGCACGCGATGGTGGGTAGGTGGTGCTGGTAATTGCATGCGCGCTAACCCAGTTTGGGAAGTAGCGGTGCTCATGACTAGCAGTTCGTGTATCAGAGTAAATTACTCGGTTGGTTGCGATCCAGAACGGTAGTCCTTGAGTACCGTGTCGAACATTGAAGAAACCATTTTAACCGAACTCTAAGTATGGTTGATCAGCGCCTTGTCCCTCGCGACAAGCATTGACTTGACGGAGGTGCACAGAATTGCAGACTGCTCATAGTTTGTGGCGCGAAAGAAGTGGGAACTCGAAAATTTCGCGCATCGAGCGGCTGCTAGCGACTCGATTTCGCATAGTGATTGGCCGCATGTAGTCACCGTTGGAGCGCGGTGCGTCAGTCCAATGCCCTCGTAAACCCCGATAGCAGTCAGACTGGACCAGAATCAAGGACAGAAAGCTTGCTGCAAAAGCAGACGGAAATACAAGTAAGTGTACAACGCATTGTATTTCCACTTACGGTATAAGTGCTTCATAATTGGTTCACACCTGCTGAAAAGTTGGAACTTCACTTTCAATTCACTGAACTAAGCAATCACCTTAGTTTGCTTGTAATTACCCCATTTGGAAGTACTGTGAACAGGCCAATTGATGGACCAAGACGGGGCTTGAGAAGAAGTGCTGTCGTACAACTTTTGAGGACAAGTTGGTTTCAGATACCGTCGTCGTCAATGATGGACATGGGCCAACATCGTAAAATTTCGGTTGGGAGAGATGAGTGGCATTATAACATCCCTTTTTAACAGGCATGGTCGCATGCCAACTGTCACGAACCTTGAACCCTATCCAGGACCGCTGCCCGGCCAGCAAAGAAACCATTTGTATAGGCAGCATTCTTGAACATAACCTGCAAGGTCAATAATGCGCATGGATTCAACATGAAAACAACCGTAAAGGGTAAACGGGATGCAGTACAAATGCAACCCATACCCGCCTGGCCAATGCTAGCATAAAGGCATGAAATGGAAAGTGTCGTCGAATATAATCCGTACCAGGGTGTGCTGAAGATTCAAAGCAAGCTCCTCATTGGCTTTGCTGGCACTAGAAGATTGATCCGCAGTCGCAGAGTCACCACTACATTTCTGCAGTTGGTGATGGGGAACGCAAATGCCAGAAGAATGCGGATGATTGAAGCAACCATGAGGCACGAAGGGACAAGGGGGGCATGCGCATGGAGCCGACGGGGTAGGGCAGTGGGGGAAGAGGTTGATGGGAAACCGAACGTAGAGTACAGACAGCCATACAGCTACCTTCATGTGCACTGCCAGCATGTCTAAGATGCGTGTGATGAGAATGAGGAAAGGGATGGTGGGAGTAGGAAAAGAGTAGAAAGAGCGGAGGAAGAGAGAAGGATGATACAAGGGTCGGTTGGAAGTGAGTAAGCTCACCTTCATGTGCTCTGTCAGCATGTCCAAGATCCGTGTCGTGCAAGTTGCCACGTCATCGCACGGTGGCCCCTTTGGTACGGCAGCCGCTGTCTTCTTCTGAGAACCTGCAGAATTTCAGTACAAAGCCACCCCACACTGATGCAAGTAAAATACAAAGCATAAGAGTCAAGAGAGCCATGATTCTACTGATCAGCCTATAGATGTACCACCAATTCACACATCCCGGGTTATACAAGTCACAGAAAAAACTCTTGCCACCTTCCACACTTTAACCTTTCGTGTGTGTGTGTGTGTGTGTGTGTGTGTGTGTGTGTGTGTGTGTGTGTGTGTGTGCGTGTGTGTGTGTGTGTGTTTTTGTTTTGTTTTTTCTGCACGCCCACACACCCACCTGACTTGCCCTTCCCTGCTGCAGCAGCACTGGCCTTGGGTGCATTGCTGCCAGCAGCATTAGAGCTGGCACTGGCACCGCTGGTAGTGCTGGTAGCAGCATTCGTAAGTGCAGAGGCGGAATCTGAAGCTGCAGCAGCAGTGGTGGCAGTGGGGAAAAGAGCAGCGAGGTCGGGCGGTTGATCCTTGCCCACCACCACGTTGGCCTGATAGGGAAGGAGGGGGTTTACGACAACAATGAGAGAGAAATACAGCTTTTGAGATTGTCTCAAAAGTCTGCTGCAGTAGCAGTGGTAGCAGCGGGGAGGAGGGCAGCAAGGTCGGGCGGTTGATCCTTGCCCACCACCACGTTGGCCTGATAGGGAAGGAGGGGGGTTACGACAACAATGAGAGAGAAATACAGCTTTTGAGATCGTCTCAAAAGTCTGCTGCACTAGCAGTGGTAGCAGCGGGGAGGAGGGCAGCAAGGTCGGGCGGTTGATCCTTGCCCACCACCACGTTGGCCTGATAGGGAAGGAGGGGGGTTACGACAACAATGAGAGAGAAATACAGCTTTTGAGATCGTCTCAAAAGTCTGCTGCACTAGCAGTGGTAGCAGCGGGGAGGAGGGCAGCAAGGTCGGGCGGTTGATCCTTGCCCACCACCACGTTGGCCTGCGAGGCAAGGCACGGAGCCAGAAATTATGGGAGAGAAGGACAAGTGGATAGAATCACTTGTGGAGGGTTTTCAGTCGATTCATGAAAGGGCAGCAAGGTCTGGCGGTTGATCCTTGCCCACCACCACGTTGGGCTGCGAGGTCTAGTTTTGAGGCGCCTCAAAGCTGCGAGGAAGGAAGGGACCACAATCACAATAAAAGAGCGGCCCGGAACGGACACCTATAAGCCTACCTGTTGAGCTGTATCAAAATACCATCCCCGCACACAAGCGTACCTCAAGGTCCACATAAGCCGGCTCAGAGCGACCGACAGAGCCAAGGAAGGACTCAAACGCCTCTCGAGTCAACGCTGTGCATAGCAGGGCAAGGGATGGGGAGGGAGGGAGGGGGGGGGGCGGGATGGACTTGAGAGGGCTGTTGATCCACATAAGCCGGCTCAGAGGGACCAACAGAGCCAAGGAAGGACTCAAACGCCTCTCGAGTCAACGCTGTGCATAGCAGGGCACGGGATGGGGAGGGAGGGAGGGAGGGTGGTTGCGTGGTCTTGAGGGGTAGAAGGGGACTAGAAGCAGCAGTAAGACATACCAAAAGCGGCGGATTCCAACTGTGAATGGAATAAAAGTGTGATTAAGTGTGAGATGAGATTGCTGTACAGTGACTGACTGACCATCTTACCAACAGTGGCATCGTTGGAGAGAGGGTGGAAGAGCAGGTGCGGTTGGGAGGTGAACCCTTGATCCAGCAGCAACACAACGTCTCTGAATCGCATGACATATGAGGGCAGGGCAGGAGGGATGGGGGGATGAGGAGGGAGGAGGAGGAACATGGGAGGTTCCGGGGGAAAGGAGAAGCATTGACTGCATGAGAAGCCTTGATCCAGCAGCAACACAACGCCTCTGAATCACATCACACAGGTAGGCAAGGAAGGAGGGATGGTTGGTGAAGGGAGGGCGTTTGAGAGGAGATGGAGGAGAGGCCTGGGTGTGGAAATTGTTGAGAGGTGAAACCCCGATCTAGAAACACAACACCTCTGAATTGCACGACATGGGAATGGGGGACCGGAGGGATGGTTAGGAAGTGAGCTGGGTTGAGTGGGGAAAGGAGAGGCCTGAGTTTGTCAGTAGTTGAGTGGAGATGCCTTGGACCGAGCCGGGTTGAGGGGTTGGAGATTTTAAGGGCGAGAGGTGAGGCACTGTGTGAACCAAACAGAGATTGTTCCAATACACAACAAGTTTACTTAATTGACATAATCACAAGAAGCGGAGTCACTGAAAAGAGCCAGAGGGGTGATGCAGCAGCCAGCAGGCACGTGCAGCACGGCAGTCAGGCTCTCATCTGGTGCACACACACGTTGCACCAGGAGAGTCAAAAGGAGTGTCATAACATACAAAGCGTTACTCACTTGGCAGAGTCATTGAAGAGAGCGAGAGGGGTGACGCAGCCAACATGCACGTGCAGCACTGTAGTCAGGCTCTCATCCGATTGCATACCTTGCACAACCTAACAAACGTTTCCTCACTTGGCGGAGTCGTTGAAAAGGGCCAGGGGGGTGACGCAGCCAGCAGGCACCTGCAGCACGGTGGTGAGGTTCTCATCTGGTGCCATGCGCAATCCGCCCTTGCCCAGTCCCAGCCTCTGTGACAGCACTGAGAGGGAGGGATCGGCAGAGGAACACAGAGAAACAAAACGATGCATGGGGTTCCGTGAATCAACGCCGCACTGCCCTTGATTGGGCCATGCGTGGCACACCCCTCCTTGATTCAGGTTCTCGTCTGGTGCCATGCGCAGTCCTCCATTGCCCAGTCCCAGCCTCTGTGACAGCACTGGAAGGGATGGACCACGAGAGGATAAAGGGGATAATGAAGGCAAAGTGATGGCAAGATGAAGGTGAGTGAGATGTAGGTAAGATGAAGGTGAGAGGATGGTGAGATGAACGTGAGAGGAAGTGAGAGGAAGGTGGGGATGAAGGTGAAAGGAAGGTGAGATGACCGTGGGAGGAATGTGTGATGAAGGTGAGATGAAGGTTGGATGGCATTAAACAGGGGTCAAGTCAGGTGCAACACTAGTCAGGTGCAACACTAGTCAGGTGCAACACTAGTCAGGTGCAACACTAGTCAGGTGCAACACTAGTCAGGTGCAACACTAGTCAGGTGCAACACCAGTGAAAGTGCTGCTTACGCTTGAGGTCGATTTTGGTCTTGGTGAGAGCTGAGATGAGAATGAGCCGACCCTTCTTGTCCTGCACACACACAAGCATACGCACGCACGCATGCACGCACACACACACGCAGGCAGGCAGGCAGGCACATGCACATGCACACACGCACGCACACACACACACACACACACACACACACACACACACACACACACACACACACACGTTGCCAGAGAAACACGAACTGATGATGCATTCAGAAACACACAAACATGAACAGAAAGTGCAATCCCCAGATTCATTCGCAGAAACGAGGATCGGGGGGTGAATTAGCAAAGCTTTTCTTACCTTAAGAAGAAGGTTCTTGGTAAATTCTCCTGTAGCTCCTGTCACTTGAGCAGCCTGTAGGAGAATGGGAATGAGGGACAGGGGACGAGGATCAGGGGACGCGTGGCAGAGGACGCGGACAGAAGGGAGTGGGGACGGGGGACAGGGGAAAGGGGACGGGGGAGAGTCACACAGAGATGAGAGAAGACTGCAAAGGAATACTTCTACGGAAGTTGGCAACAACGGATAAATTCTGCAAAGATGGAGGGATTTGATGGATGCGGAGGGGGTTACTTGCATGCGCTGCACAGAGCTCATGCGCGTTAGAGCTCATGCCTTGAGTCACCTGCGCTCAGAACGAACCTGTTCATCTACAGTAAGAACCGGCGGATGCGAGTAGAGTTGGTAGGTGATATCCAGTTCCTGCCAGCCACGTGGGAAGCAACAATCGAATCAAACCAAATCAAGTCGAATCACATCCGCTGTAAGCACCGTCGGATGTGAGTAGAGTTGGTAGGTTAAACCTAGTTCTTGCCAACCACGAACAAATCCCTGTGAATCAAACCAAACCCAGCGAAAAGTTGGACCAGGGTTCAACAGCTCTTCCATCGGTCGCATTTTTCAGCGAAAAGTTGGCTTTTGAGGCGTCTCAATAGTCGCATTGTCAGCGAAAAGTTGGACCAGGAACCCAGACAATGCGACCGATGGAAGAGCTGTCAAAGCGCGAAGGAACAGTCTATAATCTCGTATCATGGTATATACGCCTTTATAAGATAGTAACGGTGTCGCTAGCGCTTTAATGATGACAATGTTGATAATGAGAATGTCGCTAATAGAGATCATTGTTCTCAAGCGTCTCAATTCTCGATATTGCCGATGGTAGCGCTTACAGTGAATCGTTTCAGGAGCGCGTCCTGCTTCGCGTGAGCGGCTTCCAGGGACACCATGATGCTCGCGAAACCTAGCGACGACGAGCCGGAATTCGTGCCAGCGAATGGCAGACCAGCTAACAAAACGCTGGTTCGCGGTACCGAACGGCTAGCTGAATGACAGGCCGGACGGCGGAAATTTCAGGTTACTGGCCGAGACGCTGTATCAGGTCGGATACAGCGATGGAATGGCTCTATTATCAGGGTGAAAATAGGTACTGGACCAGGAGGTATGTGATTTGATTAGGCCAGGTTGAAGCAAACCCAGGTGGTTCAGGGGAGAAGGATTTTGCTATCAGATATCCGCGATATGGGGCATTGGAATGAGGTGACTTCGAAATTGTGTATTTCTTACTCTACTGCACAAATGCTATCCACAACATTCCATCAACAGACTCAATCTGATCTGGTAGCAGCTGAACTAGGGACCACGTTTTAACTTTGGTACGAAATGGAGTACGAGCCAGTATTGGGGTCCTTCACAGCCTTGAAATTGTCTACACTCATTCCAAAGTGCCCCAAAACGGAGTTCCCAAGGTCCTTCAATTTGCCTGAATCACACACAAACCACAGCAAACACCAAAACAAAACCATGCCTTATACTCCATATTAGAGGGAAAGAGCAAAAATCAGCAACAAAGCTACAGTAACAAACCACACTTACCCAACATTTCCTCTTTGAGCTTTTCCCTCCTCTCTTCAACAATGGGCTCCAGTCGCCTGACAGATGATCTGGCTTGTGCGTTGGTTTTGTCCACTTCCAACACTTTCTTATAATCTGGAATGCGTGGTGGATGTGGTAAAAAGTGCGAAGGAGAAGGACAAACATGACATACACGCGCATCATTGCCTCCACACACATCGCTCTCTCCCAGAGTCTCTTCCAGCTTCCCCAGCATCTCCCAAGCCTGGACCCATTGCATAATGGCTTTCACACAGCTCCGGGACAGAACCATGGCAAGCCAGAACCCATCATTATCTCTGCCATACAGACCCAACTGCCGTGCCCCCTCTCTCCACACATGCATCCCTCTCCTTCCACCATATATCACAAGGTTCGTTGGTTGGCTTCAAGCCGCACTCACTCACCTCCCAGCGCCTCGTCCAGCTTGTCCAGCTTCTCCCATGCCTGTGCACGCCGCATGATCGCCTTCACATAGTCCAGCTTCCATACTCCTTCCATCCACACATGCACTATTCTCCTTCCAGAAACACAAAACATGAATGTCCCATTCACTCACCTCCCAGCGCCTCTTCCAGCTTGTCCAGTTTCTCCCATGCCTACGCCCGTCGAATGATCGCTTTCACATAGCCCAGCATCCACACACCCTCCATCCACACATGCACTTTCCTCCTTTCGAAAACTCCAAAGGGTTCAGTCTCACTCACCTCCCAGCGCCTCTTCAAGCTTGTCCAGTTTCTTCCATGCCTGGGCCCGTCGCATGATCGCCTTCACACAGCCCAGCATCCCCACTCCCTCCATCCACACATGCACTTCTTTCCTCATAGAAACTCAGAGGCTTCAGTTGGAGTCCCACACACTCACCTCCCAGCGCCTCTTCAAGCTTGTCAAGTTTCTCCCATGCCTGGAACCGTCGCATGATCGCCTTCACATAATCTGGCTTCAAATCCATGGCTGCTGTGCTCTCTGTCACACATGCATCATACTCATTCTGTGGAAATCAACAGGGTGGAGAGGAGAGTGGGGAGAGGGGGGGAAAGGCAAGCTTTTGGTGCAGCTGTCCAACTGCACGCGACTTTTGGAGATTTCGCAAAAACCTCTCAAGTGGCTGAAATAAAAGCTCTCTCACCAGCTGCAGGTGGCACATGGCTCTGTTGGCATGGTAGATGGCCCGGGCCTCCTTCGCCTCTGCATGTTCCGCCCCAGGCGCTGCTGCCAGTGCGTTGCTGTAGCTCTCCAGCGCTGCGTTATAGTCACCACGCTTGTACGCCTCGTTCCCCCTCGCTTTAATCGCCTCTGCTTCTGCCAAAGCTTTCTGGGTGGCCGCGGCGCGATGGAGCCATTCGGAAAAAAGAGCCCAGGAGGGGAGCGGGGCCCAGGGGTGGGGGAAGTGGGGAGGGGAGAATTCAGAAGTTTCCCCTTGCTTTAATCGCCTCTGCTTCCGCCAGAGCTTTCTGGGTGGCCGTGACGCGATGGAACCATTCAGAAAACAAGTGCCGGTTTTGGGTGGAAAGGGCAGAATTCAGTGGCAAATGACACAAGATGTGAAGATAAAAGAAACGACCAGCTCACTAGCGTCCCCGTCACTTACGAATCAACACAGGGAATAACTGAAATCAGCCAAAAAACAGCTTACTTTGTGGATCTCCTTCCTATCAAAGCATCCTCGCGATAAAAGAAGTATTTAAGACGTCTCAAAACACTTTGTGGATCTCCCTCCTATCAAAGCATCCTCAAGCACCAGCTATATTGATGTGACTTTTGAGAATTCTCAAAAGTCACATCAAAGCATCCTCGAGCACCAGCTATATTAATGTGACTTTTGAAAATTCTCAAACGTCATATCAAAGCATTCTCGAGCACCTCTTCCCCTTTCCCCCTTTTCCCTTTCCCCTACTCCGTTTCGCCGTTCCCCCTTCCCTTCGACCCTTCCCTCTACTTCTCCCTCTTCCGCTCACCTTGCGCAGCTCCTATTCTGTCAGCGCATCCTCAAACACCTCTTCCGCCCTCTCCTGATTCCCCTTCCCCCTTGCCCTTTTCCCCTTCCCCCTTGCCCTTTTCCCCTTCCCTTACCCTTTTTTCCCTTTCCCCCTTCCCCCCTCACGTCCGCTCACCTTGCGCAGCTCCTCTTCTGTCAGCGCATCCTCGAACACCTCTTCCGCCTCTTCACCCGCTGCCGCTTCTCCGCCACTCCCCGCCGCCAAATCGCTGAGCGCGTCTTTGAATCCACCCTGCTCCCCAGGCTCGTTCTCCCCTCCCCGTTCCGCCTCCCCTTCCCCCGCGGAGTCCTTCCCCCCCGCCTTCACCCCTCCCCGCTCTGTCTCCCCTCCTTCCGCGGACTCCCCTCCCCCTTCCTTCTCTCCCTCCCCCGCCTTGGCGCCTCTTCGCCCTGACTCCCTTCCCAACGCGGACTCTCCTCCTTCCGCCTTCGCACCTCCTCCCGACGAACGACTCCCAGCAGCGCCGTTTTGATTCGCCTCGAAATCCGCATCCGAGGATCGCAGTCCATCACCTCCTACATCCGACGGTTCTACGCCAACCTCGGCTTCGTCAGATCCACTTCCTGATCGTGATCCGACGGTTCCTGCATCTCCAATAGCAATTCTCGCCGCTGACGAACTACTTGTATTATGAGCGGCTGAACTTTGAGGCTTACTATTCTCGACACATGTATCCTCTATTTCCTCGATCTCAACCATTCTGCCGCGAAGTTCAAGAACGATTCTCAATTACAAGAGAAACTTCGTTTCCGGCTCACTACGTCGATTCCACTCCTTGGGAATTTGCTCTATTCGGAGCGATCAATGCGGAGCTCACTCAACTCGAGTTGAAGCAGAGATGATTTGAGACTCGAGCTGACTGACTGAATCACAAGACCCCAACACCTTCATATTCTTACTCGTTACACACCGAATCCACTTAAAGCCCGAGTCTAGAATGGTAATGTTTTATAAATACTGAACTTGAAATTATGTTAGCGAAGGGTTGCGACAGTTTAATTCGCAGAACCTGGGTGGCGAAGGTTGACGAGCGCGGAATGAGACCCTGCGTACTGTTGGCCACTTTCAAGTTCAAGAAACCTGAAGGCTGCACACAGGACAAACGTGGCACAAGGCGAGAACATGGAGGGTCCGAGGGGTCACACCTGAAAGTCGAATGTGTGATTGACACTGGTAGTGTACCGTATTACAAACTGCTTTACAGCATATAAGACTGGTGTGAAAAAGCTTATAAGACTGACGTGATAGCAATTCTGAAGTGGAAATAAGGTCTTTCACATACCATACTCTGTGTGGGTGAAAGAGCAACAGTAAAGTGAATTACAGATGATTTCCACATTTCAATACAAGGTGAAACAAGGGACATAAAAAAAACAGATGAGATAGTTTGTCAAGTCAATTATTCCTGAAAATGACTGCCTCATCCATCTCGAGCCCATTCTCTCTCTTCCGGTTCATAACCGCGAAAGGTGCGTGGTGGTGCTGCACATGCATTTTGTGAGTCGCAAGTCGGGGGCGCGACTTGAGAAGACCCTGGAGTGAGAAGGGAGGACAAGGGGGGAAACGGAGTGAAGGACATGGGGGAATGGGAGGGAGGGACAAGGGGGGAAACAGAGGGTAGGACAAGGGGGAAAGGGAGGGAGGGACAAGGGGCGAAACGGAGGGAAGGACATGGGGAAAGGTAGGGAGGAACAAGGGGAAAATCGGAGGGAAGGACAGGGGGAAAGGTAGGGAGGAACAAGGGGCAAAACGGAGGGAAGAGGGAAGGACAGGGGGAAAGGTAGGGAGGAACAAGGGGCAAAACGGGGGGAAGGACAGGGGGAAAGGGAGGGTGGAACAAGGGCAAAACGGAGGGAAGGACAGGGGGAAAGAATGAGAGGAACCCAGGAGGATGTCGGGAGTGAGAGAGCGTCGGGGGTGAGAGAGCGTCAGGAGTGAGTGCGGGGCGGGAGTGAGGGAGCGTCGGGAGTGAGTGCGGGGCGGGAGTGAGAGAGTAGTGGGATTGCGGGAGTTACAGAAAATTAGAGAGTACTACTAGATAGAGAGTAATGATGGGCAGGGGAAACGAAGTCGACAAGGGCGATGAAAATGAGTGAGCGGGTTGAGGATGGGCAGATGGGATATGGAAGGGGGAGAGGGAGAGGCAAGGGGAAATGGAGGGAAGGGCGGGGAAGCGGATGGGTTCAGAAAGGGGGAACACTAGTGCTCTGAACGGGCAGGGAGAACAAGGGCGGCGCGCACGGAAAGTGAGGGCGGCGGGCAGCGCAAACAAGACGAGCGCAAAGAGCGGGGAGCGGGAAGGGAGGGTAGGAGAGAGAGGTGGGAAGAGTGGAGGTGTGAGGCAGGGGAGGAGTGGTAAAGAAGGTGGAAGGGGTGAAAGGTGAACCGAAAGAAGGAGGGATGAATGGAAGAGGCGAAGAGGCAAAGAGAGCATGGGGCATGTGGCATGTGAACATGGGGCATTGGGCATGGGGCATGGGGCATGGGGCGTGGGGAAGCTGCCCGCAGGGAAAGGGGGAAACTGCACGTAGGGAAAGGGGGAAACTGCACGTAGGGAAAGGGGGAAACTGCACGTAGGGAAAGGGGGAAACTGCACGTAGGGAAAGGGGGAAACTGCACGTAGGGAAAGGGGGAAACTGCACGTAGGGAAAGGGGGAAACTGCACGTAGGGAAAGGGGGCGGGAAATGTGCGTAGGGAAGCGGGGACGCTGCACGTAGGGAAGGGGGGACGCAGCGCAGAGGCGAGAGGCGGAGGGTAGAACTGTGTAGGGAAGGGTAGAACTGTGTAGGGAAAAAGGAGAGGCGAAGAGGGAAGGAAGGCGAGAGGCGGAGAGGGACGGGAGGGACCGAAGGGAAGAGAGCGACGGGAGCAACGTGAGCGACTGTACAATCCAGAATGTTCGAATTCCGTTGGACGAACTTCGCGACATTCGAGCAGTTCATACGCCCTCTGTGGTTGTGAAAGAATCGTGATCGCAATGGTAACTAGTTTCGCCAGCTATTTCGCGTCTAAAAATGTCTCCTCAAGCCACTTTCGCGATAAAGAGCGGTTCGCTGTAACAACCCGCCAGAGAGAAATCGAATCACTTTCTCCTCCACAAGAAAGATTGCTACTCCAAGAATCTAGTATCAAAATTTGTACAGGAGGCTACAAGCATGCAGCCATTCATTCCTACAGCTGAGGCATCCTAAAAAAAAAAAAAAAAAAAAAAAAAAAAAAAAAAAAAAAAACATGGGCTGGTCGATCGTTTGAGGGGACCACTATGCCCTCGTATCTGATGGAACGCTTTACATCCACTTCAAGTAGCTGATATCATTCTCCCTCCTGATCGACCACACGGGTTACACCGGAAGACTGTGCCCACTTCTGCAGACTCCTTCAAGGCGTCTAAAAAACTGGACCTTTTATTTTGGGGAGCTGGTAGAGGTTGGTGTCGCTTTCCCCCTTGATAAACCGCACGGGAACTAGGGGGATATGGTGCCACCACTCCCACAGCCTCCTCCATCAAGGCACCTAAAAAACTTGGTGTTGACACATCGCCTAGAACCAGCAGCACCACGACTCGCAGAGGGAGGACGACTAGTAGAAATCGGCATCGTTCTCCCTCTCGATAAACCGGACGGGAACCACCGGGATATGATGCCACCACTCCCTTAACCTCCTTACAAGCCGTCGCGTTTGGTCTCTCCGGAACTCCATTTCTCGTGTGAACACGTCGCCTAGCACCAGCAGCACCACGACCCGCACCGGGAGAATGGCGAGAAGGATGGCGAGGACTACGTGGACGGCGATCAGTTCGTCGGTGGCTGTTGGGAGCTCGGAGAGGGCTAGCGCTCGTGCTTTGAGGAGTGCGATGTTGAGTGCTTGGATGGCCGCCTCCACCTGTAGGGGATACCGAGAAAAAAAGCAGGGAGGACAAATCACACAAGGAGGAGTGAGAAGGATGGCAAGGAATATGTGCACGGCAATTAGCTCGTCTGTGGCTGTTGGGAGCTCCAAGAGGGCTAGCGCTCGTGCTTTGAGGAGTGCGATGTTGAGGGCTTGGATGGCTGCCTCCACCTGTAGGGGATACCGAGAAAAAAAGCAGGGAGGACAAATCACACAAGGAGGAGTGAGAAGGATGGCAAGGAATATGTGCACGGCAATTAGCTCGTCTGTGGCTGTTGGGAGTTCCGAGAGGGCTAGCGCTCGTGCTTTGAGGAGTGCGATGTTGAGTGCTTGGATGGCCGCTTCCACCTGTAAAAGAGGATGGGTAGGGTGTGCATGGAAGTGGACTTGTCCATAGCCGTGCGAGAAGTTTGGAAGCACAGCAGATATCTCACCTGAAAACAACAAAGGCCCACCTGAACCAGAAAAGCCTCACCAGAAAACAACAGAGGCCTCACCTGAAGCAATAGAGGCCTCACCTGAGCTAGAGCAGCCTGAAGCACGACCAGCTGCTCCACGGCGCTCTGATTGGGCGGCGTGATCACCACCACCTCGTTTCTCCGGTTCGGCGGGCGGCGTCTGTCGGACTGTTGCACGAAGCGGAGCCACATCATGATGACCGCGTTGGTCAGGAGGAGGAACGGGATGACGTACCCGAGCCAGTCCCTGAGGTTCGGATGGCGACAGATGGAAGGGAGTGCGTGTCAGCAAAGGCAAATCCAGATGACTCATAGGAAAACAGCTTTGTTTGTTTGTTTGTTGTTTGTTGTTTGTTGTTTTTTGTTCTTTGTATTTTTGTTTTTTTTGCAAGGCTTGGAGCCTTTAATGATGTACAAGGATTGCAACGTGGAAAACAGCAGAACGCCCATACACAAAATCTTACTTGTAGATGATGTAGAGTGCAAAGGCTAGAAAGACCATGGTCTTGATAGGCTCCTCCCATGAGGCTAACGACTGGAACCACTGCCCTAGCAGCATGGCTGGCACTAGTAGCTCCTGTGGTACGGAGGGACGGGGGGAAGGAGAGGGAAAGGGGAACATAACGTTTTAAGCCATGAGGCTAACAACTGAAACCAGTGGCCTGGCAGCATTGCTGGCACCAGCAGCTCCTGTGGTGGGGAGGGAAGAGCGGAAAGGAGAGATAACGGGGAACGTGGAAAAAAGAGTGGTGTTTAAGCACTCCCACAGGGCTCAGGATTGGGACCATTGGCCTAGCAGCATCACTGGCACAAACGCCATACATGCTTACTACTCTCTTTCAGACTGTCAGAGTAAAACGCCAACAAATGCTTCCTTTCACACACTGTACCTTCATGAGAGCCACGTTCGTCCCAATGCCCTCCACCTTCACTTCTTCCACCGATCTCTTCGCCTTGGCCACTTTACTCGACTTGTCTCTCGAGTTCTTCACCGCCCTCTCAAGAGCCGTCATCTCCCCTACAAGCACATCCCCTACAGGCATAGACGGGCATGAACCCACTCCCAGTGCCCCTGCTCCTCCTCCGCCCATTAGCCCTGCTGTGCCAGGGAGAAATGCAGCTACTGCTGCTGCTGCTGCACTGCCCCCTTGCTGCCATCTGCTCGATACTCCCCCTGCTGCTGCTCCTCCTGCTGCTGCTCCTCCTCCTACTTCTCCTGCTGTTCCTGCTCCTCCCCCCCCCTCCCCCCCCACCACCTACTCCTCCTGCTCCCCCACCCTCCTCCTCTCCCCCGCCCCCTCCACCTCTCCCTCCGCCTCCCCCTCCTCCGCCCCCACCTCCACCTCCTCCCCCTCCACTCCCAAACCCGGCATTTCTCACAGCTGCAGCGGCAAACTCCCCTAGCTTCTCCAGCTGCTCCCGTTCTTTTTTTGGGCTGCCCGAATCCGCCTTAAGCACGCCCGCCATGGCCCGCAAGATTTTATCCCCGCCCGGAAGCTCGTCCGCAGCAATGAAAGTTAGGAGGCTCTCTGGCGCTGTAGGGAGAGCCTTTTGTAAGCTCCACACGGCTTTAAGTCGCGCTATACCCCTCACGGCTTTGGCTATAGCCTGCCTGCGAGTGGGGCCTTCTAGCTTGTAGGTCCGGACAAAGGAATGGACGGCTATGATTTCGCGGATGATGGACAGCCAATAGTCTCTCCGCATGTGTGCGGTCAGTTCGGGAAACTCCAGAACCACAGGCTCGGTTCTGAAAAGGTGACAGACCAGCAGACAGAAAGGCGGGATCGGTGGGATGGGTGGGAGAGGTGGGACGTGGAAGGGTAAAGGAGAGTGGTTAGTGAAGCTGGAAGTAAATGTGTGCTGCTAGCTTGGTGACTTTTGAGTCGACTCAAAAGTCACCTTGGGTAAAGGAGAGTGGTTAGTGAAGCTGGAAGTAAATGTGTGCTGGTAGCTTCAAGGACTCCAGAACCGATTGGTAAAGGCCTGCCATGAGATCAAGCTTCCTTTCTGCACACACAGTCCTGACCACTGCAGAAATTGGCTTTCAATGTTTTGAGTACGGTCATCAAGGTTCAGAGGTTCAGGGTCTGGCATCTTATGTTTAAAGTTCAGTAACAAAGGTTCAGAGGTTCAGGGTTTGAAGATTGACTCACATGGCGTGGGATTTGTACATGATGGCCTTGTCAAAAAGCTTCGCCCCCCACGGGCCAGTGAGGTCTGGCTTGACTGTCTGATGGAGGTCTGCTGCTAGATCAAACTTCTTTGCTGCGTCGTAGGATACGACACCACTGGGCTCGAAGTATAGGGCACAATCTGTGAGGGTCAACCGACCTGAGTGAGGGGGGACAGATATTGCAGGAATGGGGGAATGGAGGGGGTGGTGGGGTTATAGTAAACATATTTCCTGCATGGTACAAGACAATGCCACAGGAAAGGAACTGACGTCTATGTGCTGCAGCACTGGCTGTGTTGCCTGCCCGTGCATCCATATCATTGCCCCCTCGCCCCTCACTACCCCCAAGGCCCAACCAAACCCTAATCGGCGAACTCTGCAACTGAAACCCAAACCCCAAGGGCGAACGGAGCTCGCACCTGGCCAGGCACTGACGCCTATGTGCTGCAGCACCGGCTGTGTCGCCTGTCCGTCCGTCTCGATCACTGCCTCCTCGCCCCTCACTATCCCTAGAGCTGAGGCCAACGCCCCAGTGGTGGAGTTCTTTATTGTCTTCACCGTCCTGTTGCAGAGGGAGAAGAGGCAGTGGAAGGAGAGGAGGAAAGATGTGCTTATTCCCTGTTATTGCCTGTCCGTCCGTCTCAATCACTGCCTCCTCGCCCCTCACTATCCCTAGAGCTGAGGCCAACGCCCCTGTGGTGGAGTTCTTTATTGTCTTCACCGTCCTGTTACGGGAGGAAGGGGAAGGGAGGGGAGGAAGGAGGGGAGGGGAGATGCGCTTACAACCTATTGGTGGCCATTCGCCTTGATCACTGATTACTGATTGCTGCAGGGTGTTTTTGAGAATTCTCAAAAACACTTTGAAGGGGAAGGAGGGGAGGGGAGATGCGCTTACAACCTATTGGTGACCATTCGCCTTGATCACTGATTACCGATAGCTGCCCATCTCTTCATGTATCACCCACGTGTAGATAGGTTATTTTTGAGACGTCTCAAAAATAACCTATCTACAGGAGGGGAGGGGAGATGCGCTTACAACCTATTGGTGACCATTCGCCTTGATCACTGATTACTGATAGCAGCCCGTCTCTTCATGTATCACCCACACTCACTGCATTGCCTGCCCGTGAACTGTCAACCACCATGTTTGGTCCAGGGAAGTTTGCAATGGCTGGATAGCTCACTCCTCAATGTCTGGAAACTCCCTCTCTTTTTGAGGCGCCTCGAAAACAGACTGGCTTGCTGCGCGCGGCGGCAGGATAGCTCAGTTCTCAATGTCTGATAACTCTCTCTCCTTCAAACTTAGTTGCTGGATAGCTCAGTTTGCTCATTTTTCGAGCTCACTGAGGTAGTTGTTGTAGATGGCGAGAGTGAGATTGCTTACAAGGCCTGATGGCTCACTTCTCGACAGGACCAAAGAGCTCGCCCATTCTTCCAAGGCCAAACACAGTTTGCTCACTTTTCGAGCTCGCTGAGGTAGTTGTTGTAGATGGCGAAGGGAAGGCGGCCGCCCTGGCACTCGTCAGTGAGCAGCTCAAAGAGCGCGTGCACTGTCACACTGTCCGCCACCAGCGGGATGGCTGGAGCTAGCCGGGCGAACGCGTCCATGCACACACTGCTCTCCACGTCCATCTGAAGGAGGAGAGAGGGGCGGATGGGAGAGGGGGAGGGGAAGGGTGGATGGAAAAAAAATAGGTTCAAGGAAGGGAAACGTAGAGGGAGAGAGGTGGACGGGGACGGGTGGGGAAGTAGCAGAAGGCTGCGCATAGAAGCCCTTGGTGTTCACAACAACAGAAACAAGTGGGCGGCACGAGTAAATTTACACAGAAGAGAACTAAACTCTTCACCTGCTCATCACATCCCCCTTTCCACCCTTCTACGCACGCCAAGACCATAAACCTAATACTACCTGTCCAGGCGGCTAGTTGGCTGCTCCTGCAACCTCTCACGCAAGCATCATGGTCCACCAAGCACCAGCAGCTCTCACAGGCCCACCAGAAGCAGGAATCTCCAGAGGAAAAACGCCGGTCCCCACAACATTCGAACTCGAACCCCACCCTACCTGTCCCGTGGGCTGATTTGAGGCGCCCGGCGCCTCCCACGCGAGCATCATATCGAACGTCCACCGCCGGAAGTCTTTGTCCTTAAGGTGCTCCGTCACCTGCGTCGCCACGGCCAGCGCGCGGAAGCAGCAGTACTCGAGGAAATTGCGCGCGTACCGCGCCGGCTCTCGCGCGCTCGCAGGCGCCTCCTCCTCGAAATTCGCTTTTAGCTCCTCCGGTTTGAGCATCAGGACTCTGGAACGGGAAAAGGGATGGTGGGATGCATGACGGACGCTATTAGGTGAAATAACTGATGGATCAATATGAGTTATTAATGGCTTTTAGGGTTAGGTGTGAAAAGGCTCCAGTAAAAAGCAGCAGCGACGAGAGAACAGCAACTCGGATGATGCTGGAAACCTTACGGAGCCAAAAAAGGTAACATGTTACGGGTTTCTAAGAGTTTGAAAAACGAGCCGCACGGTGCATACCTCGCGCATCGGCCAACAACCACATTAGCCATCGACGAGAGCTCCTTAATCCACTTCCCGCCAGCGCGCTCAAGCGTACTTAAACTAGCGCTCAGCTGCCCTGCGCCGCCAGTAGCAGCAGCCCCATCTCTCGGACTGCGTGTAATAGTCTCCCATCCCAGAAGCTCAGATTCGCTCATGTAACCTGCCATAGACGAAAAAGCGTCTGAGGAATTCCGTGGAGGGGAGGACCCAGAACCGAAGAAACCCTGACCTCCACCCCCAGATGAACCTTGTCTGGGTCCGATTCCGGCAGCGCCGCTGATTCTGTCGATAACTTGCGACGCCTGCTGCTTGATGTTGGAAATGTCCTGAACGGCTTGACGAAACGCGCGATGAGGTCGCCATGGCTCTTTCTCTGGCTTCTGAGGCGTCTCGTACGGTGAAGATGGTGATCTTACATGTTCCGAACGTAAAGGCTCGGCTTCTAAGCTCATCGCGGAGGAGGATTTCACGAGGCGAGGTTCGGTCATGGAGCCTGACGAACGCGCCGAGCCTGACGAGCCTGACAACAAAGGTAAACAGATCCAATTCTTTGGTTCCGCTAATTCGTCCGAGAAAAGAGCTCCGACACACAAGAGAAAATCGTCTGGTGGTACCTTGCTCGAGTTGCTAGCAGGGATGCGTAGCGTTGAAGCTTTGGACTCCTTTCGTGTACGGCTGTTTTCTCTGCTAAACCAATTGAATCGAGCGCGATGACGAGCTGAAACCGAAACTACTCCATCCAACACGAGAGCATCTGTCGGCTTGGCAGCGACGACCGCGGCGGCACGAATCGAGGCTGGAGCAGCGTGGAGACACACACGGTAAGATGGAAAACTAAGACTAACAGAAGCCAGAGTGACAGGTGCTGAAGGGTATTTGTTATGGATGAAGGTTGCTCGGGGCAAGGAGGAGCCTAGTGTCTAGTTTTGTGGCGGTTTATTGCTAATCTATCTGGTTTCTGTGCGTTGCTAAGCGATTGAATACGGTGAAAGTGAAAACTGAAATGGGCTGGAGTTGTGAAAACTGAAATGATGCTTTCCTGATTGGCTTGGGCTCATTGTTGTGACGCGATCCACTTCCGTCAGGCGTAGCCTTGAAGTTGCATTTTCGTTCGAAGTCCTAGAGGGTGGCTTGGCTCGCCTTGGAGTTGTCGAAAAGTTGACTGGAGTTGGCAGATTTCTCCACTGGAATCGCTCGGTGCTCGTTTGAGCTGAAGGGTGGGGCTAGTGCCAACGGAAATCACGCACCTGATTGCCGTGCCCTGGTGGTTTCGGGACTGTCATTTTGAAAAACCATTGGGTTTGGTTTGGACGGTCTGCATTCGCCTTTTATCTGCTCATGCAGCCAGCCTCGGTATGCGGTGTAAGGTTCGGAACGGACCTGCCAAAGGTAAGGCTTGTTGTTCGGGCCACAGCGGATTATCGAACCTCAATGTCGGTGTCGCTAGACGACGCGTAACGACGGAGATATGAGTCGCGCAGCGTCGATTCGCGAGCATCTCGTCGTAAGAATCTGGCAGATCTTTCGCGAAACCCCATGCGCGACACATGATTCCGAGTGCCAGAATGCATGGTGCTTGGTGCTTGCATGGCGCTTCGTCACGTCACACAGTGCGGGGCTCTAGTCAGCCATCACGCTTCTCAGCGATGACGTGGCAAACAGAAGAATGCGTTGGGGGAAACTGGGAGCCAGACCTGCATGTCGTTGATTGCGGTAACCCACGCTGGTTCCAGGCTCAACTGCCTCACAAATTGGAAGATAACTCGTTATGAAAAGGTTCGTCATGAACATGATTCCATTTTTCAGACCCTGTTTTTGCGCTGGGTTTCCTGTCTCGTAGTCTCGAAATCCTTACCAACCGTTTTGTTGCCTTGAAGCACCGTTCTGCAGCGCAAGCCGCATTGAAGAAGCTGGTTTATATGACAGCCTCAGCAGTGGGCCTAGCAAATTCACATTTTCCATTTCAAGAACCGTGACCGCGACGCCTCCTGTTACTCATACTGCGTAGCGACTACTTCTACTAACTGCTCTTTACGTGAAAAGCGAATTCAGTTATCCTCGTATTCCGGCTCAAGGTTTACATTTGAAATACCCGTAGTCTAACAGCAGTCCAGTCTTGCGATTCTACAAAATTTCCTCGGACACCCATGGGACCGTTGGCATCAGAGGAGCGACCGCTTGATGCAGACGCGTTCGTTGCGGCTTCAGCGGACCTGGTCAGCACCCCGAGTAAGCCACCATCGTCCACGCACCTACAACGTGTTTTTTCTCGAAAGATTTTTTTTTGGAAGAGCTTTTGCGAACTTTATGAACTCATGGCCAGCCTCATGAGCCTATGATGAGCCGTGTCAACACCTGCACATAGTGATTTTTATGGCTCGGAGCGCTCCCTACCTCTGTTAGGGCGAGTTTGAGACGTCCCGGAACCCTCTGTGTTTCGTCAAATCTGCTCTTCTGACGCCCATCTGCTCTTTTTATTACGTTGTTTACGCTGCTCCTCTTTTCCTCTTCTCCCACGGCTCTCAGCATCGGATGATGGGTCAGTCACTGCCTTCTTGAGCAGCTTCCCTCTGCCACTCATTCTCAGGTATTACAAGGCACAGTACGTAGTACTTTGTGCAGCATTCACTGTACTGCTCTATTCCGTGTACCATTCACTGTACTGCTCTATTCCGTGTACCATTCACTGTACGCTGCATGCCTGTGTTGCTTTCTATTGCAATTCTCAGGGACACTAGAAGTATATTCAACCAATTAGCATGCCTCGCTGTCCTTTGTCTTTCAGGGCATTAGACACTGGACCATCATCTCAGACACAAGGCATGGAGGAGGAGGAGGGCGAGGGAGACAGGGGAGTTTCAGAGTCAGCAATGCAGCTGCAGCAGGCAGCTGTGCAGGCACTCTTCAGGGTTTTCAAGTCCAACGTCGTTCTTCCCGTCCTTCCAAGCCTCCTGGTGGGTCTTACGGTGATTTCCACACCAGAATCGTTTTTTTCTTGTCTTATGCATGAAGTCTGCAGGCAGCATTCATGTATTCTCCCTCCAGTGCTTTCTGTTGCTGCCTGCCTGTCCATGCAGCCATGTGCTCAGAGCCATTGCCATCCTCAGTCGCTCAAAAGCATCCTGAGACACCGCGATCCATCATCAATCCATGCCGAGGCGCCCCAAGCCATGCCGAGGCACCTCACACCATGTGCATTTCCTTTGCGTCTGCTGCTGTGTGTGCGTCTGCCGCTGTATGTGCGTCTGCCGCTGTGTGTGCGTCTGCCGCTGTATGTGCGTCTGCCGTTGTGTGTGAGTCTGCCGCTGTATGTGCGTCTGCCGCTGTATGTGCGTCTGCCGCTGTATGTGCGTCTGCCGCTGTATGTGCGTCTGCCGCTGTATGTGCGTCTGCCGCTGTATGTGCGTCTGCCGCTGTATGTGCGTCTGCCGCTGTATGTGCGTCTGCCGTGCAGCCATATGCGGAGAAAGGGATGCTCTCGCCCTCCCCAGACATGCGACGCCTCTGCTGCTTTGCGGTGAGCAAACCCAGCACACATTGGTGAGAGCACATACACACTCCTTACTCAAAGTCTGACCATTTGCTGTCTTCCTGATTACGTGCGTCTGTTTCAGTCGACCTATTTAGGTCACATGAATTCTAACAAACAACACATGTGGAGATTAAGTCACTTACGCACTCTTTTGCGTCCGTTGTATTCCTGCTCACAACGCATCTGCTGGTCCTCCACCGTTGTCATTCCTGTTACTCCTGCCTGTTTCTCAAACACGACCAGCTGCATGCAGCGCATGGCAGAGGGATGAGGGGACGAGATACAGGAGGTAGGGGTTCAGGGCGAGGAGAAAATCACGAACAAAACGCACCGTCATGCTTCGCTTACCCTTGTTCCTTCCTCTATACCCGTTCTCTCATTCCTTCAGCTGCAGCGCATGGCACAGGGGGGAGAGGAGGAGATGCAGGAGCTACGAAGTCAGTGGGAGGTGGCAAGTCAAACGCACCTTCACATTCCCTGTGTGTTTTTCCCTTTCCCTTCTGCCCTTCCTCAGCTTCAGCGCATGGCAGAAGGGGGAGAGGAGGAGATGCAGGAGCTGGGGAGTCAGGGGGAGGTGGCAAGGCGAGTGGTGGGGGAGGATTTAGTGCGGTGCTTGGGCGACGAGCACCTGCCTGTGGCTGCTGCTGCCACTGACGCCCTTGCTGCCTTCTGCCGATCGCCATTAGGAGTGGTACGCTGGGTTTTAGGCCCGTGTATTTGTCTTGGAAAGGTGTGGTTTTGTGTGGTTTGGTGCGGTGCTTGGGCGGCGAGCACCTACCTGTGGCTGCTGCCACCACTGACGCTCTCGCTGCCTTCTGTCGATCGCCCTTGGGAGTGGTGCGTTGGGTTGTGTGCTGGGGTGTTTGCCATCTATATGATTGGTGTGAAGCGATTGGGTGGGGTGTGTGGAGCTTGTATGCGGTGTGAGTTTGTGTAGATCGGTACATCTCAATCACTCCAAATTCGGATCAGAGAAACGCATTTCTCTCGCTTTCTCACAACCTTCAATCTTCTCACTCCCCGCAACCAATCCACAATCTCTCTGTTTCGCGATGCTCCTGTCCCACAATCCCTTTCAGAGCCTCATTTTCAGCAGTGATCACCTGTACAAGCTCACACGCTCGTCGCACTCACAGGTATATTCGAGGTCTCACTCCTTTCTTTTGCGGCCTTGTTAGCAGCAGATTAATCTCCTTCTTTTGTTACTTCTGTTGTGTGCATACCTTTCGGCTAATTCCCTGCCCTTTTTCCAGTACCATGCCTTTCGTTTTCACTTTGATCAATACCGTCTGAGAAGTAAACGCTGCAATCAGTACTATGCCTTTCGTTCCATTCCGTTTCCTATCCTATATCCACTACTTCCACACTTCTCTCCACCGCGTGCCCTTTTGTCCCTACTGGTTCTATCCGTGCATGCCTTTGCTTCTCCTCACCAGGTGCAGCAACGAGCAGTGGAGGCAGCTCTGCGTCTGGCCAACCAATCGCAGCATGCCATGTCAGCAGTCGAGAAGCTGGATCTGCTGCAGCCATTGGTCATGGAGCTGCAAGGAGTGGCGGGGATGGGAGAAAGCGGAACGGAAAGGGGAGGCGGTACTGGGGGAGGTTCAACTGAGGAGGGGGGTGATGCTCTGGCGGCTCTTGCAGCGTGTGAAGTGGTCTCGGAGGTACAGTTTCCATCTCTTGTCATCGTTCCATCTTTCCCACGTGTTTCTTGGTCATCTGTATCTGTGCAAATCTGATTGCATTCTGCTTCCCCCTGTCCACACATGCATCTCAGTTAACGAGCACCAGAGTGGGTATGGAGGTGCTTGAGCTTTGCATCGACGAGATTCACCGGGCAGGGCACTCGTCCAGATCTGCACCGAGCTCTCTCCTTGTGCTCCCTTTTTCCTGGTGTTTGGTGTTGGTGGTTGGTGGTTGGTGGTTGGTGGTTGGTGGTTGGTGGTTGGTGTTTGGTGTTACATTTCTCTGCATTCTCTCAACTGTATGTTTCCCCTCTCCCCGCAAATGTCAGTTCACGAGCAGCAGAGTGGTTGTGCAATGCAGCTGCTTGAGCCTCGAATTGACGAGATTCACCGGGCAGGGCACTCGTCCAGACCTGCACTCTCTCGTGTTCCCTCTTCAGTGCTGCTTTTTTTCGATGCATTCCCCCTCTCCCGTGCCTGCCAGTTCACGAGCAGCAGAGTGGGCGTGGGGCTGCTTGAACCCCGCATTGACGAGATTCACCAGGCACTCGTTCAGATCTGCACTCTCTTCTTCTGTCCCCTGCGGTGGTGCATTTCTTCCCCCCTCTCCCCACGCCTGCCAGTTCACGAGCAGCAGGGTGGGCGTGGAGCTGCTTGAACCCCGCATTGACAAGATTCACCAGGCACTCGTTCAAATCTACACTCTCTTCTTCTGTCCCCTGCGGTGCATTTCTTCCTCCCTCTCCCCATGCCTGCCAGTTCACGAGCAGCAGGGTGGGCGTGGAGCTGCTTGAACCCCGCATTGACGAGATTCACCAGGCACTCGTTCAGATCTGCACCAAGGCATCAGCACCTGCACCAGCAGCACCATCATCATCACCAACAGCAGCGGCAGCAGCAGCAGCACGACCAGCAGAAGCCTCGCTGCAGTTGGGCCTGGACCTGCTCCTGCCAGCTGCTCTCAAGTGTGCTGCTCGCCTCACCTCGCCTGCAACACCAGGAGTCATGGCTCCTCTTACTTTAATCCGTACGTTCTCCTTTCACCGTTGTCCACTCGCCTCTCTCTCCTCGCCTTGGTATGTACCCTCCTTGATTCACTTGAATTCGTCTAGAACTGGTCCTGATCTTGCCAGCACCATCGTTAGCAGCAGCAGTAAGGAGGAGCACTGGGACTTTTGGGTTGAACCAAACCCATCTCTTTCAACGCATCTTCTTGTTTCACGAGTCTTTCCATCCCTTTCCATCCCTTTCCATCCCTTTCCTCCCTTTCCCTTTCCTTCAGAGGCGGACGAGGTAGCAGCGCTGTTCAACAGCATGTGTGAGGCATGGGGGCTCAGTGAGGAGCATGTGCCAGCCGAGACAGTTGAAGGCTTCTTTGATGCTCTTGCCACCTATGCACGCTGTGAGTGCATGAATGCACCCACTGTGCCGTCTATGCACGCTGTGAGGTATCTGTGGGGCATGTGAGGAGCACGTGCCCGCCGAGACAGTTGAAGGGTTCTTCGATGCTCTCGCCACCTATGCATGCTGTGAGTCGCTTGCTGCCTATGCCCTCTGTGAGTTTGTGATGGTCTATGCACGCTGTGAGGTATCTGTGAGGCATGATTGAAGCGTGGGGTCGCGCTGAGGAGCATGTGCCAGCCGAGACGGTGGAGGGATTCTTCAATGCGTTCGCCACCTACGCACGCTGGGAGTGCATGAATGCGCCACTGTGCCGTGTGTGAGGCATGTGTGAGGCGTGGGGCAGAGTGAGGAGCATGTGCCAGCCAAGACGGTGGAGGGATTCTTCGATGCTTTTGCCACCTACGCACGCTGCGAGTTGCTGCTCCCGATGAGGAATTGCCTGCCTCAAATCCTCTTTGAGGCGCCTCAAGAATTGCCTGCCTCAAATCCTCCCTCTTACCCTTTCTCCTGCCTGTCTCTCCTCCCACATCCAACGCCTTGTTCCTTCTCACCCCCCCCTCCAACACACTGTCTCTTTGCCAGCCACACAAGGCACCCGCCTGCTTCTCAACCCCCTCCCCCGCCAGCCTCTGTCCCCTCATCCTCGTCCCTCCAACACTTTTCTCCCTCCAGCCACACATGGCACTCGCCTGCTGCTCAACCCGCGCCGCCACGTCATCAGCTTCATTCTCAAGCGTGCCTTTGGGGGCTGCGGCCCTCACACCTCGCTGCACACCGTGAGTGCCCCCTAAGTGCTTCGTGCGTGCTCCTTGCTCCTGCACACTGTGTGTGCTCTCCTCGCCGGTCCCTGCTTGCATCATCAGCTTCGATCTCAAGCACGCCTTTGGGGACTGCGGCCCTCACACCTCCCTGCATACGGTGAGTTTACTGTTGGGCCTTCCATGGAAACGAGCCAGGGCACGTGGTGCCAGGGCACGTAGTGCCAGCCAAGGCACGTAGTGCCAGCCAGGGCACGTAGTGCCAGCCAGGGCACGTAGTGCCAGCCAGGGCACGTAGTGCCAGCCAGGGCACGTAGTGCCAGCCAGGGCACGTGGTGCCAGCCAGGGCACGTGGTGCCAGCCAGGGCACGTGGTGCCAGCCAGGGCACGTGGTGCCAGCCAGGGCACGTGGTGCCAGCCAGGGCACGTAGTGCCAGCCAGGGCACGTGGTGCCAGCCAGGGCACGTAGTGCCAGCCAGGGCACGTAGTGCCAGCCAGGGCACGTAGTGCCAGCCAGGGCACGTGGTGCCAGCCAGGGCACGTGGTGCCAGCCAGGGCACGTGGTGCCAGCCAGGGCACCTGGTTCCAGCCAGGGCACGTGGTGCCAGCCAGGGCACGTGGTGCCAGAGCACGTGGTGCCAGGGCACGTGGTGCCAGGGCATGCCTCGCCACCCAAATCTTGAGAATTCTCAAACATCGCTCACGTGGTGTCTGATGTCTCCACTTCCCTCCTCATTCCCTCACCCTCTTTGTACAGGCCTCTCTATATGCATTGGCGTCCATCTTTGGAGCAGACAGGGTGGCATGAAACGAGCCAGCGCAGATGTTGCCAGTGCGTGCCGTGTTTACCCTTGTAATACCTCCACTCCCCTTCGTCTCTGCAGGCGTCTCTACATGCATATTCGGAGCAGACAGAGTGGAAGGGAGCGAGCCGGTGCAGATGGTGCCAGTGCATTCCACCCTCTCTTCATCCCCTTTCCTTCCCACTTTGCGCCACTCCCCTTCCAACACGCAGGCCTCGCTACATGCACTGGCTTCTATATTCGGAGCAGACAGAGTGGAAGGGAGCGAGCCCGTGCAGATGGTGCCAGTGCACGCCACCCACTCGGGAATCAGCGGGGTGGACGAGGGGGGAGGAGGAGGAGCCGGGGGGGGAGGTGAAGGGATGGATTTGGAGGTGGGAGATGATGGGGAGACGAAGCTCAAGGAAGAGACGTTTGCTGCTGCGGCTAAAGCACCGGGAGGACCCACTCTTGCTGTGAGTGCCGGTAGGAGGGGGGAGAGGGGTAGAAGGTACTGACAGCTCTGGCGGGGCGCTAGGGGGAGGGAAAGGGGAAGGGGGTGTGGGGATGAATTTAAAGGTGGGGGACGATGGGGAGACGAAGCTCGAGGAAGAAACGGTCGCTACGAGCACTCACCACTAAATCACCAGGAGTTCCCACTTGTATTCATCTAGCGGTGAGTGCTCGTATTCATCTCATTCTGGGATATATTGTTTTTGTCTGAAAGAAGAGATGCTTGTTGTTGCGGCTACAGCACCAGATGGAGCTGTGTTCTCGATTTTTTCTCGTGAATGTGATCCATCTGTTACAGTTTTGTTTTTTGGTTTCTCTGTGCCATGGCATGGCATTGGATGATGCGGGTGTTGTGGTATGATGTGGGTCGTTGTGCGTGGTATCTATGTGCCTGGCAGGGCGTCTTTGTCTCTCTGCTAAAGCGATCCGAGGAGATTCGCGTTGCTGTGAGTCCCGCCACCATACACACTTGCCGACTCGTTCATGCGATTTCCGTTTTTTAGTCGAGTCAAAGTATCTGGCAGGGCGTCTTTGTCTCTCTGCTAAAGCGATTCGAGGAGAGCCGCGTTGCTGTGAGTGTTGCCCATATCAGTGCGATGGTGAATCGAGCACTTGTATAGTGGTGCATAGTGGTGCCCTATCAGTGTGAGTGCATAGTGGTGCCCTATCAGTGTGAGTGTATAGTGGTGCCATATCAGTGTGAGTGTATAGTGGTGCCATATCAGTGTGAGTGTATAGTGGTGCCATATCAGTGTGAGTGCATAGTGGTGCCATATCAATGTGAGTGTATAGTGGTGCCATATCAGTGTGAGTGTATAGTGGTGCCATATCAGTGTGAGTGTATAGTGGTGCCATATCAGTGTGAGCGTATAGTGGTGCCATATCAGTGTGAGTGTATAGTGGTGCCATATCAGTGTGAGTGTATAGTGGTGCCATATCAGTGTGAGTGTATAGTGGTGCCATATCAGTGTGAGTGCATAGTGGTGCCATATCAGTGTGAGTGTATAGTGGTGCCATATCAGTGTGAGTGTATAGTGGTGCCATATCAGTGTGAGTGTATAGTGGTGCCATATCAGTGTGAGTGTATAGTGGTGCCATATCAGTGTGAGTGTATAGTGGTGCCATATCAGTGTGAGTGTATAGTGGTGCCATATCAGTGTGAGTGTATAGTGGTGCCATATCAGTGTGAGTGTATAGTGGTGCCATATCAGTGTGAGTGTATAGTGGTGCCATATCAGTGTGAGTGTATAGTTGTGCCATATCAGTGTGAGTGTATAGTGGTGCCATATCAGTGTGAGTGTATAGTGGTGCCATATCAGTGTGAGTGTATAGTGGTGCCATATCAGTGTGAGTGTATAGTGGTGCCATATCAGTGTGAGTGTATAGTGGTGCCATATCAGTGTGAGTGTATAGTGGTGCCATATCAGTGTGAGTGTATAGTTGTGCCATATCAGTGTGAGTGTATAGTGGTGCCATATCAGTGTGAGTGTATAGTGGTGCCATATCAGTGTGAGTGTATAGTGGTGCCATATCAGTGTGAGTGCATAGTGGTGCCATATCAGTGTGAGTGTATAGTGGTGCCATATCAGTGTGAGTGTATAGTGGTGCCATATCAGTGTGAGTGTATAGTGGTGCCATATCAGTGTGAGTGTATAGTGGTGCCATATCAGTGTGAGTGTATAGTGGTGCCATATCAGTGTGAGTGTATAGTGGTGCCATATCAGTGTGAGTGTATAGTGGTGCCATATCAGTGTGAGTGTATAGTGGTGCCATATCAGTGTGAGTGTATAGTGGTGCCATATCAGTGTGAGTGTATAGTGGTGCCATATCAGTGTGAGTGTATAGTGGTGCCATATCAGTGTGAGTGTATAGTGGTGCCATATCAGTGTGAGTGTATAGTGGTGCCATATCAGTGTGAGTGTATAGTGGTGCCATATCAGTGTGAGTGTATAGTGGTGCCATATCAGTGTGAGTGTATAGTTGTGCCATATCAGTGTGAGTGTATAGTGGTGCCATATCAGTGTGAGTGTATAGTGGTGCCCTCACCCACCCAACCCCTTTTCACGCAAACACACGTGTGCATGGCCACAGGCGCGCACACCCACACAGCACAGGATTAATGCTTTTGAATGGGACGTTGCGAGAATAGCAGTTCCTTTCATCATTGCTAGTGCCGTTGCTATCTGTGCCATAGCTCTGGCGGCCTGGTGGAGAGGGAGAGGGCGGCAGTGAATCTTGGGACTGGTGGCCTGGTGGAGAGGGAGAGGGCAGCATTGAAGCCTGAGGCTGTCTGAAGCCTGAGGCTGTCTGAAGCCTGAGGCTGTCTGAAGCCTGAGGCTGTCTGAAGCCCTTTTCTTAGACAAAGTGGATCCCTGCATCTCTGCTGCTCCCCCTGCAGGTGTACCGGCTGCTGGCAGCAGTGGTGGAGAGGGAGTGGGCAGCAGTGGAGCTGTGTGGGGATTGGGGTCTGGTGCAGATGGTGACAGACGCACAGGTGGAGAGGCACAAAGCAGGTGAGGGGCACGACAGGTGCGGGGCAGGAAGGGGGTGTGTGTGCTGTGTGCCGTTCTCCTGGGATGGTCAGCGCAGTGGCTGGGCAACAGATGGGGCGGCAGTGGAGCTGTGTGGGGATTGGGGTCTGGTGCAGATGGTGACAGACGCTCAGGCAGAGAGGCACAAAGCAGGTGAGGGGCATGACAGGTGACGGGGCATGACAGGTGACGGGGCATGCATTTTTGCACGATTGGGGGGGCATTGGGGGAGCATTGAGGGGGGGCACTGGAGGTGTTGGGGGGGGCATTGGGGGAGCATTGAGGGGGGCACTGGAGGTGTTGGGGGGGCATTGGGGGAGCATTGAGGGGGGCACTGGAGGTGTTGGGGGGGCATTGGGGGAGCATTGAGGGGGGCACTGGAGGTGTTGGGGGGGCATTGGGGGAGCATTGAGGGGGGCACTGGAGGTGTTGGGGGGGCATTGGGGGAGCATTGAGGGGGGCACTGGAGGTGTTGGGGGGGCATTGGGGGAGCATTGAGGGGGGCACTGGAGGTGTTGGGGGGGCATTGGGGGAGCATTGAGGGGGGCACTGGAGGTGTTGGGGGGGCATTGGGGGAGCATTGAGGGGGGCACTGGAGGTGTTGGGGGGGCATTGGGGGAGCATTGAGGGGGGCACTGGAGGTGTTGGGGGGGCATTGGGGGAGCATTGAGGGGGGCACTGGAGGTGTTGGGGGGGCATTGACGGATCCACTCGCAACGCCCTTCGTGAATCCAAGTTACCCTACCCACCCTGCTTCACCCTTCCCTGCCACGTGGCAGCCATGGATTGGAGGCATTCGTGCTGTGTGGCCATGTCAACAGCAGCAGAGGCACAACACGCATCCATCTCCTTCAACTGCACTGCGCAGGTCAGCCACTGCTACCTGTCAGCCACTGCCACCTGTCACTCAGTCGGTCTGCTCCCCTCAGTCACTCCCTCTAGTACCTTGGTTTTTGCACAAAGAACCAAGGGTAGTGACTGGAGGTATTCACTCCCTCTAGTCACTCCCTCTAGTCACTCCCTCTAGTCACTCCCTCTAGTCACCATTCCCTGTTCTCTCTTGTCGTCCCTCCCTTCCCAGCCTCCCTCCTTGCATCACACCAGCTGGCCGAGGCGGTCCGCAGGGGACCGTACCTGACTCCACTTCCTCCCCTTCTTCCATCCAACAACGGTCACTACTGCCCCCCTTCCCCCTCCCTACCCCCCCCTCCCTCTTGCATCACACCAGCTGGCCGAGGCGGTGCGCAGAAAACCCTACCTGAGGCCACTTTCCTGGTCTTCCTTGTCCTCTGCCAACCACCAACACCAACACCCTTTTCCCTCCCCCCTCTTTCCCCCTCTTCTCTCCCTCCTTCCACCACACCAGCTGGCCGAGGCGGTCCGCAGGGGACCCTACCTGAGGCCACGTGAAATTGAGCCGCGGCCCATTGTTGTTACTGATGAGAGGCCACCCACCGGGTTTTGACCGCACCAGTGGGAGGTTTGTGGAGCTTGATTGGTGGAGACTTGTGTCAGACATGTGTGTAACGTTGATGGGCGATACCCAAGGCCACGGGAGGTTGAGCCGCTCCCATAGTTGTTACTGATGAGAGGCCCCCTTCCGGGTTTTGACCACACCAGGGCGAGGTTTCAGGAGCTTGGTTTGTTTGACATGTCTCGGACATGTGGGAAACGGGTGGATGGATGCAGGTATGAATGGGTATCATAGTTAGCTGCTAACGAGGTGTATGTGCTCGCTAGTTTACGGTGTATATTTTTCCCATAGAATCTGGGTAGAGTTTTAGCCCTGTTACAAGTCTTGCAACTTTGTACATAGTGTTTTGATTCGAGGGGAAATGCATGTATAGAACTTAATGTATGCATGGACGTAGACACATAGTGTGCTTTTTTTATGAGCCAAAGATGTAAGCAATCATGACATGACGAAATTATGAAAACAGGGAAGGAATACAATGATAGATATCAGGTATTCAGGTAGATTGGTTGAAGTATTTGTCATGCATGAAAAGAATGAGGATTCTATGATTAAAATGTGTAAGGTTTTTGGTATGCTAGGACTTCTTAGAAGAGAAGCTAGCCAGTAAGTTTGAGTGTAGTCATTTGTTACCCACTGTTACAGGTGCAATGAATCGAGGTAGCGAGGATTGCACTAGAGTGTTCAATCAGTACAAAATATGAGCGAAGGCATGAGTGAATACTTATACGTGAAAATATGCAAACGGTAACGCGGTGCGTGCGAGCAAGCTAGTGCTACGCTGGCGCAAGGTTCGGGCTAGTCCCGAAGCGTAGGCCGACTCGGCTGCTCCAGCAGTGCGAGGTTTGGTGAAACAGTGCGCGCGAAGTTGGCGAAGCCCCGTTAGCAGTAACGGGCGAACAACGCCTGCTGCTGTACGCGATGTGGACGGTCGCGGTAAGGAATAGCGAGAAAATTCCTTACACTACCTCCCCCCCACCCCTCAAGAAGCCGCCTCCTCTACGTGAATGCGTGTATATCGCGAAAACCCCGGCTCCTCAGGTACACTTGCAGGGCAGGGTGGTTTTCGATGTTGGCCAGGGGCACCTAGCTATCCTCAGTTGGCGTGCGGTCCTTCCAGCTAATGAGGAACTCGATCATCCTGATGCCTGTGGGGTGGCGAATCCGATGGCTCATATTTTTTTCGGGCTCGATGATCGGCTCCGATGCAGGGCGAGTCATGGATGGCGGGCGGTGACGAGGCAGTTGGCTCGTGCTTGGGATGTAATGGCGAAGCAATCTGACGTGGAATGATGGGCTGATGTACCAGTCTGTCGGCAACAGTAAATGGGCGGTAACTGGGGTGATCATGTGGCTGATTTGAAATGGTCCATAGTAGCGCGGTCGTAAGTTTGGTACGACGGGCAGTCCTAAGTTCTGTGTGTCGAGCAGTACGTAACCCCCTGACTGGTACGTGAGTGGGCGGCGGTGGCGGTCAGCGTTGCGTTTAGCGATGACGTTGGCTTTTTTAATTGCTTCTGCGGCTCTGGTGCGGGCAGCTTGCAGAATCTCGGCGAATTGTTGTGCTCGTGGCGTTGGGTTGTCCGGACTCGGCGTCATGGGCACTGTTGGGTTTTGACCGTAGTTCAGGTAAAACGGGGACTGCTGCGTCGTCGTTGACGTGGCGTTGTTGTAGGCAAACTTGATCAGCGGCAGTTGCTGCTCCAAAGTTGTCGGGTCGTTGCACGTGGCCCGAATCAACTGCTCCAACATCTGATTGGTCTGCTCCGTTTGACCGTTGGTCTCGGGTTGGTACGATGAACTGAACTGTAGCCTGGTCCCGAACTGCTCCCAGAGGTTCTTCCAAAAGTTGCTGGTAAACTTCGTGTCGCGATCGCTAATTATCGCGGCTGGTATCCCGTGCAGTCGAACGACGGCTTCGATGAACAGGCGAGCGGTTTCTTCGGCTGAGATCGATTTCTTGCATGCAGCGAAGTGAGCCATTTTCGTCAGTCTGTCAACGACGACCATGACCGCGTCGTTACCCCCAGGGTTCGAAGGTAACCCCGTGACGAAATCCATGGTAACTTGCTGCCAGGCGCGCTCGGGCGGTGGAATCGGCTGCAATTGACCCGCCTTTCTCTTTCGCGAGCTCTTCATCACTTGACACGTAGGACACGAGCCCACGTGGTGCTGTACGTCGGTCAACAGCTCCGGCCAGTAATAATACCGCTGCAGTTGCTGTCGCATTTTTTCTACCCCGAAGTGGCTCGAGGTAATCCCGACGTGTGCCTCCTGCAGTAACAGTTCCCTCAGCAGTGAGTACGCGGGTACCCAAATGCGGTTGGTGCCTGTTTTTACGTAATAGACTCCCTTAGCTTCTGCCAGTTGCTGTGAATTTCCGGTCGTGAAAAATGGGTCGGTACTGTATCCGTGGGTGAATAGGCCTATTAATAGTGGGTTGGTTTGGGCGAGTAGGATGGCGTGGAGTTGGGCGGTAGGACGTGTGAATGCGTCGGCGATGTTTGATGCGCCTTTTTTGTACGTGACCGTGTCGTGGAAGTTGGACTCCAGATTGTCCAACCAGCGGATCTGTCGCGGGTTGAGATTCGGTTGGGCGCGGAGGTACTGTAGTGATCGGTGATCTGTCCGTACTGTCACGTCGGCGCCAGTCAGGTAGCATCGCCACACTTTGAACGCGTGCACGATCGCCAGCATTTCGCGTAGTTGCGTTCGGGCGGGTGCAGCTTCCGGGACTCGTACGCGATTGGCTGGAGGCCGTTCCCGAAGTCCTGCAACAGTACAGCTCCCACGGCGATGTCACTTGCGTCGGTGACGAGCTCGAACGGACGGTGCGGATTTGCGATGTGAAGCACGAGCGGCGAGCACAAAATTTGTTTGAGGGCCGAGAAGGCAGCTTGCTCTTTCTCCCCCCACGTGTACTCAACCCCCTTCCTCAGCAGGTCGGTCAATGGAGCAGTCAACTTCGCCATGTCGGGGACGAACCGGCGCACGTAGTTGACGAACCCCAAAAAGCTCTGCAGCTCTATCAAGTTTGCCGGCGCGTGCCACGCTTGAATCGTCACGATCTTCTTCGGGTCTATTTCCACTCCTTCAGCTGAAATAATGTGTCCCAAATGTCAGAATGTTATATTTCTCTAGTCTGCAGTGGGGTACTCCAAAGTGAGTACAGCCCTGTTAGGGTTTGCTATATGTATCCCAATGTTTGCTAGTGAACCTCTCTCTTCTCTGTTTCAATTCCTTCCTTCACTATTCTGACATGCTATCAGAGCAGGTCGACCCTCTCTGGTCGATCCTGTGGATGGGCCCACCCGATGCTTCCGTTGCTGTACTGCCTGTCGCGCGCCCCGGGCGCGCGACGTTTTCTGCCTGCCGCGCGCTCGTGGCGCGCGGCGTTTGCGCGCGACGGTTTTCTGCCCGTCGCGCCGCCCTGCTGGTCGCGTACTGCTCTGCCCTACCCGTCGCGCCGCCCTGCTAGCCGCGCGATGCCCTGCCCTGCCCGTCGCGCCGCCCCCGGGGAGCCGCGTGCGCCCCCCGTCGACCAGCGCGTCGCCCCAGGGGACCCGCGCGCGTGGCCCCGTCGACCCGTGCGCTCCCCCCGTCGACCAGCGCGTCGCCCCAGGGGACCCGCGCGCCCTGCCTCGTGGACCCGCGCGCGCTGCCCTATGGTGCAGCGCGCCGCCCCTTGCCCTCGTGCTGCTGCAGAGCGGCTTCATCCCCGCCCCCCCCCCCCCCCCCCTCCTTCCGCGTTGTCTCTATGCTGCGTGTGCAGCCCTGGGGGAGGGTATGGGGGTGGCGGGTGTACGTCGTCCCTTGCTCCTCCTCCTCCTCTCTCTCCCACTGCTGCAGCTGCCGCTAAGGGGGGTGGGTGTGTGGGAGCCGAGGGAGTCGCGCTAGGGGGTGTCGTGGGAGTGAAGCTAGGGGTGCAGCAAGGGGTGTGAACGGGAGTTTTGGGACAAAGGGGGAGGTTGAAGGGGGGTGGCCGCCGTGAAGCCAGCAGCTCCAGTTGCCCGAGATCGTTGCGCCAGTCGCCCGTGAGCCCGTCGCTCCAGTTGCCCGTGAGCCCGTTGCTCCAGTCGCCCGAGAGTCAGTTGCTCCTGCCGCTCGTCTAGCCGCGGAGCCAGTTACTCCAGTTGCCCGTGTGCCAGTTGCTCCAGTTGCCAGTGTGCTAGTTGCTCCAGTTGCCCGTGTGCCAGTTGCTCCAGTTGCGCCGTGTGCCAGTAGCTTCAGCTGCCGCCCACTACCTCCTCTCCTCTCATAGTCCCTCCTCCTCCACACGTGCCCTCTGTGATAGCTACTAGCGTTGCTTATATTTGTGAACTATAAACTGCTGCTCGTTTTGCTGATTATACCCCATTTTGACTATGGGGTGTGTCAGAATTTTATATTTCTCTAGTCTGCAGTGAGGTACTCCATAGTGAGTACAGCCCTGTTAGGGTTTGCTATATGTATCCCAATGTTTGCTAGTGAACCTCTATCTTCTCTTTTTCAATTCCTTCCTTCACTATTCTGACACCAAAAAATCCAGTTTGTCCTGTAAAAACTCACACTTAGATGCTTTCGTCAGTAGGCTGTTCTCACTCAGTATTTTAAAAACTGCTTCAATGTCCTGTAGGTGCTGTGCTCTGTCTGGGCTGTAAATCAGTATGTCGTCAAGGTACACGATGACGCACTTATCTAAAAGCGGGCGGAAGAGTTCGTTCATGGTCATTTGAAAGGTTGCAGGGGCGTTGGTCAGTCCGAAGGGCATGATGGTGTATTCGAAGGATCCGTAGCGTGTTTGGAAAGCTGTTTTCAAGCAGTCGGGTGGGTTGACTCGGATCTGGTGGTAGCCTCTTCGAAGGTCAATTTTCGAGAAAACCCGGGCTGTGCGCAGTAGGTCGATCAGTTCGTCGGCTCGTGGGATGGGGTAACGGGATTTGATGGTAACCCTGTTCAGTGTGCGTTAATCGATGCACATGCAAACCCCCCCGTCCTTTTTCGGTGTGAACAGTATCGGTGCTGCAAAGGGTGACGAACTCGGGCGAATGAATTATGTTGGAGGGAGTTCGGTGGTGGGGCGGTTGTATGCCCCCAACCCACCGAGGGCACTTCGCTGCCTTCGATCCCTTTTGACTAGGGATCGGTGGGGTGGCACCGGTTGACTTTGGGGGACTCACACTTTGGTGCCACGTGGCGGCACCATATTCCAACCTTGGAGTTGAAGACACATTCGGTGTGTCCGGTGAAATTCGGTGGCCGAATTTCACCTAACCGAAATTGTTACACGCGGCGCATTTGCGACGCAAGTGTAGCGGTTCGTGTTACATGCGCGGTTCGATGTTATTTTGTTGCTATACATCGACTCGTTGTGTATGCATGTTTTATACTGAACATTGTGAATCACTTTGTATGAAGTTCATTCGAACACAAATTCCAGAGAGTTTCCAATCCTTCAACATAGAGCATAGCTTTCACATTAGTAGCCATATCTCGCTCGATACTTAGGCGATCGAGGTGATCCACGGCCCGTTGCAAAGCTAAGACAGTGCTCTACTGATTAGTACAAATCCCAGTTCCTGCAAAGTAGAGGAGAAGCCTCTACAACAAATTCCTTCTCGAGCAGGTAATCTAGCTGCTTCCTTAGTTCGTCCAGTTCGGGTTGGGTCAGTCGGAACTGTCACTGTACTGTCGGCTGTGCCCCCGGTTCTAACTCTATCCTGTGGTCATGCGGTCGCTGGGGTGGCAGTCTTGTCGGCAGGTCATCCGGGGAAATCTCACAGTACTGCTTCAGTAGTGCTGCCAAGTCATCCGGTACGTCGGCTAGCAGTTTCTGTAAATCCCCCCCTTTGTCTGCTGCCTCGGCTTCTCGAATGTCGACCGCGTACACGTTAGCTCCTGCCGCTACAGTGAGTTTCATCGTGATCGTGTTGACATGCACCGACGAAGACTCAGGCGAGCCCCAGCGAGGTAAGGCGATACTGTTACCGTTCATTCGCACGGTGCAATTCCCGTCGTCCAGTCGATTCGCGGATTGTGTCGTCGCAGCCAATCACGGCCGAGTAAAATTTCGGTTCCGTCGAGGGTTGTCGCGTTGCACGCATTTCCTGGCTAAATATGAAGTTACCCCCGCATCGAATCCGAACCCGGTCTACGCGTTCCCGTATCGCCAGTGGCATGCCGTCAACCATTCTTTCATCGATCTCAGGTAAACATGTGTCCAGTGGCAGTCTCAGTTTTCGTGCCGTGGCGGTGTTGATTAGGCTGTTGCTGGCTCCCCCGTCTACAAATGTTTTAACTAAGTCTGTCCCAATTTTCCCGCTAAGCAGTATGGGGCTGTCTACCGTAGTACCCTCCTTATTCGGCCGGGTGTGGTCAATTGCGTGAACCGGCACAATCACTCGGTGAGGGTCGGTTGGGTTGGGCGAGCAGCGTGACCTGTCAGTAGAGGGCCCGTCTGCTACTGACTCCCAGCGTTTCCCTGTTGCTTGGTCTATTTCTGCTGCTCAACTTCCCCCTTTCCCTTAGCGTTTTCTGGGCATTCGCTCTTGTGGTGTCGCGGCCGATTGCACACGAAGCAGCGCCCTTTGAACGGTGCGGCAGCGGCATTCGCGGCAACGACACGTATCGTGGCGCCCTCGTTCGTCCCACGAGATCGATGTCCCCAGTTGCTGTTGCTTCCGTAGGACCCCGGCCTCGGTCAGCGAAAGAATTCGAGCTTCTCCGCCATGGCGAGAATTTCCTGGAAGTCGGTGACGCCGCGGAACTGAATTTCTTGGGCGATATCATGCTTCAGGCTGCCGATGTAGCGGTCGATGCGCTCGCTTTCGTGCATGTATCCCACTTGCTCACACAACGCCAGGAACCCGCTAGTGTAGTCTTGGACGGAACCGAGTTGGCGCCAAGTGCGGAGCTTCTGATGCGCCGCGATCGAAGCCGCAATTGGCTCAAATCGAGCGCGCAGACCTGCGCACCACGCGTCCCACGTGCGATATTGGGGCACCTCTACGAAATACGACGGCGCCCATGGTCCGGTTTGTCCTTCCTGTGTCGGTAGAGTCGCGTAGTCCATCGGCTTCGTGACGATGACGCACCACCAGCTCATGGTGGGTCCTCGCAGTAGCGACACGGCGTAGCGAATCTTCGCCGTATCGTCCGAGACGTAGTTGGCGCAAAAAAATACGTTCAACGTGAACAACCACGTCTGAACGGTAGGACCACCCCGTTGACTCGGGTCAAAGCATGGCGGGCGCTGCGGCTTCAGCGGCATCGATGACGGCAGTGCCGAATCATTGGTCGGTGCCGAAATTGTGACGCGAGGCTGGCTCCTAGCCGCATTCGTCGCTTCGGGGTGTGTCGTGCCGTGGTCGTCGTCTCCGTCGTGGCGGACGACGCCATCACTGGCCGCGCTCGCGGGTTGCCCCACACTTCCGTGCTGCGATGCCAGTGGTGTAGGTTGTCCCGGAGTGCCAGGTGCTTGTGATTGTGCTTGCTGTGCTCGTGCGACGTCATTTTGCAGGGACGTGCGTTCGGCCGTCAGTGCCGCGATTTCTTCAGAGCTTTCGTGGAGTTGTCGCAGCAGCTCGTTCAAACGGTCATGCGTGAGCGTCGTGACGTCGATATGTTCAGCCATAAAAAAGGGCGTCGGCTCAGCTTAGTCCAGGCGCAGTCGTGGCTGCACGCGTTTACGAGAGAACGCGAGGACAGCGGCTCATAGGTGCTAAGGGGCGTGAGTCTCTTCGAGTAAAAAATCAAAAGTTGATTTCCTGGGGTGCGGAGATGCGCGGTCCGAAAGAAAGTGGCTCTGATAACCAAGTGTTACGGGTGCAATGAATCGAGGTAGCGAGGATTGTACTAGAGTGTTCAATCAGTACAAAATATGAGCGAAGGCATGAGCGAATACTTATACGCGAAAATGTGCAAACGGTAACGCGGTGCGTGCGAGCTAGCTAATGCTACGCTGGCGCGAGGTTCGGGCTAGTCCCGAAGCGTAGGCCGACTCGGCTGCTCCAGCAGTGCGAGGTTTGGTGAAACAGTGCGCGCGAAGTTGGCGAAGCCCCGTTAGCAGTAATGGGCGAACAACGCCTGCTGCTGCTGTACGCGATGTGGACGGTCGCGGTAAGGAATAGCGAGAAAATTCCTTACACTACCCCCCCCCCCCTCAAGAAGCCCCCTCTGCCAATGGTTGGTGTGATGTCTTCCACCAATGGGGACACCCGAAGGAACATTTGCGACAAACTCGAGGCAGGTCAAAGGGAATGTCGTTGTCGCATTACGTACTGTTGACTGACAGGCAACGGCACAAATAATTTTCTGTACGGTACCTACCAACCGACCGACCTAGACAATGCTTTCCTTTCCTTCCCCTCTACAGAACAACAGTTGGGGAGGGGACTCAGCACCACCAAATTAGGGTTTCGCGAACTTTCTGTTAGCTTGCTGAGATGGGACGGGACGTGCTGCTGAAACTGGCATAGTCGCCTATTTATTGATTTGTTCGTATGGCAACAAGATGCCGGGATTCTTGAGAATTGGAAGCGACGGGTAGTCTCTATTTCAACTCGTAGTGACATGGGCTGTCCTGGTGTCCCATTGGCAGAATAGCAGGCCAAGTAGTCTCAGGCTCCTGCTCTTCCTGCATTCCTCCGGCATCCTGTTCCGTCCTGTTCTTCCTGCTATTCGTAATCAGGATTCAAACTGGCCACGGAGGATGGACCTAATTAAGTATCTGTATTCGTGTTCATGTCATTCACAGAAGCTGCTCGTGACACTAGGGTTACCAGCTATGCTGTGGCTAGCCCTCACATTGTCTTTGGTAGGGCTACCAGGCACCGCGACAGCAGATTCGTTTGCTCCTACCGTCTCGTCCGAAGCATCCTCGTCACAAGTCGCACCGTCAACTGTCTATAGTGTAGCAGCTGCAGCCGATAATAGCGGGAAACAGGTTATCAAAGTGGCTTGCTTCGTACCGCTGGAGATTCCTTTCGGCCAGGCTATATACAAAGGTGATGATTATTATAGTTTATATAGTATATTACAACCGCGCTCGCCATTGTAGCAGCAAATGCCGTGCCGAGGGGAAGGGGAGAAACACGGCTCGTGCGTCTTGCCTTCAGAGATAACAGTGCGACAGTCAACAATGCGGCAGTCGACAGTGCAGCAGCTGCTCTGCTGGGAACGGCGGGAAGCAGGTCCTTACGGTTGCGTGCGGTCCCTTTCTGCTCATCCGTTGTTACTCATAGTTGTTCCGGGAAATTCATTTTCAAAGCTCACAGCAACCCTCTCTTTGCTCCAATACACATTCCTCTCACCTTGGTTGTTTTCTCTTCCGTCCCCCCACTTCCTTCCCTTCCTGTCCACGTGTAGCTGTGCGATTGGCCGAGGCACAGGTGAACGGTAACGATCAGCTGTTGCCTGACTATACAATTCAGGTCGTGCCTGTCAACACCAGTCTCTCCACCACGCAGGCTACCGCCGCAGGTACAACTATCTCTGTCCCGTAGTGAACAAACAAACAGCTGGATACTGACCTACAGGAACCACCACCAGCTGTTTCCAGACTGCACGATTGAGGTCGTGCCAGTCAACACGAGTCTCTCCAACACTCAGGCTGCAGCCGCAGGTGCAACCCCCTCTTCCTCTCGCTCTCTCCACTCCATGTGACCGTTTTGAGGCGGGGTGATGCCTTGTTTTGGTGTGTACTGTTTATGAGAGGATGATGGCCGCAGCAGCGAGCTCTTTCCCTCCCTTTTTCTCCTCCTCATCCAACCTCCCCACCCCCCCACCCCCCCACCCGCGCCTCAATCCTCTCTGCAGTGGTGCACACAATGCTGGCGGAGTCGTGTTTTGAGTCTACTAAAAAAGTAACACCCCCCTCACCCCCCCACCCGCGCCTCAATCCTCGCTGCAGTGGTGCAAACAATGCTGGCGGAGAGGGTGGTGGCAGCAGTGAGCCTCGCCCCTCCCGACACTTTCTCCGCCTCTTCTCTCCCCCCCTTCCCCTCCCCATAACCCCTGCAGTGGTGCAAACAATGCTGGCGGAGAGGGTGGTGGCAGCAGTGGGACCCATGACCTCCTCCCAGGCGCACGTGCTGTCTGCCATCCACACACAAGTGCAGGTGCGTGGGTGCATGCTTGCAATGCTTGATTGCATTGCGTGCTTGTGGCGACCATAAGGCTACAATCCTGGCGGAGAGGGTGGTGGCAGCAGTGGGGCCGATGACCTCCTCTCCTCCCAGGCGCACGTGCGCTCCGCCATCCACATGCAAGTGCAGGTGCGTGGTGCAGCGTGCTTGCATGCATCCAACCTCTAGGGGTTGATGAACCGAGTCAACTCAAAAGGTCACACAATGCTGGCAGCAAGGGTGGTGGCAGCAGTGGGGCCGATGACCTCCTCACAGGTGCACGTGCTCTCGGCTATCCACACGCAAGTGCAGGTGCGTGCAGCGTGCTTGCAGTGCTTGATTGCATTGCGTGCTTGTGGCGACCCATAAGGGCACAATGCTGGCGGAGGGGCAGATGACCTCCTCTCCTCCCAGGCACACGTGTGCTCTCCGCCATCCACACGCAAGTGCAGGTGCGTGCTTCAGTTGCGTGTGTGCGTGCATCTCCGTCTCTCCCTATTTCCCGTATATGTCGTCATCTTCTCTATCTCCCGCCTCTCCTCCCCACCTCCCCCCTTCCCCCACTCTCCCACCCCCCATCAGGTCCCTGTGTTATCCTATTCCGCCGCGGACCCCTCCCTCTCAGCATCCTCCTACCCTCCCGTTACTCGCGCCCTTGTTATGTCTCTCCCGTTCATCTTCTTCCTCCCTTTTCCCCTCTCCCATCCCGCCAAGCCCTCTCTCCCCCCCTCCCCCCCTCCCCTCCCCCTCCCCCATCAGGTCCCCATGGTATCCTATTCCGCCACGGATCCCTCCCTCTCAGCCGCCTCCTACCCCTTCTTCACTCGCACCATCCGCAGCGACGCTCTCGAGATGCAGGCCATAGCGGGTGAGTGAGACGTGATGTGCTGATGGGCGTAGCAGCAGGTGCCACATGGCTGATTGTATCATAGCAGTGTGACGGTATAGGTCCTGTCGCCCTACCCCTCCCTCTCAGCCGCCTCCTACCCCTTCTTCACTCGCACTATCCGCAGCGACGCTCTCAAGATGCAGGCCATAGCGGGTGAGTGAGACGTGACGGGGTTGGGGCTGATGGGTATGTGGGTGGGGCGAGTTGAGGGATATAGCAGTATGTGACTCGTGGCTGATTGTCGCAATGTGAGCCCCCCAACCCTTGTTCACTCGCACCATCCACAGCGTCGCTCTTGGAATGCAGGCCATAGCAGGTGAGTGAGGCGTGTTGAATGGTGGGGTGGGGCGTGCTGATGCACAGCAGCATGTGACTGAGTGAGCCCCCCCAACCCTTCTTCACTCGCACCATCCACAGCGTCGCTCTTGGAAGGTTGGCCATAGCGGGTGAGACGTGATGGTGGGCGAACAGATGGGCATGGGGGGTGGGGCGTGATCAGTATTTCAGCTGGCTGGCTTGAGATGATTTGCGTCGACAGACCTAGTGACGACGACTAAGGCAGGAACATCCATCCATGCACACACCCACCATTCTCTTTCTACATTCCCCTCCTCACACCGCGACCTGCCGACACACTGCTTGCTGGAGGCAATCATCATCTACAGTGGCTTACTTTCTACACACACTCACACTCACACGTAACCCCCACGTCCTCCCGTCCCGTCCCCCCATCCCCCTCTCCCCTCTCACTGCAGACCTGGTGAGGCACTTCAGCTGGTTGGAGGTGATCACCATCTACAGCGACGATGACTGTGGCAAAAACCACCAAAACCAAACCTACCCCCTTTCTTTCCCCCCACCTGTCCCATCCCTCTTCCCCCCTCCCTCCCCCCCTGCAGACCTAGTGACGCATTTCAGCTGGCTGGAGGTGATCACCATCTACACCGACTTACTTTGCTCACACAGTCACTCACCCCCTCCCCCCTCCTTTCCCCCATGGCCGCCCTCCTCCCCCAGACCTAGTGACGCATTTCAGCTGGCTGGAGGTCATTACCATCTACAGTGATGATGATTACGGCCGAAACGGAGTCAACCAGCTGGCGGTGCTGCTGGATAAGGTGAGCTGGCAGATTAGATGAGCTGGCAAATATGGTGAGCTGGCAGATATGGTGAGCTGGCAGATAAGGTGAGCTGTATACCTGAGCAACGAGGCGAGTTACTCGCTCGGACTCGGCCGAGTTACTCGTTAGGGTGCGAGTAACGAGTTTCGTTTTTTTGTAAAATTTACTCGGCCGAGTCGAGCCGAGTATTACTCGCCGAGTTTTTTTTGCTCGACGAGTACTCGCTTTCCTGGGCTTCCCTAGGCCACCATGGACCACCTTGGGTTTACCTGGGCGGCCCTGGAAACCCAAATACTACGTGGTACCATGGACTTCACTAGGCGTTATGTACAAAGTCGTTCTATGCCCCTATAGGGGGCATGGCCGAGCATTACTCGTACTCGGACGAGTTTTTCAAATTGCTCGCCCGAGTTTCCCTAAAGAAGGCGAGTAACGAGTATCTGTTTGGGGGAAAATTGCTCGGTCGAGTATTACTCGACTCGGGCTCGTACTCGGCCGAGCATGGCTAGGGACGAGTTGAGCATTACTCGTGCTCGGCTCGTTGCACAGGTATAGTGAGCTGGCAGATATGGTGAGCTGGCAGATAAGGTGAGCTGGCAGTGCTGCCTGACAAATTGAGTTACCCTCCCCAGGTCCTTTCATCCTTTCCTTCCTTTACACCCGTTCCTTCTCCTTCTTTCCCACCTCCCCCCCTCTTCTCATCTCCGTGTATTCTACACCACACCACCAGGCGTCAGTGGACGTGGTGAAGAGCATGGCTGTGCCACTAGATGCCTCTCTTTCAGACATCATCGTGCGTGCGCCTGCTCTTACAACTTGTACCCCACCCTACCCGCGCAACCCTCTTACCCCCGCTTCCACCAGGCGTCAGTGGATGTGGTGAAGAGCATCGCTGTGCCCCTGGACGCGTCTCTCTCTGCCCAAACTCATGGGCTGTTCTCCAACCCCCCTGTCCTGTCCCTTCTCAACCCCCTTCCCCCATCCCCTCCCACCCCACCAGGCGTCAGTGGATGTGGTGAAGAGCATTGCTGTGCCCCTGGACGCATCTCTCTCAGACATCATCGTGCGCCTGCTCGTAAACCCCATCCCCCCAACCCATCCCACTGCCCGTGTCCTCTTGCACCCCTCTTACCCCCGCTTCCACCAGGCGTCAGTGGACGTGGTGAAGAGCATCGCTGTGCCGCTGGACGCATCCCTCTCAGACATCATCGTGCGTCTGCTCGCCGCTCAGAAGCTGGAATCCACCGTCTTCATCCTGCAGCTCAACCTCGCGCTCATCGTGCCCGTGCTCACTGCTGGTATGTCATGTAGTTGACTGCTGTGTAGACTGAGTGCTGGTAGGGAGGGAGTGCTGGTGTGCTTGCCGTGTGGTCTAGGGTCCTGCTGTTGTCTGCTCGTCGCTCAGAAGCTCGAGTCCACGGACTTCATTCTGCAGCTCAACCTCGCGCTCATCATGCCCGTGCTCACTGCCGGTAGGCTGGGTGCTGTGTGGGCAGTGAGCACAGTATGATGAGTGCTGGCTTTGGTATGCATGTCGCTTGGTTCTCTCTTCTTCCTTCTCTCTCCTGCCTGCTCGCCGCTCAGAAGCTGGAGTCCATGGTCTTCATCCTGCAGCTTAACCCTGAACTCAGGGTTGAGCTCATCGTGCAGCTCCTGCTCATTGTTCCACATGCTTCTACATTGTTCTCTCTCTGTGTGATCAGCGTCTCAAGTCGGCATGATGACGCCGGGCTATGTGTGGATAGCCACAGAGGGAGTGACGTCGGAGTTAGAGAACCTGCCAGAGCTTTCTCCACTGAAGGGATGATCTTCAGCTCTGTGTTTCCATGCCCCCACTCGCCCCATCTGCTACCCTCCAGCATCGGAGGTGGGAATGATGACGCCGGGCTACGTGTGGATAGCCACAGAGGGAGTGACGTCGGAGCTGGAGAACCTGCCGGAGCTCTCTGCCAAAGGGATGTGCTTCAGCTATGTGTTTCCATGCCCCCACTCGCCCCATCTGCTAACCTCCAGCATCCGAAGTGGGCATGATGACGCCGGGCTATGTGTGGATAGCCACAGAGGGAGTGACGTCGAAGCTGGAGAACCTGCCGGAGCTCTCTGCCAAAGGGATGTGCTTCAGCTATGTGTTTCCATGCCCCCACTCGCCCCATCTGCTACCCTCCAGCATCCGAAGTGGGCATGATGACGCCGGGCTATGTGTGGATAGCCACAGAGGGAGTGACGTCGGAGCTGGAGAATCTGCCAGAGCTCTCCACCGAAGGGATGATCGGCACACGCGTCCTCGTGCCGCCCAACCCCCAGCTGTCTGAGTTTGAGCGCGCGTGGCAGGCAGATGGGGACGGGAACATGATCAACGGTGGTGCGGCCTTTGATCAGGTGAGAAACGAAGGGAGAAGGAGGGGGGGGAGGGGAGGGGGTTGTTTGAGGCGCCTCAAGAGCTGTCTAAGTTTGAGCGCGCGTGGCAGGAGGATGGGATGGGGACAGATGCAACCAACGGTGGTGCGGCCTTTGATCAGGTGAGAGAGAGGGTGGGAGGCTATGTGGCAAAAGACGCACGCGTCCTGCTGCGTCCTGCGTCTGGACGCAGAGACGCAGGACGCACCCTGTTCGGTCTGCCCCTGGATTTTGTTTTTTTTCCCGAAAAAACGACCCCCCAAAAGCAACTCGACATTGAAAACAACCCCCCCCCCCCAACTTCAAACCCCTCTACGCAAATTTGTAAAGCCCCCAACCCAACCCAACCCACCCAACCACTCTACATCTAGAACATCCAACCTTTGTGGCCTCCAACCAAACCCATTTAGGGTTGCACACATCTCATTTCTGCTCCCTCCATTCACAACCCCAATTCTCCTTAGTAAACCCTTAAGGTTTTATTGTTGGGGAAATTTTTGCATTGAATGTGTGCAAAGCCCCCCCCCCCCCCCCCCCCCCCCCCCCTTCCCAAGCCCTATAACTTTTTTTTTACAGCTGCCCGGGGGTTTTTATTGCCCTGCCCGGGCATGCGTCTTTTCATGCGTCCTAAAGGCCCTCATCTAGCGTCTTGCGTCTAAGACGCTGCGTCTGGATGCAAGCGTCCTAGACGTAGGACGCGTCTTTTGCCACTTAGGTGGGAGGGGCCGTTGGTTGTGTTACGAGGTGAGAGAAGGGAAAGGGGAGTTTTGAGGCGCCTCAAAAGTCCTGCTGTTGCACGCGCCACCCACTCGCCGCTTAACCCCACCTCCTTGTACTGTTTCCCAGCTCTTCTCTTACCCCCCATCCATCCCCCCTATCCCCCACATCCCCCATCACCCCTATCCCCCATCCCCCCTCCCCCCCCATCCCCCCTCCCCCTAACCCCCCCTATCGCCCATCCCCCCACTCTGCAGACTACCACACTCTACACTCTTTTCGCCCACGACTCTCTCTCCCTCATCGCCCGCGCGATTCACTCGATGCTCTATCCCAACTCCCCGCCCTCCTACCCTCCTCCTCCTGCCACCAACGGCAACGCCAGTGGCAATGGCAATGGCCTTAATAGCACTGGGAGGCTGGCAGGAGCAGAAGCAGCGACAGGGGGAGTGGGGGCGGGGGGCGGGGGTACGAGTGGGGGAGTGGTGGGTTTGGAGCGGTGGCAAGCAGTGGAGTTGCCAAAAGGAGGGGGGGTGTTGACTGATTTGGCTAGGCTGCAAGAGAACCTTGGTGCGTGCATGATAGGGAGTGCAAGTGCATGGTAGGGAGTGCAAGTGCATGAGAAGGGTGGGGTGGTCCTCTCAGTCTCAGATTGTTCAAATTCAAAGCTCATGGAGGGGAGGCCATCATACGGACGGCATTCTGCTTTGAAGTCGACTCAAAAGCAGATAGGGAGTGCAAGTGCATGGTAGGGAGTGCAAGTGCATGAGAAGGGTGGGGTGGTCCTCTCACTCTCAGATTGTTCAAATTCAAAGCTCATGGAGGGGAGGCCATCATACGGACGGCATTCTGCTTTTAAGTCGACTCAAAAGCTGAGTCGACTCAAAAGCAGATAGGGAGTGCAAGTGCATGGTAGGGAGTGCAAGTGCATGAGAAGGGTGGGGTGGTCCTCTCAGTCTCAGATGATTCAAATTCAAAGCTCGTGGAGGGGAGGCCATCATACGGACGGCATTCGAGATGGCCATTCCCTGACTGCTGTGGCTGCTGCGTGCTGTGGCTGCGTACTGACACGCCCGTCTGTTCTCCTTGCTCCCTCCCTATCTCTTCACCTGTCCACCACTCTGTTGTTTGGATGTGGGCCGGGCTCTCCCCTCCCGCTTGTTTTCACCCAGACGGTTCAAAGCTAATGGAGGCAATCATACGAACGACATTCGATGGGGTCACTGGGAGGTGAGCGAGCAGTTCATGTTAGCGCTAGTGAGCATGACTCTCTGCTGCTACTCTTCTTCTTTCCTTCATAACGAGGTGACTTTGAGTCGATTCAAAAGTCACCTGGGAGGTGAGCGAGCGGTTCATGTTAGCGCTAGCGCTGGTGAGCATGAATGTCTGCTGCTACTCTTCATGTTTCTTTTGAGGCGCCTCAAAATACACATTCGATGGGTTCACTGGGAGGTGAGCGTTTCGTGTTAGCGTTAGCGCTGGTGAGCATGAATTTCTGCTGCTACTCTTCTTCTCTCCTTTGCCTACAAAACGTAGTTTGCCTTTCGTGAGGCTATCGCCGTTCGTCAAGTTTTTTTACGGCCAGTTACCAGTTGTTTTTCCCTCCCCTCCTCTTGAGACGTCTCAAAAGTCGTTTATTCACAGCCAGTTACCGGTTATTTTTCCCTCCCCTCCTCACAGAGTGTCACTGGACGCACTGGGTGATTGCAACGGCACACTGTTTGAGATAGTCAGTCAATGCAGTCAACGGTCGGCTGCGCTCCACCTTACCACCCCCCTTTCCCCCACACACACCCGTTCCCTGCCCCCTTCCCAACATCCCCCCCAGAGTGACACTGGACGCACAGGGCGATCGTAATGCCACGTCGTTTGAGATAGTCAATGCAGTCAACGGCCGGCTGCGCTCCATAGGCTACTGGACCACAGAGAGCGGCCTCTCGTCGTCCCTCGAGGTGAGGAGATGCAGAAGAACTAATAGAAATGCACCCAGCTCCTCCATACCGCTTCAACGGCCGGCTGCGTTCCATAGGCTACTGGACCACAAAGAGCGGCCTCTCGTCGTCCCTCGAGGTGAGGAGATGCAGAAGATCTAATAGAAATGCACCCAGCTCCTCCATACCGCTTCAACGGCCGGCTGCGTTCCATAGGCTACTGGACCACAGAGAGCGGCCTCTCGTCGTCCCTCGAGGTGAGGAGATGCAGAAGAACTAATAGAAATGCACCCAGCTCCTCCATACCGCTTCAACGGCCGGCTGCGTTCCATAGGCTACTGGACCACAGAGAGCGGCCTCTCGTCGTCCCTCGAGGTGAGGAGATGCAGAAGAACTAATAGAAATGCACCCAGCTCCTCCATACCGCTTCAACGGCCGGCTGCGTTCCATAGGCTACTGGACCACAGAGAGCGGCCTCTCGTCGTCCCTCGAGGTGAGGAGATGCAGAAGATCTAATAGAAATGCACCCAGCTCCTCCATACCGCTTCAACGGCCGGCTGCGTTCCATAGGCTACTGGACCACAGAGAGCGGCCTCTCGTCGTCCCTCGAGGTGAGGAGATGCAGAAGATCTAATAGAAATGCACCCAGCTCCTCCATACCGCTTCAACGGCCGGCTGCGTTCCATAGGCTACTGGACCACAGAGAGCGGCCTCTCGTCGTCCCTCGAGGTGAGGAGATGCAGAAGATCTAATAGAAATGCACCCAGCTCCTCCATACCGCTTCAACGGCCGGCTGCGTTCCATAGGCTACTGGACCACAGAGAGCGGCCTCTCGTCGTCCCTCGAGGTGAGGAGATGCAGAAGATCTAATAGAAATGCACCCAGCTCCTCCATACCGCTTCAACGGCCGGCTGCGTTCCATAGGCTACTGGACCACAGAGAGCGGCCTCTCGTCGTCCCTCGAGGTGAGGAGATGCAGAAGATCTAATAGAAATGCACCCAGCTCCTCCATACCGCTTCAACGGCCGGCTGCGTTCCATAGGCTACTGGACCACAGAGAGCGGCCTCTCGTCGTCCCTCGAGGTGAGGAGATGCAGAAGATCTAATAGAAATGCACCCAGCTCCTCCATACCGCTTCAACGGCCGGCTGCGTTCCATAGGCTACTGGACCACAGAGAGCGGCCTCTCGTCGTCCCTCGAGGTGAGGAGATGCCGAAGATCTAATAGAAATGCACCCAGCTCCTCCATACCGCTTCAACGGCCGGCTGCGTTCCATAGGCTACTGGACCACAGAGAGCGGCCTCTCGTCGTCCCTCGAGGTGAGGAGATGCAGAAGAACTAATAGAAATGCACCCAGCTCCTCCATACCGCTTCAACGGCCGGCTGCGCTCCATTGGCTACTGGACCACAGAGGGCAGCCTCTCATCGTCCCTTGAGGTGAGGAGTGGCACTAGTCTAGTCTCACTGGTAGCGCCCTTAACATTGGGTGACCGTCGTAGTGCCACGTCGTTTGAGATAGTCAATGCAGTCAACGGCCACCTGCGCTCCATTGGTTACTGGACCTCAGAGAACGGCCTCTTGTCTTCTCCTGAGGTGAGGGGGAGTGGAGTGTTACTACTTGCTAGTGGTACAGGTGCTCACACCAACCTGCAGTAGGGATGAGCAAGAGGCGAACACGAACGTGTTCGCGTTCGCCCCTGCACGAACACCGCCGTTCGGCGAACCGAACAGTGTTCGGTTCGCCGAACAGCTTTAGCAAAAAAGGGTGTTCGCCGTTCGCCAGTGAAGGCGAACACCTTGTTGACGCAGGCGAACACGTTCGTGTCCGCCCCGGGACTACATTCACTAGAGTCACACGTTTGTGGATTGTGCATTGTTGACATTTGTTAGGTGGCTGTAAAGTCCAAATAGAGTAAAATTCAAATCGTTGCACATTCCCTCCCCAAACCCCCCAAGCCCTGCTTCATCCATGCTAATGCCAGCGTGTGACGGCGAAATGCTCGGTCTGCACTTAAGCAACGGCGAAATGCTCGATCTGCACTTAAGCAACGGCGAAATGCTCGGTCTGCACTTAAGCAACGGCGAAATGCTAGATCTGCACTTAACTGACGGCGAAGTGCTAGACCTGCACTTAAGTAACGGCGAAATGCCAAATCTGAGCCCTAACACCAAGGCCCGCGACCTAAAAATTGGTCGCGGGCGTCGACGAACGCATTGGTGTTTGTCGAAGGCCCGTGTCGAACACGAACACGTTCGTGTTCGACGCGCCTCGGCCAGCTGAGCCGGGCGAACGGCGAACGTGTTCGGGCGAACACCGAACACGTTCGGCTTGAACAATTTAGGCCAAAAAAAAATATTCGAGGCGAACCGAACAGGAGTTCGTTATATTGCTCATGCAGGTCCTGCAGTGGTCCTTGTGTTTGTTTTTTTGTTTTTGTTTTGTTTTTGTTTTTGTTTAGCTTTTGCATTATCCAGCCAGCAGGCAAACCTTCTGCTTGTTTTTCGAGCTAGCTTTCCCTCCCTCACAATGATCCAGCTCTTTTCCCATGTGTTACCCACACACACCAGCCCTCATCGACAACCAAGGATTCCAGCCAATCGGTGCTGGCAGGCGTCATCTGGCCGGGCGGGGTCTCATTCGTGAGTTGCTGAATCGCATTCTTGAGACTTTTTTCCAAAAGTCGTACACTTTCTGTGTGAGTCGCTCGCATCGTGGTTGCACACACATCTCTAGCTGAGTAAGGCTGAGCCAGATAAATACCACATACAGGTTACACACATTTTTATCTGTCAGTCACTTTTCCAATTGGTTTTTATGCGTTTGATCTCCTGTCCACCTCTCGTGTCCATCTTCGTTCTTGTCTCTTCCCTCCCCCCCCCCCCCGCCCCCCCCTTTTTTTCTTAACCGTGTCCCTCTCTCCTGCCCGTCCACTTGTTCATTTTTTTTTCCCGCACAGCTGCCACGCGGCTGGTTCCCACGTGCGCACACACCATTGAAGATCGCCGTGCCGTTCAAACAGGTAAGCTTGTTTTTCTTGTATGCAGTGCTCCCAAATCACGTTTTTCTCTCCTCAGGTACGAGTTCGGCATGTGCCACGGCACGGCAGCCACGCTGTAACTTGAACCCGCCGCGCCCCACGAACGACCCATCAGGAACCCGTGCTGCCGGAGCCGACTTTTGAGGCGCCTCAAAAGGATCGCAGCCTGCTGAGCGCGCTGACAGACCCTTGTGACTTTTGAGGCGCCTCAACTAATGACCCATCAGGAACCCGTGCTTTTGAGTCGACTCCAAAGCGCAACGCCCCACGAACGACCCATCAGGAACCCGTGCTGCCGGAGCCGACTTTTGAGGCGCCTCAAAAGGATCGCAGCCTGCTGAGCGCGCTGACAGACCCTTGTGACTTTTGAGGCGCCTCAACTAACGACCCATCAGGAACCCGTGCGGCCGGAGCCGCCCAGGTGCCTTCTGATTGAGGCATGCCTTCCTCGCTCGCTCTCGTCTGAGGCTGCTGGTTCAACAGGATAGCCTCCTGTTGCTATCTACGGGATTGACACGCAGTTCGTGCAGATAGCATTTTTTGAGACGTCTCAAAACACGCAGTTCGTGCAGATAGCAGCCAACCAACGACACCATCACTGGCTTCCTCTCCTTCTGCGTGGAGTTTTTTCAAATGCCCCCCCCTCTCCCTCCCCCCTTCGCTCTTGCTCTCCCCGTCTTCCTCCGTAAACCCTAATCCTTCTACCCACAACAGGACTTCACGCAGTTTGTGCAGATCGCCACCAACGACACCATCACTGGCTTCTGCGTGGAGGTCTTTCCAATGTCCCCTCTCCCTCCCTGGCTCTATCTTCCTCTCCCACCCACTATCCTCTTCCCCCTTCCCAATCCCTTCTCTCCCTATCATAGGACTTCACACAATTCGTGCAGATCGCCACCAACGACACCATCACCGGCTTCTGTGTGGACGTCTTTCAAATGCGCCCTCCTCCCCTCCGTCTCATAGTCTCTCCTCAATATCTTCCTTCGCCTCTTCCCCCTCCATCCTCTCCCTATCACAGTGTGAAAGTAGCAAATTGAACAAGTCATCAGATTAGAGGAACAACCTAGCATACATAGTTGGAAGGGAAGGTTGGAAGGGAAGGATGAAAGTGACCATAGGTTGGGTTGACCTCACTTGGGGAAGTGAGGTACCCACAAGTCAAGAGGGTTGCATTTGGGGGCTCCACCACAATTGGGTGGATTGGCACCCCAAAGTGCAAGACTACACCCAAAGTTGGGTGTAGTCCCAACCCAACTGTACACCACAATTGGTGTACAGTCACATGTGTTGGCATGCTACACAATATATATTTTAACACAACCCCTTAGCATGCTAACACAAGAAGAGAACAACCCCTGAATCAAGGGGCGCCCGGGCGAGCAAGGCCAATGAGGCGGAGGAAGGCAGAGTGCGCGGGGCGAAGGAGGGCCTTAGTGAAGATGTCGGCCAAGTTGGCCTCGGTTGCAATCTTGCGAACGGCAATGAGGCCCTTCTGGACGAGCTCGCGAACGAAGAAGTAGCGGAGTTCGATGTGCTTGGAGCGGGCGTGATAGACGGGGTCCTGAGTGAGATGGATGGTGCTGGCGTTGTCGCACCAGAGAGTGGGGCACGTCTGGGGGGCGCCAAGCTCCGCAAGAAGGAAGCAGAGCCAGCGCGACTCCTGGGCGGCCATGGTGCCAGCGTAGAGCTCGGCTTCGCAGGTGGAGAGAGAGATGGCGGAGGAGCGGGTGGAGCGCCAGCTGATGAGGCCGCTGCCAAGGGTGAAGCCGTAGCCCTGGGAGGAGCGGCGGTCCGGCTGCGTGTCAGCCCATGAGGAGTCACTGAAGCCCGAGAGAAGGGGACGGGAAGGGCCGCCGAGGGTGAGGGCAAGGTCCCTGGTCCCGCGAAGGTAGCGGAGGACCCGCTTGGCAGCTTTCCAGTGCTCCTCAGAGTGACGACCGGTGCCGACAAAGCGAGCGAGCACGCTGATGGGGTAGGCGAGGTCGGGGCGGGTGCACATCATTGCGTACATCAAGGACCCAACGAGCTCGGCATAGGGGTGGGGGGAGGAGGTGGGGGAGGTGGGTGGAGCGAGTTGGTGACCGAAGGGGAGCGGGGTGGAAACAGGCTTGGCTTGCGCCATGTCGAACTTCTCCAAGACCTGGCCGATGTAATGGGACTGGGAGAGGGTGATTGTGCGAGCAGGGCGGTTGCGCGTGATGGTCATGCCGAGGTAGTGAGTGAGGGCGCCAAGGTCCTTGCACTTGAGCCGCTGCTGCAGGGACAGCTTCACCTGCTCCATGTCGGCCTTGGTGTCAGAGAGCAGGATCATGTCGTCGACATATACCAGAATGAAGAAGCGGCGGGGGGAGGAGCGGATGAAGAGGCTGGCGTCGGAGTGGGAAGCAGAGAAGCCGAGGGACCCCAAGGTGGCAGCCAGCTTCGCATGCCACTCACGTGATGCCTGCTTCAAGCCGTAGACGGTGCGACGCAGCTGCCAGACAGTGTTCTCAGGAAAGGCTGCGTGGAACCCGGGGGGTCGCCGGAGGAAAATGCGCTCATGCAGGTCGCCCTGCAGGAACGCATTGGAGACGTCCATGGAGTCGATTTCCATGTCGTCACGTGCACCAATGTCCATGGCGGCGCGAAGGGTGGGTGGTTTGGCGGTGGGGGCGTAGGTGAACCAGTAGTCCTCAGCCCAAGTCTGCGTGAACCCCTTGGCGCAGTAGCGGGCCTTGTACACTGGTTCCTCGCCCGGCAGCTGCTTCACCCGAAAGACCCATTTGCCGTCAACGAGATTAGCGCCAGCAGGGAGGGGGACATCGACAAAGGAGTCGTTGCGAATGAAGGCCTCACACTCCAGGAAGATCGCTGCTATCCATTTATCCGCATCAGGGCAGGTGATGGCTTCCTGGAAGGTGGAGGGAGTGAAGATGGTGGGGGTAGTAGTGGCGCCAAGGACAGGAAAGCCCAGGAAGTCAAGGTAGAGGGCGGCAAGGAATGGAGTGTGCTCCCGAATGTTGAGGAACTCCTCATGGGAGTCCTCAAGGAGCTGAATGGAGGCAGGAGGAGGAGCCCCAAGGATTTTGTCCACCGAGCGGGTATGGATGTAAGGGAGGAGGAAGGGGGAGGAGCGGGAAGTGGCACGGCGCCGCTGCTGCTGCTGGTGCTGCTGCTGCTGATGCTGCTGCTGCTGCTGCTGCTGTCCCGGCTGCTGCTGATGCGGCTGCCCCGGCTGCTGCTGCTGCTCCGGCTGCTGCTGCTGCTGCTGCTGCTGCTGCCCCGGCTGCTGCTGCTGCTGCCCCTGCTGCCGTTGCTGGTGTTGCTCCCGCTGCTGCTGCTGCTGCTGCTGCTGGTGCTGCTGCTGCCCCTGCTGTTGCTGATCCGGCTGCTGGAAAGGAGGAGAATGAGAGGAGGAGGGAGAGGGGGGAGGGGGTGCAGCTGAGTGAGCGGGGGAGGCGGGTGCGGCAGGGTCGTAGACGTCGGCAGAGGAGGAAGGCGGGAGTGGGGCGGCGACAGGTGGGAGGAGAGGCGCTGGAGGGATAAGAGGCGGGAGGATGGTGTCGGTCCAAGCGAGGGGGCGAGTGGGAGGAGGGAGGGGGTCAGGAGGAGGGGTGGAGTAGTAGGGAGTGGACTCGTCGAAGACGACGTCAATGCTGCGGATGAGGCGATTGGTGGGAGGGTGGAGGAATAGGTAGCCTGGGGAATCACGATTGTGCCCAAGGTAGACGCACTCCAGAGCGCGAGGAGCGAGCTTGCCAGCAGCGCGGGAGCGGTCGGCCGGTGGAATGAGGACGAACGCCTTGCAGCCCCAAACACGAAGGCCTGCGGCGTCAGGCTTGGCCTTGGACCAGAGTTCTGTGGGGGAGGAGGAGGGATGCTGAGGGTGGGAGCGGAGATTGAGGAGGAGGGCGGCATGAATGAGGGCATAGCTCCAGAGGGAGGGAGGGGTGGAGGCGTGAGCAATGAGGCAGCGCGCAATCTTGGTGATCTCACGGATGCGACTCTCAGCGATGCCGTTTTGCTGAGGGGAGTGGGGAAGGGTGGTGGTCTGCTGAATGCCGTATGTTTTGCAGTAAGTGGAGAGAGTATGATTGATGAACTCACCCCCACCGTCAGAGTGAAGGCGGCCTATGGGACGTTTGAAGTGGTTGCGGCACTGCTCAGCCCAGTTGATGACCACAGCCGGCACCTGGTCTTTCGTGTGAAGAAAGAAGACGGTGGAGTACCGACTGTGGTCGTCGACGAGCACGAGCATGTACCTGTGCCCCTGACGGGAGCGGATGGGATAAGGGCCCCAGAGATCCATGTGAACAAGGTCAATGGGGGCGGGAGCGAAGGTGGGATGACTGTGATGGGGGGACTGTTTGAGCTTGCCATGAATGCATGATGGGCATGGAGGAGCAGGGGAGGAGGGGAGGGGAGGTAAGGTGGGAGGAAGGCTGTTAAGGAGGCGAGAGGTGACGGTGGAGCGAAGTGCGGCGAAGTTGGGATGGCCGAGTCTGTGATGTAGGAGCACTGCAGGATGGGAGAGGGCAGTAGAGGAGGAGGGGGATGGGGTGGGGGAAAAGTTGGGGGGGGAGGAGGAGGCGGATGGAGTAGAGGAGGAGGATATCGGAGGAGGGGGAGGGGGAGGGTGAGGGGGAGGGAGAAGGGGACCGGTGGAAGTACCAGCACGAGTGGTGACGTGACAAAAGGAGGGACGAGGTGTGCGGAGCGTGTAAAGGCGAGTGCGAGGGCAAAGGGGAATGCGCAGGAGGAAACGACCAGAGGCGGTGTGGTAGAGATCGCAGTAGGAAGCAAAGCCAGGGTATATGGCGGTAATGCCAACGCCTTGGAGTTCACGGTGGGAGAGGAGATTATTGCGAAGGGTAGGGATGTGGAGACCGGTGACTGTACCGGATGGGAAGGCGGTGCAAGGAAGGGTGGAGAGGTGAGTGCAGGGGATGGAAAAGCTGGAGTCGGCACCATGAACCTGGGTGGGAAGTGGAAGGGGGGTGAGGGTGCCAGCGTCTTTTAGTGCGGTTTCGGTGGCCCCACTGTCAAGGACAAAGTCCAGGGTGGGGGGGGAAGGAGAGGGAGGGAACACAGAGTACTGGAGAGTTGTTTCATGGACAGAAGAGGGAGAGAGCGGCGGGTGCTGCTGCTGTAAGTACTGTTGCTGCTGCGGCTGCTGCGGTGGGAGAGACTGTGACGGTTGCGGCTGGAGAGATTGGGCTGCTGCTGCTGCTGGAAGCACCGCCGATGCTGCCGCGGTTGCTGCGGCTGGAGAGATTGTGGTGGCTGCTGCTGCTGGAAGCACTGCTGCTGCTGCGGATGGAGAGAACTGTGGCTGGTGCTGCTGCTGGAAGCACTGCTGCTGCTGCGGCTGAAGAAACTGTGGCTGCCGCTGCTGCTGGAAGGACTGCTGCTGCTGCGGCGGAAAAAACTGTGGCAGCTGCTGCTGCTGGAAGCACTGCTGCTGCTGCGGCTGAAGAGACTGTGGCTGCTGCTGCTGCAGGAAGGACTGCTGCTGCTGCGGTGGAAGGAACTGTGGCAGCTGCTGCTGCTGGAAGGACTGCCGCTGCTGCGGCTGGAAGGACTGCTGCTGCTGGGGATGGAGAAACTGTGGCGGTGAGGCTGGAGAGATTGCGGCTGCTGTTGGTGTTGGAAGAACTGCTGCTGCTGCGATTGCCGCGGCTGGAGGAGATGTGGGGGGTGCGGCTGGAGAAATTGTGGTTGCTGCCGCTGCTGGAAGTCCTGCTGCTGCTGATGCTGGAGCTGCTGGAAACGCCGCAGATGGGGAGGGGGGGAGGGGGTGAGCAGGCGGAGATAAGGGGGGGGGGAGGAGTGGAGGGTCGGAGTGTTGAGAAGGGAGGGGCGAGGAGTAACACTGCTCCAGTGAGGAGGGGGGAGAGGGGCAGGGGGGGTAGCAGTCATGATGGGCGACGGCGGGTGGACCCGCGGCGGCCAAGGGTGAAGTTGCTGCTGCGGAGGCTGCTGCACTTCCCCTGCTGCCGCTGCTGCTGCCGCTGGCAGGAGGAGGGAGGGGGGGGGGGGGGGGGGGGGGGGGGGTAAAGGAGGGAGACAGCGGTGGAGGGCAGAGGCGTTCAAGGTGCAGGGAGCGACGGTGACAAGGGCGCAGGCGGCTGTGCGAACGTGCGGCGGCGGGAAGGGGAGGCGGTGGCAAAGTCGGGGGCGGCGGCGGCGAGCAGGCCGCGACGACGAGGGGCGCAGGCGACGGCGGAAGGGCCGCGGCGGCGAAACGAGGGACGGCGGCGGCAAGCAGGCCGCGGCAACGAGGGGCGCAGGGGGAGGGGGAGGGGGGAGGGGGGGGGGAGAGGAGTAGGGAGAGGAGGAAGGGAGGGTGCAGTTGCGGCTGAATCTGCAGGCGGCGACGGGGCAGTCACGGCGGCAGGAAGTGTGGGCGGGGATGGCGCGGTCGCGGTGGAGGATGGGCAGACGGCGTCGAAGCAGTCGCGGCGGTAGGGCAGCGGCGGCGCAGTGGCGTTAACGGGAACCGCGGGGCGACGATGTTGCAGTTGCGGCGGGGGAAATTGCGGGAGGGTGCGATGCAGAAGGGGCAGCGAGATGCGTGGGTGACGCGGAAGCAGGTGCGGCGGTGGGAGGGGAGGCGGGGGGGGGGGGGGGGGCGGGGAGGTGACGACGAGCAGTCGCGGCGGCGGAATGCGCAGGCGGCGATGTTAGGTCGCGGCGGCGGGACGGGCAGGGGGCGACGAGCTGTCGCGGCGGCGGGACGGGCAGACGGCGCCGAAGCAGGCGCGGCGGCGGGAAGGGGAGGCGGCGACGTGACGTCGCGGCGGAGGGACGGGCAGGCGGCGACGAGGCGTCGCGGCGGCGGGATGCGCAGGCGGCGCCGAAGCAGGCGCGGCGGCGGGAACGCGGCGACGAGACGTCGCGGCGGAGGGACGGGCAGGCGGCGACGAGGTGTCGCGGCGGCAGGATGCGCAGGCGGCGCCGTAGCAGGCGCGGCGGCGGGAACGCGGCGACGAGACGTCGCGGCGGAGGGACGGGCAGGCGGCGACGAGGCGTCGCGGCGGCAGGATGCGCAGGCGGCGCCGAAGCAGGCGCGGCGGCAGGATGCGCAGGCGGCGCCGAAGCAGGCGCGGCGGCGGGAACGCGGCGACGAGACGTCGCGGCGGAGGGACGGGCAGGCGGCGACGAGGCGTCGCGGCGGCAGGATGCGCAGGCGGCGCCGTAGCAGGCGCGGCGGCGGGAACGCGGCGACGTGACGTCGCGGCGGAGGGACGGGCAGCGGGCAGGCGGCGACGAGGCGTCGCGGCGGCAGGATGCGCAGGCGGCGCCGAATAAGGCGCGGCGGCGAGAAGGGGAGGCGGCGACAGGGGGTCGCGGCGGGGGGGAGGAGGGGACAGCGGCGTTGCGCTCGCGGCGGTGGAATCCGCAGGCGAGGAAGGCGTAATCGCGGCGGGAGGGGGGGGGGAACGGCGGCGACGGCGTAGGTCGCGGCGAGAGTATGCTAGTGATGGCTAGTTGAGCCACGCGTAGGAAAGGGTTTGTAGCTGTGGGGTGGGCCCATGGGAAAAAAAAAAAACTGAAGGGAGGGAGAGGTAAGGCCTAGGAACAAGTAGCTCTATACCATGTGAAAGTAGCAAATTGAACAAGTCATCAGATTAGAGGAACAACCTAGCATACATAGTTGGAAGGGAAGGTTGGAAGGGAAGGATGAAAGTGACCATAGGTTGGGTTGACCTCACTTGGGGAAGTGAGGGAACCATGGGTCAAGTGGGTTGGTTTGCCCACACTTTGTAGAAGTGAGGCAACCCTAGGCCCACTTGGCTTGGGGTAACCTCAATTGTGGGAAGTGAGGTACCCACAAGTCAAGAGGGTTGCATTTGGGGGCTCCACCACAATTGGGTGGATTGGCACCCCAAAGTGCAAGACTACACCCAAAGTTGGGTGTAGTCCCAACCCAACTGTACACCACAATTGGTGTACAGTCACATGTGTTGGCATGCTACACAATATATATTTTAACACACAGGACTGTTGTAATTTCATATCTTATACAACATACATAGGCTAGAATTAGATGTGTAGCACATTTATAAATTGGGGGGTTGTTTAGTGTACCCTCCAACCACATGTTTGTGGTTGGTTGGGATTGGTCCTTAACTCAACCAATCCCAACCAACACACATTTGTGGTTGCTTGGGCCACAAGCAAGCTCACCCATTGGTCAACATATTGGCCAATCGGGTAAGCTTCCCTCTCATCTCTCTCTTGCTCATTGTTTGTACTAAAGGGCCTCTTGGCTCATTATTCAATTGATCAATTCTCTCCTTCAACAAGGACTTCACACAATTCGTGCAGATTGCCACCAACGACACCATCACCGGCTTCTGTGTGGAGGTCTTTCGAATGCCTCTTTCCCTCTCTTTCGTGGCCCCTCTCTCCCTTCCCTCTCTTGATCCCCGTCTCCACCCTCCCACCTCCTTCCCCCACAACAGGACTTCACACAATTCGTGCAGATTGCCACCAACGACACCATCACCGGCTTCTGTGTGGAGGCCTCTCAATCGTTCCCTCTCCCTTGCTATACTCCTTTCTTAACCCTAACCCTTCCCCTACAACAGGACTTCACGCAGTTCGTGCAGATCGCCACCAATGACACCATCACCGGCTTCTGTGTGGAGGTCTTTCGGGCGGCGGTGGGGCTGCTGCCGTACACACTGGACTTCGAATTCGTGCCCTATGGCGTTGGCAACCAGTCTCTGAGTTACACCGACATGCTTAGGCTGGTGGCAAATAAGGTGAGTAGGAAGTGGCGTACGAGTCAAGTGGATTGAATGGCAATGAAGGACTTTCGAGCAGCAGTGGGGCTGTTGCCGCACACACTTGAGTGTTTTGAGACGTCTCAAAACACTACTATCATGTGGCTCTTCGAGCAGCAGTGGGGCTGTTGCCGCACACACTGGAATTGGAGTTCGTGCCCTATGGCTTTGGCAACCAGTCTCTCAGCTACACCGACATGCTCCAACTCGTTGGGAACAAGGTGGGACGAGGAATCAGGGCAGGTGCAGGGGTGGGTGGGTGGCAAGGGCTGGAGTGTCTCAGGCGGCAGTGGGGCTGCTGCCGTACATGTGGACTTGGAGTTTGTGCCCTATGGTGTCGGCAACCAGTCAGTCTCTCAGCTAAACCGACGTGCTCCAACTCGTTGCGACCACGGTGAGTGTTGTTGAGATGGCCGCTACCACCAGTCGACTCAGAAGCAGTTTGAGCCGGGGTTGATGTAAGAGTAAGAGTCGAGTGGATTGGGTAGCTATGATTTTAAATTCTTCATCGTTTAGTGTAGCCTACAAAAAACATCTGTACCCTTCTTTCTCCCGTCAATCCTCTTCCTCCTCTTTTTCCCTTCCAACCTCCCAACTCCACCGTGCATGCAGACATTTGACGGGGCAGTTGGTGACATCACCATCACACAGGAGCGCCAGCAGCTCGTGCAGTTCACTCAGCCAGTGCAGGTACACCTTCCCCTTCTTGCAGGTACACCCAGTGCAGGTACACCTTTCCCTTCTTGCAGGTACACCCAGTGCAGGGTTTAGGTAATACGTTGCTTCCATTGCTTGCCACGCCTCTCAATCGTATTTCCATGGTGTTTAGAAGATAAGTTGTTTTACACATCCATCCCTCTCCCCGGTTCCTCCCTTTCCTCCAGTCTGCCAGCCTGTCGATGGCGGTGGCACAGGAACCCACAAGCACGGGCGCGTGGTCGTTCCCTTCCGTGGCCCCTGAAACACTGTCTGTCCATTCCCTTCCCATCCCCCCTTACCACCAGTCTGCCAGCCTGTCGATGGCGGTGGCACAGGAGCCGACGAGCACGGGGGCGTGGTCGTTCCTCTCACCATTCTTGTCATGAATTTTGAGGCGACTCACGAGTCAGTTCACCCCGTTCACCCCCTTCCTCCCTTACCTCCAGTCTGCAAGCCTGTCCATGGCGGTGGCACAGGAGCCAACGAGCACGGGCGCGTGGTCGTTTCTGTCGCCCTTCTCGCTCACCATGTGGCTGGTCATCCTCGCATCCACCGCTTTCACCGTGGTGGCCGTGTGGTTCCTCGAGAAGAACCAGAACGAGGACTTCTACGCCAACGGCAAGCTCTCCAGCCAGATCATCGATAGTGTTTGGTGAGCCCACCCCACTCCACTACCCTGTTTCCTCAAGCCCTGTTTCAAAGCTACCCTTCTCCCTTCTACGCCCACGGCAAGCTCTCCAGCCAGATCATCGACAGCGTCTGGTAAGCCAACAGATTGAGCCCGACTCATAGTTTGAGAACTCTCAACACCTCCTCAAGAAGAACCAGAACGAGGACTTTTACGCCCACAGCAAGCTCTCCAGCCAGATCATTGACAGTGTCTGGTATCTCTACCCTGTTTCCTGAAGGACAGTGTCTGTGTGTGTGGTAAGCTGTTGCCAGAGCACAGGCGCGTGCTCAATCGTTTCCCTCCGTGATGGTTCCGGAAAAATATAGTTTTTAGGCGCCTCAAAACTAGACGCGCTCGATCGGTTCTATCCGTGATGGTGTCAAAAAGATAATTCCAAGGGGATGAGAAGAGACACAAGTATGTCTGGCTTGGATTAGAAATACTGGATCGAGTGTAAGTGTGTACACTCGCTGGATGCGAAAGGTGAGGGATTGGGTGGGTAAGTGGGGAAAGATGCAAACACTTTAAGCAAAAAGTGAGGGATTGGGTGGGTAGGTGGGGAAAGATGCAAACACTTTAAGCAAAAAAAACGAACGTGTTCGAGGCGAACCGAACAGGTGTTCGCCCTTGTGCTCATGTCTACTCACGGATTTTTTAGGCGCCTAAAAAATCGTCTTATAATTGGTCCCTACAAATGACTAGGTAGGGCTCATCTTCTCCCCTGTATTGCCCTCTCTCCCTCGTTTGTTCCTGCGTGTCCCTCCCTTGTGCTCTGCAGGTATGCGCTCACCACAATCGTCTTTGCGCAAGGTACGCATTTGATTGACCAATGTCCAATGCCCACCTTCCCACCCACCTTCACCTTCTCATTCATGCCATGTCAATGCGTTCATCAGAACACCCGTGCTGCCGTGCATCAAGGTGACTTTTGAGTCGACTCAAAGGCCACCCACCTTCACCTTCACCTTCACCTTCGCCTTCACCTTCACCTTCACCTTCTCATCTACGTCTGTCAATGCGCTAAAGAAAATACATCAGCATCATCGTGCATCGCAGCATTGTGTGTGTGATGATGCCCCTGCCCTGCCCTGCATTATACGACATGCTGTCCCTGCCCTGCCCTGCATTATACGACCCAACGCTCTCGCCCCCACCCCGCCACCCCCTCACCACAACCCTCCTCTCCTCCACCCTCACCCCCTCTTAACCCCCCCTCTTTCCCCAACCATCACGTGTGAGCAGACAAGCCCATTCAGACCACCATTGGGCGTCTCGCCATGATGTGCTGGCTCTTCCTCGTGCTCATCTTGACCTCGTCTTGTCCCTCCATCCCCCTCTTGCTACTCCCCTGCTACCCTACTACATCACATGCCATGTGAGCAGACAAGCCCATTCAGACCACCATGGGGCGACTGGCCATGATGTGCTGGCTCTTCCTCGTGCTCATCGTCAGAGCCCTCTTTTCTCCTCTGCTTACACCCTGTATTACCCACCCGTCTTCACATGTGAGCAGACAAGCCCATTCAGACGACCATGGGGCGTCTCGCCATGATGTGCGGGCTCTTCCTCGTGCTCATCGTGACCTTGCCTTGTCCCTCCATCCCCCTCTTGCTCCTCCACGGCTACCCTACTACATCACATGCTATGTGAGCAGACAAGCCCATTCAGACCACCATGGGGCGGCTGGCCATGATGTGTTGGCTCTTCCTCATAAGCTATCTCCCCCCCCCTATTTCCCATTTACGCACACCCTTTATCACCCTTCTTGACATGTGATGTGATGTGATGTCATGTCATGTCATGTCATGCCATGTCATGCCATGTCATGTCATGTCATGTCATGTATTGTGAGCAGACAAGCCCATTCAGACCACCATGGGGAGATTGGCCATGATGTGCTGGCTATTCCTTGTGCTCATTGTAACCGCCAGTTACACCGCCTCCCTCTCCTCCATCCTCACCGTTCAGAACCTCGCCGCCACCCCTGATGTGAGCACCCTTACCACCCTAAACCCGAAACCCTAAAACTTAAACCCTGAACAACAACCTGAACTGCGAGGCCATCCACAATCCACACCCCCGTGTCCCTTGCTCGCTCACCACCACCATCCAACATCATCATCATCCAACCTCATCATCATCCAACCTCTCCACCATCCAACCTCATTATCATCAGACCTAAGTGACTTCTGAGTTGACTCAAAACTCGCTCGCTCATCCAACCTTCATCATCATCCAACCTCAACACCATCCAACCTCACCACCATCCAACCTCACCACCATCCAACCTCATCACCATCCAACCTCATCATCATCCAGAACTTTATTTCATGACCACCACTGCTGATATGATATGATATGATATGATATGAGCACAGTTTGTTTCCTGCGGCAAGCACTGTTGATGTAAGGAGCAGCAGCACCCTCAGGCACCTTCCCGACTTGCTCACCGTCCTGAACCGTTCACTACCGTTCCTTCCTTCTAACCCACTCTCACCCACCTCTCATCGCGCTCTCATCCCTCCTGTTCCTCCCCCTTTCCCCACTCCCTTCTCCCTTTCTACGCGCCCCCTCCTGCTGTATGAGTCAATCAGGGTTTTTTTGAGAATCCTGAAAAAAATATCTTTCAATGTGCCCCTTCCTGCTGTAGAAAAGGAGTCAATCACCACCTTTCCACGCCCTTTACCCCCAACCCACCCCCCCTTCTCGCCCCCTTTCCACCCCAAACCCCCAACGCCCTTACCCCCCCCACCCCCACCCCTGCCTCTGCCGCCTTCCCTGTGTTTCACCCGCCTCTCTACCAATCGCATCACAGAGCCTTTCCGTGGCGATTTCTCTGAAGCTTCCTCTCGGTTACCACGAGGGCTCCTTCACCTACAACTACCTCCTGGCCATCGGCATCCCCGCTGTAAGCAGGCTCTCTAATTAGTTGTAGGCAGTCTTATTGTACCTGCTTTCCACTGTAGACAGTCTCTCAGTCACCACAAAGGTTCCTTCGCCTACAATTACCTCCTGGCCATCGGCATCCCCACTGTAAGCAGTCCCCCTAATCACCACTGTAGTTGTAGGTAGTCCTGTTATACCTGCTCTCCACTGTAGGCAATCCCTAGGTCACGACGAGGGCTCCTTCACCTACAATTCACCTCCTAGCCGTCGGAATCCCCGCTGTAAGCAGGCTCTCACCCTCTCTCCAGTCCCTCGTTTTAAGCAGTCTCTATTGATGCCGCCCGCCCGCTGTAAGCTGGCCCGTTAGTCCCTTATGCGAATTCTCAAAAGTGATTTGCCCACGTTTCTCTCCCTCTAACTCTCGCTATACGCACACTTTCCTCTCTGTAAGCAGGCTATTTAATCCCCACTGTAGGCAGACTCATTCATTATACATGCCCTCCCGCCCCTCTCACACCCTCCCCGCCCCCAAGATACAGTCTTGCAACCCTTTCCCTACAAAGGCGGTGATTCACAAGGTTCACTCATGCTACCCCCATCCCTCCCTTCCCCCAAAACCCTACACCCCCCCTCCCCTCTCCCCCTCTCGTCCCCTGTCCCTCCCCCCCGCCTCCTTCCTCATCGGTCCCCCGATTTCCCACCCCTCCCACCCCTCTCAACAGTCAGTGCTGTTCCCGCTGAAATCTATGGCTGAATTCGCGGACGCCCTGGGCTCAGGCAAGGTGAAGGCGGTGATTGATGAGGCTCACTCACGCTGCCCCCATTCTTCCCCTCCCCCGGAACCCTGCACTTCCCCCTTCCTCCACACACAACAGTCAGTGCTGCACCCATTGGGGTCCATGGCTGAATTCGCAGACGCCCTGGGTTCAGGCAAGGTGAAGGCGGTGATTGATGAGGCTCACTCACGCTGCCCCCATTCCTCCCCTCCCCCGGAACCCTGCACTTCCCCGTTCCTCCACACACAACAGTCAGTGCTGTACCCATTGGGGTCCATGGCTGAATTCGCAGACGCCCTGGGTTCAGGCAAGGTGAAGGCGGTGATTGATGAGGCTCACTCACGCTGCCCCCATCCATCCATCCGCTCCCCATCCCAACCCCTGACCTCATCCCCCCCCCATCTCCACTTTAAAACCCGCGCCTCCCCCGCTCCCCCAACCAGTCAGTGCTGTTTCCGCTGAAATCCATGGCTGAGTTCGCGGACGCCCTGGGCTCGGGAAAGGTGAAGGCGGTGATTGATGAGGCGCCGTATCTGGATGTATTCAACTCGCGCTTCTGCAGCTACACTCGCGTGAAGGAACAACTTTCCACCTTCAACTGGGGCTTCGTGAGTGGTGTCAGTTGGCTCGATTTATACATATGGTGAGAGGTAAGAGCTGTAAGGCTGAGAGGCGCCACATCTGGACGTGCTCAACTCGCGCTTCTGCAGCTACACGCGCGTGAAGGAGCAGCTCTCCACGTTCAACTGGGGCTTCGTGAGTGGTGTCAGTTGGCTCGATTTATACATATGGTGAGAGGTAAGAGCTGTAAGGCTGAGAGGCGCCATATCTGGACGTGCTCAACTCGCGCTTCTGCAGCTACACTCGCGTGAAGGAACAAATTTCCACCTTCAACTGGGGCTTTGTGAGTGCCGCTGCTGTGTCGTGTGGGTGGGCGTGAGGCGACTCATGAATATGTGACGGCTCTTGCTGTATAATGAATCTGGCTTGCCAGCTGCACAGCATGCACGACTTCTGGATCAAGTTTTGAGTCGACTCAAAACACGACTTCTGGATCAAGGGCTCCACCTCCTGCTCCCTGGGGCCCTCCCTCTCCTCTATCAGCCTCTCTCACGCCCACTGCTCCTCTCCCCCATCTGCCCCTCCCTCCTGTCACTCCCCTGCTAACTCTTTCCCCTTCCCCCTGCCACCCCTCCTCCCTGCCCCTCCCCAACCCCCCCTCCCTCCCCTCCCACCGCCCCAGGCCTTCCACAAGGACATGAGGGTGCCCTACGATCTCTCCATCGCCATCTCAAAGCCTTCCCCACACCCCCTCTCCGCCTTTCATGCGCCCTTGTCCTCTCCCCTCTCCCCACCCGCCCATCCCCTCAGCCCCCTGCTCCCCTGCTCCCCTACTCCACCCCACACAACAGGCCTTCCACAAGGACATGCGCGTGCTCTACGGCCTTTCCATCGCCATCTCAAAGCTGGACCCCACTCCCCCTTCCCTCCCATCCTTCCCCTGCCCTCCTCCCCTCCCAACCCCCTCCTTCCCCCCCCAGGTGTTCCACAAGGACATGCGCGTGCCCTACAATCTCTCCACCGCCATCTCAAAGTTGGCGCACTCACTCCCTGCCCATTCCTGTTCCATCCTGCCCCTACCCTCCCTTCCCCATTTCTTCCCCCCCCACACACAACAGGCCTTCCACAAGGACATGCGGGTGCCATACGATCTCTCCATCGCCATCTCAAAGCTGGCGCAGTCGGGGCAGCTGCAGAGCATGCACGACTTCTGGATCAAGGGCTCCACCTCCTGCTCCCTCGGGCCCTCCGTCTCCTCCACCAGCCTCGGCCCCGAGAACTTCTGGACGCTGTTTGTGATTTATAGCGCGGTCGCGGTGCTGTGCTGCCTTGTGTACTGCGCGATGTCGGCTTATACGGGGTACAGGATTCTGAGCTACTGCCGGAAGCTGGAGAAGGAGTTGAAGGAGGAACTGGAGGGAGGCAAAGCAGGGTGAGTTGCAATCCACTCCGCCTGGGGAAAGGTAAGAAAGCAGGTGGGCTCACATCTGTGTATTGTATGCTGTGCCGGGTCAGTCTATATATGGTACAAGATTCTGAGCTACTGCCGGAAGCTGGAGAAGGAGCTGAAGGAGGAACTGGAGGGAGGCAAAGCAAGGTGAGTTCAAGTTGCAGGTCGGGCTTGTAATAAGGTGAGCAGGCAAAGGAAGGAGTCACTTCTGTGCACCGTGCTGGGTTTGCTTATACGGGGTACTGGATCCTGAGCTATTGCCGGAAGCTGGAGAAGGAGCTGCAGGAGGAACTGGAGGGAGGCAACGCAGGGTAAGTCTCAATTCAAGTTGCAGGTCGGGCTTGTGATAAGGTGAGCAGGCAAAGGGAGGAGTCGCTTCTGTGCACTTTGCTGGGTTTGATTATACGGGGTATAGGATCCTGAGCTATTGCCGGAAGCTGGAGAAGGAGCTGCAGGAGGAGTTGGAGGGAAGCAAAGCAGGGTGAGTTGCAATCCGGGCTTGCGAGACAATAAGGTGAGCACGCAAAGGGAGTCCCATCTCTGCACTGTGCCGGGCTGGCTTATACGGGGTACAGGTTCCTGAGCTACGGGGGGGCTTTGACAAGTAAAGTGCCTCCCTTGTCTTGTCCCTCTCCCCCACCCCCTTTCCTCCCCTGCGCTGATTCTCACTGCAGGTTCTCCAGGGAAGGGAAAGGCAGAGGAAGGAAGCACGGAAGGCAGCAGCAGCAGGAGGGACGGGTTAGGTGCATTCCTCTCCCTCCCCTCTCCCATCTCCCCCACCCTCCCCCTGCGCTGATATTCACTGCAGGTCCTCCAGGAAGGGCAAGGCAGAGGAAGGCAGCACGGAAGGCAGCACGGAAGGCAAGGACAGGCCGTCCCTCCCTGCTGGAGTGGTGGAACGGACTGGCCTGATGTGCAATCCTCTCCCTCCCCACTTCCCTCCCCCTTCCACCCCACATTCCTCCCCTGCGCTGATTCTCACTGCAGGACCTCCAGGAAGGGCAAGGCAGAGGAAGGCAGCACGGAAGGCAGCAAGGGCAGGAGGGACGGCTTACGTGCGTTCCCCTCTCCCATCTCCCCCACCCTCCCCCTGCACTGATTCTCACTGCAGGTCCTCCAGGAAGGGCAAGGCAGAGGAAGGAAGCACAGAAGGCAGCAAGGGAGCAAAAGAGGGAGGAGGCGGGGTGTGGGGCAGCATGCGATGGAGATCAACTTCTTCCACGCGCTGCTCGTGGGGCTGGCTGGGGTGGTGAAGGGACAGACCTGACGTGCACTCTCTCCACCTCCCCCCTCTTTTCCCTTGCCGGCTTCCATCTCCCCCCCTTCTTCCCTTCGCCATGACTCATTTCAGATCCTCCAGGAAGGGGAGGGCAGAGGAAGGAAGCACGGAAGGCAGCAAGGGAGCAAAAGAGGGAGGCGCAGGCGGGGTGTGGGGCAATGTTCGCTCCGGGCTGCAGACGATGATGGAAATCAACTTCTTTCACGCGCTGCTCGTGGGGCTGGGGTGGAAAGACCCTCCTGATGTGCACTCCGCTCTGGTCACCAACCAGCTGCAGCACATTGACTTTGACAGCTACGGCGCTGCTGCTGGGTATGGTGGTGGTGGTGCTGGCGGGTATGGTGTTGCTGCTGGGTTCAACGGTGGTGGTCCTGGAGAGGAAGGGGGGATAGCGGGAGTGTTTGCCCGAGTTGGTAGCATGGGTGGCATGAGGAGTTTCAAGAACGCTGAAGGCAGCACCAGCACCAGCACAAGTCGACTTGTGAGGCGCCTCAGAAGTTTTGGAGAAGAAGGGGAGAGAGGGGGAGCAGCATTCGACCGAGCTGGTAGCATGGGCGGGAGGAGTTTCAAGCATGCTGACCGACCAACCAGCAGCGGCAGCGGTCATCTCAAGTCAAGCAAGTCACTTAAGAGGCGCTTCGCCAGGGGAAGCGCGTCGCAAGGAGGCTCTTTCAAGTCAACAACCTCATTCAAAGCAGATCTGTTCCGAAAGCAACAGTCTTTCCAGCAGTCTAACCTTGGCAAGGAGGGGGAGAGAGACGCAAGAGAGGCACGGGAGGAAAGGGAGTCAATCGAGTCAACGTCAGTCAAGAGGGCAGCGTCGTTCCGGGCAGAGTCAATGCGGTCAGCCTCGTTCAAACAATCCGAGGCTTTCCAAGGGGGTCCTGTGGCCCGGGCTGGAGGGTTCCGAAGTGCTTCTGTGCCCGGAGGTGAGGTGATCAGGGAGGCGACGGGAGAGCGGGAGCAGCAGAGGCAGGAGTATGGGCAGGAAGGGAGGGCGAAGCAGTTTGTACGGCCTGGGTCTGGTGGGACTGGTGGGTCGGGTGGTTCTCGAGATAGGGATGGGACTGGAAGCCTGGGTGCAGGAGCAGGCTTGGCTCAGTCGGGCAGCTTGAGCAAAACGGGCAGTTTTAAGAGATCGGGCAGTGCGCTCCGTGCTCCCAGCTTCAAGCGTCCCACCAGCAGTCGAGAGGAGGGGCGTGAGAGGGACGGGAGTGGGATAGCAGAGCGGCAGCCGCAGCCGCCGCAGCAGCATCAAGGGCCGATATTGAAGCCTGAGGGGCTGTTTAAGAAGCTAGTCAGCTTTAAAGGGGCCGAGGCTGGGTCGAGCACTGGTGGAGGTTCTGAGAGCACGAGCAGAGGGGGAGTGGAGAGAGGGGCAGGAGGGGGTTCAGGAGGTGCAGGAGCACGGGGAGGAGGAGGAGGAGGAGGGCAAGGGGGTGGGGGGCAGACGAGGCCGGATATCAAGTTTGGCGGCAGTGCGAGGGGCAAGTTTGAAGGGGGGCCGGTGTGGCGATCAACTTCCTGGGGAAAGAAGGGGTGAGGTGAGGGGTGAGCGGTGACATGGATATGGGAGTGCTGGTGGGAGGGACTGAGGGGGGTGCGATATGCAGTGACAGAAAGGAAGGATTATGAGTTGAACAGGTTTTGGAGGAAGGAAGGGCATGATGGGAGCCCTGGTGGGAACTCATGGGCGTCATTTGTGGTGTCAGGAGGGTGGATGTCTGTAGCAAAAGGGGTTTGTGTGTGCAGCTAAATGCCCCCTTTGAGTTGAGAGTTTTACTTAGACAAAGCAGGCAGGGTGGTTGGTGCGGTGGTGTGAGGGTGTGAGGGTGTGTGAGAGCCAGGCTTGAAAGGGATTGAGTGTGGCGGTCGACGCCTTATAGGGAGAGAGGGCGAGGCCGAAACGGGGGGATGGGAGGGGTGGGGTGCACCGATGGGAACAAAAAAAAAATAGGAGGCACCTCGGGAAAAACAAGAGTCACGTTTTCTTGTTTGAGGTGCCTCAATAGCTAGACTCCCACAGGAACAATTTGCGACTCAAAGTTTCGTAATCTTACAGGAGCTGGAACTCTTATGCATGCTTCATGGGCGCACTATCAGTTTGCATTCTTGTTCAGATGTACCTATTGCTTAGTTCTGTAAGGGAGTGTATACGTTGTGTATGATGGTGTCAACTTATATTTTCACCTCAAGTACTAATCGCTGCATTAACGCATACAGACGGCAATCGGCTCTGTGACCGTAATTACCGTGTGACGACCATACCTTTGCGACGACCATACCTTTGCGACGACCATACTTTTGCGACGACCACCTCCCGTGCGACATCTTTCGTGCGACGACCTCTGAGCGATGGAGCCGCCGTCGCCATCCAGTGATCCACCACCTGTCGTAGCGAGTAACACCTCGCCACGTGTCTTCAACGTGAATGTTGGCATTCTGGGGCACATCGACAGCGGCAAAACGAGCCTCGGTGAGCCGAGCCGACACGTACCGAATTGACTGATAATTCTCACAAGACATTGAGACTTTAAAAAATCAAGGGAATTTCCAGCAAGTCAATAAGAGCCGCGGTGAGAGCCGAGTAACACGTGGCAACACGACTCGAAATTCGTCCCACGTAAGCCGGAGTAGTATTATGCCCCTCTCCCCATGACGTCCCACCCTCTCCCCCCTCCACACGCCTCCCCCCCCCTTCCCCAGCCAGGGCGCTGAGCACGCTGCTGAGCACAGCCGCACTGAAAAGAGCCCAGAGCGAGCGGAGAGAGAGAGGGGGAGGGCAGTACACCCGAGTCTGTTCCCATGCTCCATGCTCCCCAGTCCCTATTCCCCTCCGCATGTCTCCCCTCTCCACCCCAGCCAGGGCGCTGAGCACGCTGCTTAGCACAGCCGCGTTGGACAAACACCCGCAGAGCGCGGCGAGGGGGAAAGGGGAACGCTGCCTTTGTGTACACTGTACCCGACTCTCTCCCCATGCCCCCATGCCATATCTCCATGCCATGCCGCCATCTCCCAATGCCCCATATCCTCTCAAATGTCCCCAGCCAGGGCGCTGAGCACGCTGCTGAGCACAGCTGCGTTGGACAAACACCCGCAGAGCGCTGAGAGAGGGATCACCCTCGACCTTGGGTTCTCCGCCTTCCAGGTACCTTCCACGTGCCTTCCAAGTAACCACCAGAGACTTTTTTCAGGCACCTTCTGTGTGCCTTCGAGGTACCTTCCACACCTGTTTGCGACTTTTTTCTTTTTTCTTTTCTTTTTCAGCTCATCCGTCTGCAACGCCAATCCCTCACACTCCTCTCCTCCCTCCCACAGTCCCTCTATCATTCCCTCGCCTTCCCTTTTTGTCACGTCGACCTCTCTCCCCCTCACACCCTCTCCTCCATGGATTGTCCCCTCTATTCTCAAAAATACCCTGCAGCATCATGGAGATGGAGGGTGCCCTCTATAACAAAGTGCTGTACCCACCCCCTCTGCTTGACTGCCCCAGCTCTGTCTCTCAGCCCTCTCACTCCCATCTACCTCGTCCCCTCAGGTGGACGTGCCTCCATCCCTAGCGCACGAGCTTCCATACGACAAGATCCAGTTCACTCTCGTGGACTGCCCCGGCCATGCCTCCCTCATCCGAACCATCATTGGAGGTCCGTCCGCCCGTTACCTCCTTTCTGTGTATGGCTCGTTGTTTTGAATCTTGAAACTCATCCAAATACGTCTCAGATGGAGAGGCATCAGCTGATTGGTGATCCATCAGCTTCTCAGATCATCGATATGATGCTGCGTGTGGTCGATCGATCGATGCCAGCTCATGCTGCTTCTGGTAGACGCTCACGTCACCAAGGGTAGTGAGGCACTGACATTGGCCTCCATTTCTCCCACGGGAGCCCCATCTTCTCTATATGATCATTTGTATGATGCTGCGTGTGGTCGGTCGACTGATGCCAGCTCATGCTGCTTCTGGTAGACGCTCACGGATCCAACTACGTCACCATTTCTCCCAGAAGATGGCATTCCGACGCAGTCATTGGCCTCCATTTTTCCCACAGGGGACCCATCTTCACTCCGCCATTCCCCCATCCCATCACCCCATCAGGAGCACAGATCATCGGCATGGTGCTGCTTGTGGTTGACGTCACCAATGGCAAACCAGCCCATTCTAGTATGACTTGTTAGTTATCTTCGTCAACCCCCCCGTTCCCCGCCACACACCACACCCCATCAGGAGCACAGATCATTGACATGGTGCTGCTTGTGGTTGGCCTCACCAAAGGCAAGCTATACCTCAGTGTGCCTTATTATCTTCGTCACCCACCCGTTCACCCATTCTCTCACATCCCATTCACTCACCTGTTCCACGCACACCCCATCCCATCAGGCGCACAGATCATTGATATGATGCTACTTGTGGTTGATGTCACCAAGGGCATCCAAACACAGACGGCAGAGGTGAGGATATTTGCGAGGATTACGTCGTTAGTGACGTGTATGAAGAAGTGTTTTGAGACGTCTCAAAACAGCATCCAGACACAGACGGCAGAGGTGAGGATATTTGCGAGGATTACGTCGTTAGTGCTTTTCTCACCGGGTTGTCGTTTGCAACACACTCTTTTTTCTCCATTCTCTTCTCAGTTCCGGCGTTCCTCTCCTTCATTACAACCCTTATTTTCTTGATTCTACCTGCTTCTCCCCACTTCTCCCCTCCTCTCCCCTGCTCGTGTGTGTATCTGCAGTGTTTGGTTGTGGGTGAGGTTTCTCCTACCAAGGAAATGGTTGTTGTGCTTAACAAAACGGTAACCCATACAATCATGCCATGCCATTTCCTGTCATTACATGCCATGCCACAGCATGCCATGCCATACCATGCCATGTCCCTCGCCGTGTTATGCCATTCCTCGCCATGCCATGCCATGCCACGCCATGCCATGCCATGCCACGCCATGTCATGCCATGCCACGCCATGCCATGCCATGCCATACCATCCCATACCATCCCATGCCATGCCGTGCCATGCCATGTCCCTCGCCGTGTTATGCCATTCCTCGCCATGCCATGCCATGCCACGCCATGCCATGCCATGCCACGCCATGTCATGCCATGCCACGCCATGCCATGCCATGCCATACCATCCCATACCATCCCATGCCATGCCGTGCCATGCCATGTCCCGCGCCGTGTTATGCCATTCCTCGCCATGCCATGCCATGCCATGCCATGCCATGCCATGCCATGCCACGCCATGTCATGCCATGCCACGCCATGCCATGCCATGCCATACCATCCCATACCATCCCATGCCATGCCGTGCCATGCCATGTCCCGCGCCGTGTTATGCCATTCCTCGCCGTGCCATGCCATGCCATGCCATGCCATGCCATGCCATGCCATGCCATGCCATGCCATGCCAGGCCATGCCATGCCACGCCATGCCATGCCATGCCACGCCATGCCATGCCATGCCATACCATCCCATACCATCCCATGCCATGCCGTGCCATGCCATGTCCCGCGCCGTGTTATGCCATTCCTCGCCATGCCATGCCATGCCATGCCATGCCATGCCATGCCATGCCACGCCATGTCATGCCATGCCACGCCATGCCATGCCATGCCATACCATCCCATACCATCCCATGCCATGCCGTGCCATGCCATGTCCCGCGCCGTGTTATGCCATTCCTCGCCGTGCCATGCCATGCCATGCCATGCCATGCCATGCCATGCCATGCCATGCCATGCCATGCCAGGCCATGCCATGCCACGCCATGCCATGCCATGCCACGCCATGCCATACCATCCCATACCATCCCATGCCATGCCATGCCATGCCATGCCACGCCAGCCTTCCTCCCTTCTGTCGGGCTCCTTGCCCCTTCTCAATCAAGCCTCTGCTCTCTGTTCCGTTCCCTTAAATCAGGACCTGTTACCTGCTGCCACGAAGCAAGCACAAATCGATAAGGTAGGTAGGGCCATGACAGGCTAAACCCTAAACCCTGAACCATGGATTGGATATGATGTGGATAAATGGATTCATGAGCACATCGCACAAATCACTACACAACAGCCCTTGTCACTCACGCTGCTTCTAATCATGTTGCTTGCTCCTTTCTGAAGCGCTTCAAACTTGGATGCATGTCTAGTTATCTCTCTGCTTACATCTCTCTACCATCCCTTTCACAGATGAGAAAGAGACTTCGAGCCACGTTGAAGGGAACCAAGTTTGCCAACGCTGCCATGGTTGCAACAGCAGCAGCAGCCGTGCCATCAGCAGCAGAAGCGGCAGGAGCAGCACCAGCAGTAGCAGCAGACGGCATAGCTGACATCGTTAACGAGCTAATGGCACGGGTGCCTTGTGAGTAATAGGCATCCCGCTCACCTTTCAGAGGGTCGTAGAAGCAGGGAGGAAGGGACTTAAAGGGTTTGTGCTCCGTCATGCTATGTGCCCTCTCTTCCTTTGAGTCGACTCAAAAGCAGTGCTCTGTCATGCTATGTGCCCTCTCTTCCTTTGAGTCGACTCAAAAGCAGTGCTCCGTCATGCTATGTGCCCTCTCTTCCTTCCAAAATTGGGAAGAGGGCACGAATCATGTACTTTTGTACTCCTTGTCTTTCCGTAAGGAAGAGAGGGCCACTTGTCGTGGAAGAGACTTAGAAGATGCTTCCCTTTCATTTTGCTCCATCTTGGCAAGTGCCCTCCCTTCCATCTAGAATACCCTCCCTTTCCTTTTGCTTTCTTTCCATCGATTTCTTTTCCGTTCCCCCCCTTCCCATGAACTCTTTACCCAGCTATATCTCGGAACTTAGATGGGCCTTTCCTCTTTGCTATCGACCACTGCTTTCCCATCAAAGGCCAGGTGATTCCAAACAGCCGTCAGGTGATTCCAAACAGCCGTCAGGTGATTCCAAACAGCCGTCAGGTGATTCCAAACAGCCATCAGATGATTCCAAACAGCCGTCAGGTGATTCCAAACAGCCGTCAGGTGATTCCAAACAGCCGTCAGGTGATTCCAAACAGCCGTCAGGTGATTCCAAACAGCCGTCAGGTGATTCCAAACAGCCGTCAGGTGATTCAGATGAGCAGTCAGGTGACTTCAACACGCAATCAGGTGATTTGAAGAAGCTGCCTGCTGGTTTCCAACAAGTTGACCAAAGAGTTTCAGATTAGCAATGTGAAATGTTATGGATGGAGAGGGCTGGCAAAGGGGTTCAAGCATACATTACATGCTTGAACCCCCTTGCCAGCCCTCCTTATCCATAACATTGCATGCGGCAAATGAGCGGATTTGTTCTCTCCTCTTCACACCGTCTGTTTTTTAAGAATTCTCAAAAAACATATTCGGCTGGCAAAGCTGTTCAAGCATGTGTGTTGTACATTACATGCGACAAATGAGCAGATTTGTCCTCTCCTCTTCATACCGTCACGAGAGCTTGCCCTTGTTTGAACGTTGCCGCAGTCCTCTTGATGCCTCTCAAAGCAAAATGAGTACACCCTTGTCTTCATGTTCGTACTCGCTAGGCATGTTACTGGTATTCCCTTGATGCCTTGCCCTGTCACATCCTCGTTTGTCACACACACCCTCCTTTGCAGGGCACAGTGATGACAGGGACAGTGCTGAGAGGCCACGTGGCAGTGAATGATTCGCTGGAACTCCCACTCCTCAAGCTGCAGAAAAAGGTTCGTCAGGTTATTAGGTCAGGGGGGAAAGAGAAACAAAATATTTGCGGAGCGGATGTAGCTTGTGGGTGGGTTGGCATGACCATCATTGTTGTACGATGATCTTTTATTTCACGGAATGGCTTAGGAGTCATCACAGCGGTTACAGTGCTTCATCTACCATGCCCCATCATGCCATGTCATGTGATGCCCCATCATGCCATGTCATGTGATGCCCCATCATGCCATGTCATGTGATGCCCCATCATGCCATGTCATGTGATGCCCCATCATGCCATGCCATGTGATGCCCCATCATGCCATGTGATGCCCCATCATGCCATGTGATGTCCAATCATGCCATGTGATGCCCCGTCATGCCATGCCATGCGATGCCCCATCATGCCATACCATGTGATTGTTAGAATTCTCATGTTCTAGCATGCTAACACTTGTGACTGTACACCAATCGTGGTGTACAGTTGGGTTGGGACTACACCCAATTTTGGGTTTAGTCTTGCATTTTGGGGTGCCAATCCAACCCAATTGTGGTGGAGCCCTCAAATGCAACCCTATGGGCCATAGGTTGCCCCACTTCACAAAGTGAGGCCAACCCAACCCAATGGGCCATAGGTTGGCCCACTCCCCCAATTCCACCTCCCTCCTTTCCCTTCCAACCCTCTCTTCCCAAAGCTACGTATGCTTGCTAATGTTCTAATCAAGCTAATGGTTCAACTTCCTTTCTTCACATGGTATAGAGCACAATTCTCCTACACCCATCCCTTCCCCCTCCAGTTTTGTTTTCCCAAGGGCCCACCACACGCTTCCCTCACGCCGCGACCTTTCCGTCGCCGTCGTCCCCCCCCCCCCCCCCCTCTCCCCCTCCCCATCTCGGCATTTTCTCGCCGCGACCTCCCCGCCGCCGCGTCCCGCGGATTTCGCCGCCGCGTCCCGCCGATTTCGCCGCCGCTTCCTCTCCGCCCGCGAATTTCCCGCGGATTTCCCCACCGCCGCGGATTTCCCGCGGATTCCCCGTGGATTCC